AGATTGCTGAAGAAATTCTAAAATCACTCCAGGACTGCTGCTTCAATCCATCCACAGTCAACAAACAGAAGATGAGACTACCCTCTGACGATGACCCTGTCATTGTTGTCGAAGCAGACATGAATGCCGCAATACACAAGCTAGGAGATGAAGAAGAGGTAGCTTTTGTTCACTGTATCTCTGCTGACGTTGACAGTGACAGGCACATGAGTGCAGGTGTAGCGACAGCATTTAAAAAACATTTCAAGAAACCCTTAACAACAGATTTTGTACACTCACACCTAACTTATCAAAAAATTAACAAAGTTTCAGTATATGGATTAGTAACCAAACCTAAATATTACAGTAAACCAGACATCAGGGATTATGACAAAGCTTTTGATTCTCTGGAACAGGACGTAAGACAGAAAGGCCAAAAGTTAATAGTTTGTTCACCAGCGGGCTGTGTCAGGGATAATGTTCCTGTCGAGCACATGGTAACCAGAATATGCCAGCTGCAACAAAGGACAAATGCCAAAGTGATCATAGTAGTGAATGATGAGAACTCTTCCAGAACTCTCCGAAGTGGCCTTTCTTACAATGATTTTGTAAATAAAATAAAACTTAACATCTTTAATGCCATGAACAAAACCGATGAGTCAGGAAGTGGTGCTTCAGCAGACATCACGGTCAACACAACTGAAGGTGTGACAACAACCTCTACTGAAAAAATGTCTTTTGATAAAAGTAGTACCTGTAGTGTAGATACTAATGTAAATAGTAGTGATCTTCAAAAAAACTTAACGTCAGCAACCCAAGTGTATGTAACTTAGCTTTAGATAAACGTGTAAATAAGCCAAAACAATTAAAAAAAAGTAAAGTTTAATGTAAAATATAAAAAAAATATTCTAAAAAAATGTTTGTTAACTCACTTAAATATTCAGGGATCAAGTTTAAGTAAATTTGTTGTCTTGAAAGTTACTTTAGATCATTTAAAACTTGAACCAGAAATTGTTTGTTTGTCAGAACATTGGATGGATACAAATGATGTTCACTAGCCTAACTGTTTTTCCTCCTATAAGCTAGCCTCAGTTTACCACAGAAATGTAAAAAGTAGGGGAGGGGTATGTATTTTTGCAAAAAATAATATCACTTTTAAAGAAAGGAAAGATATTGATTCTATGGCAATTGAAGAAGCTTTTGAATGCACTGCTATTGAAACAATGAGTAATGAAAAGTCAACCAAAACAATATACATTGTAATTTACAAGACTCCGAATGACCAAAACCTAAAGATTTTTTTCTCAAGCTTTGAAAAACTATTACAGCACCTTGAGGCAGAACAACATTTGTGTCCAATATACATAAGTGGGGATTTTAATATAGACATGCAAATTGATGATGAAAAATGTGTTAGGTTTAAAACTTTACCTACGACCGTTTTTTAAAGTAGCCATTTCTATCCAGTTCTTAGAATTGAAAAGTTTCACTTTACAGCTGTTTACTTTCATATCCGCATAGTTTCATTTCATATCCGCATAGTTTTCTCATATCCACACAGGTAACGGACCAATGAGGTTCAAGTATTGAGAGAAAAGAGTTAAAATTGTAATGCTTCGAACGTCAGCTAATCAGCTGATCAGCTGATCAATTGACCAATTTAATTGTTGATCCGACTTGTTCATGTTGATACTCGCGTATTCTTAATTAAGTTGGTGGAAGTCCAAAAATAAATTAAATATTTGCCGAATTGTACCTGATACAATATTATTTATGGTAAGAATGCTGCTAGCAATGTAATATTTAACGAAGTTTAACAAACACGTAATTACAGGAAATCAGCTGATTATACAACAAGTCGTTGCATCACTTTCAGTGGCAATGACAATACACGAAAACATAACCTCTCTAAAAAGTTATCAGTAGTTATTGTTAGTAATTAAATCCAGATTAATAGTAATTAAAAAACGGTCGTAGGTAAAGTAGTGTACGCAACTCGCGTTAATAGTCTTTACGACACTCGTAGAAGTTTTTAAGGCACTCGCCAAGGCTCGTGCCTTAAATCTTCTACTCGTGTCGTAAAGACTCACTTAACGCAATCGTTGCGTAAACTACTATTGTTTCAGTCTTTTGGGTACAATGCCATGATCAAGGAGTATACTCGAATAACACCAACTACAGCCACTTGTATTGATAATGTAATTTCAAATGTAAATAGTATTGATAAGGTTTGTGAAGTAGTGGACTTTGGGATATCTGACCACTTAGGTCAGGTAATTTGTCAAAGAAATGAAATAAGGCCTAACCAATGAAAAAAATACTTGTCGAAGCGGGTCATAAAGAAGGAAAACGTTCTTGGTATGTTAAACGGTCTGATTGAAGAGAACTGGACTAATTGCATGTCAAACCTTAGTTCTAATGGTAGTTTCAATAATGTCTTTGGAATATTCTATGATTCTTTTTTGAATAATTGCCCAATTAAACAGAAATCTCTGTCAACAAATGGGAGAAATAATCAATGGGTAACAAAAGGTATTAGAATATCCAGTAAAAGAAAATGGGAGCTTTATAAAATTTCTAGAAATAATACAAATCCTGTTTTCTTAGAATACTTTAAAAATTACAAGAAGGTTTTTAAGAAAGTAATTTGGGCAGCCAAAATGAGGTACAACTTAAATTTGTTAGAGAATAGTGATAATGTAGGTAAAACAACATGGAGCATTGTAAAGAGAGAAATCGGTACAAATTGTAAAACAGAACCTTGTCTAGGAATCAAAATTAATGGGGAGGTTATTGACGATCCTATAAAAGTAGCTGATTGCATGAACCATCACTTCATTGGTGTAGCAAATAAGTTTCAGTCCCAGGTTTCGGTGGCAGATTCAATAGCCAAAGCAAAAATGGCAACTCTAAATGTCCCACATGCATTTGAATTTAAGATTGTCTCTGAATCCGATGTTATCTCCTGCATCAATCGATTAAAGAATAAAAGTTCAACTGGCTGGGATGAAATTCCTACAAATGTAATAAAATCATTGGCTTCTTCAATTATAAAACCACTCACTCATTCTATCAACATTTCACTGCTGACAGGAGTCTTCCCCGACAAATTGAAGTATGCTCAAATTATACCTATATTTAAAAAGGGGGACTCGGAAGAAATTTCAAACTACCGACCAGTGGCTCTCTTACCTGTGTTTTCAAAAATATTTGAAGAGGTTGTTCTCTCACAAATTGTTCCATTTCTTGAATCAAACAATTTATTGAACAAGAATCAATTTGGTTTTCGGAGGGAGAGAAGCACGTCTGATGCAATAGTCAATCTAGTTTCTGAGGCAGTGGAGGCCTTGGACGGATCACAGAGAACCTTTGGTGTTTTCTGTGATTTGTCTAAGGCCTTTGATTGTGTCAGGCATGACATTCTCTTGGAGAAATTGAGATTGTATGGGATATCTGGATCATCTTTTTCATGGTTTTCTAGTTACATCACTAACAGATATCAGCAGGTTGTCATCAAAGATAAATCCGGTGTCAAACATTTTTCTGAATGGAGCACAGTAACCCATGGTGTTCCGCAGGGATCTAAATTGGGGCCTCTTCTGTTCATCCTCTACATCAATGACTTGTCTTTTTCAATTTCTTCCAAAATTATTCAATTCGCTGATGACACAACAATGCTAGTAAGAGCACCTTCTATTTTTTCTGCAACTAACATTGCATCCCGAGATTTAGATTCCATGATAACTTGGTTTGCACAAAACGGACTACATCTAAACTGTTCCAAAACTCATCTTCTTCATTTCCATAATCCACAACTGAAGGCAGGTGAGATAACAATCAAACTAAAATCAGGTGATTCCATAAAATCTTCTGCAAATACTAAATTCCTGGGTGTAAACATAAATGAAAATCTAAAATGGTCTGATCATCAAATACAAATTAGCTTGTCTCTAGCAAAAGCACTGTTTGGTCTAAGGGTGGTTTATAAGTCTTCGGGTTTGCATGCAGCTCTTGCTGTGTATCATTCTTATTTTATGTCTAGGTCTTCCTATGGTATTATCTCATGGGGCAGCTCCCCCATTACCAAGAATATTTTTATCTTACAAAAAATTGCCGTTAGAATTTTAGCTGATACCAGACCACGTTCCTCTTGCCGCCCCCTTTTTATTCAGATGAAACTCTTGACAATTTATGCAGTTTATATTTTTCAACTGTGCATCTTTGTAAAAAGAAATTATAAGGAATTTATGTTGAAAAATTACACTCATCAATATAACACCCGACACAGGAATGATCTTCAATATCCTGTGCATAGAACAGCTCTGTATGAAGGATCGCCATGGTACATGGGTAGGAAAATTTACAATAACCTCCCAGATCAAATTAAAACTGAAGAAAATATGTCATCCTTTAAAAGAAAACTAAAATCTTATCTCATTCTCTTGTGTCCTTATTCCCTAGATGATTTTATAAAAACTTAGCTTTAGGTTTTATGGATTGATAAAAACAAAGAATTTAGCATAAGGTATTATTAGATTGTAAAGTGGTATTGACATGTCATATGTTTATATGTGAAAATCACAATCTTGTAAACTTATGTGACGAATAAACATTTCATTTCATTTTCATTTCATTTCATTTCGATTATAAACTAGCCAAGTTTACTCACAGTTGCTCGCTAGTGCAGTTGCTTACTCTCAAGTGGTTATTTTTTATGTCTGAGGATTGAGGAATTGTTTCTAGCAGTAGTTGTGGTGTAGTGGGTTGAAAACAAATTGTACAGTGTTTCTACTCTGCTTTTTCCAAAAGATCTATATCCTGTTTGATAGGCTAACCTGTTTTTTTCTGAGACGATGGTGAGAATTTCCACAATGAAGTGTTTTGACTACACCACTGAGTAAGAGTTGTAGTTGTTTCAAAATAAAAAAAAAAAAAATAAAACTCTAATCAGACAAAAATAACAGAAAAAACGAAAGTGGGCTGGAAGAAATAGTGATGGCACATGAGATACATTACTGAAATCTGAAGAACAAAGACCCTGCAGCTTATATAAAAGCCCTGTAGCCCTGTAGCTGTAAAAATGGTACAGTTAGCCTGTAGCTTATATGTTGAAAATTACAAGTAGGCGTATTGTACAAATTATATAACGGTTAAAACTATAGTAACAATTGATCAATGGGTAAATCAAAGTATCAAATATTCTAAACAAAAATCAAAACACTTCTCAAAAAACAAATTTGTATTGAACACCATCAATTACAATAGAAAGCTGAGAGCAGAAGCGTTGCTGCGTAGTGACTGCACTGTTTGTACTATCCATGGAACCATGGAGGGGATGTTGACATAGACACCGGGTATGTTAGGTTGAGCACAACCAACACCCCATGCCACCAGTCCTGCCAACGTCCAGTGTCCTACGGGTCCCTCACATACTAGCGGCGCTCCCCCGTCACCCTGCAAATTACTTAACATCTTGGTAAAACTATGGTCTGTATAACCACAATATGTACATGATGTGATTACCAAACCTGGCAAAGTCCTCTGGCCCCGCCAATGTCCAGTGACTAACAAAATAGCGGGGTTCCCTCGTTACCCTGAGCATGTGGAAAATGCTGTTAAACACTTTGGTAAAACTATTGTATTGTTTTGCAAGAGGACTAGACTCAGGGTCCTAGCACGTCAATTGGATCTTATTGTGTGTACCCCACTAGCCACTAACTAAGCAAGTGAAGAGCTATAAGCCCAGCGCACACGGTGTGACTGTATTACAACAACTGTTGGAAACCAGTTGCGTCTGAAACCAGTTTGCAACTGAAACCAAGCTTCTGTGACTGGTTTCAAACGTTTTTGAGATCACCAACAACCAGTTGCGTCATGTGCACCTCCCCTCTGCAATACATTGCCGAGGTCACAAAACAGTTGCTCGCGCAACTGGTTTGCAACGACAGTTGTAAAACGGTCACACTGTGTGCACTGGACCTTAAGAGAAGCCTGATAAAATCACTATATTTTTGTCTTGGTAGCATCTGGATAGTCCTAGGTTGGCACAAGCCAAGATGCCACACATTTCTGCCTGGAAGATGGTACAGTATCGTTTTAGACTGGCAGAAAGTTCTGTTCTGTGCGATAAACTGTATACTCCGATGCCAGATTTTCCATAGATTAGGGAACCGTCTGTGTACTAAGCAAAGCTGTCTGTTTCTTGGAGATGCCCTTCCTTATGTTTCCACTAATCTGGAATGGAATTCAACAATGAATGATTTGGTGAAGACTGCCTCTGTGCTCGGGATGCCTGAGGTCATGTCAAGCACATGACACGTAGCTACCCAAGAGCGACTTCTAGAGTTGCTGATGGACCGCTCCCGAAGGCACCAAGTGTCAGCCGAGACTCAAGCCAAATCAGTGTTTTATTAACATAATATAGTGAACGCCATTAATCCACAAATGTATGTTAAAGTAGAACATTATACATACAGTACAAGCGTCCTTATTCTTCTCTCCCCCGGCACACAGGAAGCTGTGGTCGTCCAATTTGTAGTGTCTGCCAAGCCGAGTGTGTCTCAGTCGAGCCTCACACTCTGCTCCACTCACGACACCCACGTCCACAGCCTTCTGTACACTCTGGAAGCGGCCAACCATTCCCCAAGCATCCTTGCCCCATCCACTCACCCAGCACCTGTGTGTAAGTGTAAGATAAATTTATTTTATAGATTTATCATCCTTGTGGATCACCTGAAACTTCCATAGTCTACAGAAGTATTTGATATTTATTTGTGTAACCATAGTTGATGAGGATGTCATAGTCAATGTGGATGATGAGGCCGAGGTGGATGTGGATGTAGTGAGTGATGAAAATATCAAGATTGTTAAGGATGTGGATGTGGATGTAGTGATTGATGTCGATGTGGATGTAGAGATTGATGTGGATGTGGATGTAGCGATTGATGTGGATGTCAAGGTTGGTTTAGATGTCTTAGCTAATGTCGATTTTAAATTATATTTCTTAATTTGTTGTAATTTTTTTTGTAATGTGAAAATTTTGTTAGACCTAACATGTTTTTATTTTCTAAAAAAAATTAAAAATTATGATGTAAAATGTTGTATACAGTAGACTCCCTCTTATCCGGACACCTTTTAACCGGACATCAGTTTAACCGGACTACACTCGGCGGAAATGACATCTCTCGGACAACTTTTATCAGCACATTGGTTTAACCGGACTGGATCGGCAGGAAGTGAGCGGTACTGAAACGACTGTTCTAGTGGGAAGGATTTGAGACCAGTGATCACGTGTCTAAATATTATTTCCTGAATTTAAGTCGAATATCACAGTAAGCTGTCCGTTTTAACGAGTTTTTGGGGACATTGGTTTTACCGGAAAACCCGTTATCCGGACTGGCCTCGGTCCCAAAGAGTCAGGATTAGAGAGAGTCTACTGTATGAAGATTGGGGTAATCAAAAATGCTGTAGTTAACATCAAGTCGCCTTTTCAGATGGACAATATTTAAAAGATTACTAGGTATACATTGTTTCTTGTACACAGTAGGAATGCAAGAAGTTAAATTCTGTACTTGGCTCAATAGAACTTGTGCATGATTCTAAAACTAGTCACCAATTAATGAGAATAATAATAATAATAAATCTTAATTTCTTCACAAATAATACAATCAATTACAATATATTACTAGGATCTAAAATACAAAATTATTTCCAAGTTAACAATGTTTATCGACTTATAGCACTTTTGTTAATCAACAAAAACAGTTTGCTTTAACCTCCGAAGAAATATACACACCCAAGAGAAGAGCAAACCTTCTTTGTGTGGGCGGGAGTCTCAACTAAAACTACAACAAATCTACTCTGAAAGGATAGCAAAATGAATTAAACCTGTAGTCTAATGATTGTTGTGGAAAAGACTACAAAGAAAACAAAAATTTAACTTCTTGGCAAAAATTACCAATACTAAAAGAAAATATAATAAGAATATTTTTTTAATGGAAGAAAACCGAATTAAAATATCTGAAAAACTATAAGGAAACGGAGTGAGCTTTCCAACGACCCATCAGTTAATAATATCGGTCCAGTAGAGCTGTAGATTTAGTTGTACAAAAATTTAAAAAAATGAATTATTTTTAGAACAGATAGATCAATGGAAAGCTTCATCCAATTTTTTTTAAAGATTTATTATAGTAATGGGTTTGTCGGTATTTATCTGATCAAGGCCCCACTAGAAAAACCTTGATCTGATCAAATGGGGCATGTGTTAATAATTTAACACATTGTTATTATTGTTATTTCCTTGATTTTTCTTTGTTAACATTTTGTTGTTTGCAATTTGCATTTGTAGATGCATATTATTATGTACGATTTTTGTAGAGACCGTTGTTTTTAACCACAACGGGCTCTATTGCTATTGCTAGTTAAGAATATAACTGTTTGATTTCATCATTTGACTTGGTATAAATCAAATTTTTAAAAGATTTCTTGAATAGGTTTGTTTCACAAAATTCTTTTTTACAAAAACGGGAACAGCACTAAAAAAATCTTATTGATAAATAAATAAAACACTTCTTAAAAAGTGTAAAGTTTGGCGTATAGTCCAGTCATATAAAGGTCAGTAGAATATTATTGGCTTAGTATAAAATAAACAAATTTACCAAATTTTATCTAAATATTTCCATAAACAAGCAAACTGCAACAGTTTTCTCCATAAGAATAACATAGGGATTTAAAATTTAAAAATTTTTAAATTTTCTCCGTAACCAATAAGAGTACAAAAAACTTAAAATATTAATTAATTTATTTTTTTAAGATCTTTAAAATGGTTTAGAAAGAAATTGGGAAATTTAGTATTTTGATAGTCAAAAATGAGAAAACCCAATTTTACCACATAAAACCCCGTTGCCATCGTCGATCGGAATGCTGGTTCGCAAACTCATTCAAGGTTATCCCTCCTTACACCTACAAGCCAAATTTCATCAAAATTGGACAAACATTATTCGAGTTATTGTGTTCACGGACACATATTTATCTCTATATGGGCCGGTCAAAGTCAAAGTGGTGTAAGTCAATTTTTGACAAAAATGAGTCAAGTCCATATTTTGATTCCTTGTTCACTGATTCATCTTTTGGCACAATGAGCTAAGTCATAGTTAATTTCTAGCGTCACTAGGAGGCAGCACTTTACTGTTCCACATTGTGTAGGTATGAAACTGTTTCAAAGCAAAGTGATCCAAGTCTGACTTACTCCACTATGCCTTACAACATTATGTCTCTTTTTTGGTATAAACACATGACTTATGCGAAGTAAGCAAAGTGGCCCAAGTCTGACTTACACCACTGTGTTTTGAAATAGTTACTTACAGCTGGTCTGGTCACACAACTTCCAAAAACAAACCAAAAACAAATTCCATGTAACTTCTATGACACGTGAGGAGTTTAAATCAGCAAAAGAGCTATGTAATGCAGTGACCCAGAGAACTAAAACTGAGGATAAAGGCAAATTTAGTTGGTTAAAAACTCAATGGATAAGGTTTTTAAGGGAAGAACCTTTCAAACTGTTCTACTGTATAAGGAAGCAATAAAGAAGATGTACCTTTTAACAGTGTTTCTCTTGTCTGGTCAAATCATAAAAAGAAAAAGCCTCTCTGAACAGGTATCTCTTGGTCTAATTGGCCTTGCCTCTATGAAGCACCTCTACCAGTGACAAAGGGAAAAAAACAAAACATGACAGTGCTGTTTCCCTACATACCACCAATTTATCATGCTTATTACCAGTGTTTGATTACCAGTGATAGTGTCGAGGACATTGGTCCTCTAGAACAAGTGAACGACAAAGAGGACGATGGCATATAACATATTGAAAATAATTGAGAACATTTCTATGAAACACTTTGAGGACAATTTTAAATTTTAGTAACAAATTGTGTTAATAAAAAAATCTTTGTAACAATATTGACTTTTATTGCTTATTAAACTCAATTACTCTGATCCATTTTATTTTTTAGCAAAATGGTGTAAGTCATATTTTTTCATCAATTTTTTTAAAATTCATAAGCACAAAGATTTAAAAGTAAAAGTGAACTAAGTCACCCTTTCAGGTAAATTGGTGTAAGTCTGACTTAGACCATTGTTGTAAACATATACTTTAATGAGAATGAATATCAAAATGCACAAATTATCTAACCCTTCCAGGGCTATGGACGGATATATCCGTCAATCTTTGTTTACTTTCCGGGCTGAAAACGGATATATCCGTCCTGAGAAATTTCTTTTCTGGGATAAAGACGGATATATCCGTCCAAAAAACGAATTGTTACACAATGTTGTTTATAATACGGTAATTAACATTATACTGCATTATAAATGGGTTATTTTGTTTTTGTGGTTGGCAATAATAATTGCCGCAGCTGTTTCGGCTATTTTGCACCATAGAGTGTGCATAAGTAAATATTGCTGTCACTTCACACATGGTTGTTAGTGAGTGATGTTTACATTTTGTGTTTTGTACTTTATTTTTATGTTATTGAGCTAAAGATACTAATGCAAACGATCTGAAATTTGAAGATGTTATTGTAATGCTTAATCAAAGTATGTCTGAGAGTGGTTTTATACTTGGAAGTGAAAAGTAATAGTATGGAATGTGATGGATATGATGAACCTGAAGAACAGTTTTTACGTAGTGGAAGTCTTGGCGGGGAATGGGATTGAGGACATGGGAGTGGAACTGAGTGGTTTAGATTTACTTCAGAATGATAGATACATTTTTATGGATAAAAATAAAACAAGAGAAGGAATAGCCTAAGGTTGACGGATATATCCGTCTGCCGCCCACAAGATACTAAAGATTATTGGTAGTGTTCATATTTTGTGATTATCACTGAGGGCGGCAGACGGATATATCCGTCCACCTTGTGTTTTTTGTGGGCCAAAGACGGATATATCCGTCAAATCAAATTTTATTTTATTCATAACTTTTGTACAAAAATTAGTTCAGCCCTAAGGAAAATCTTTTTACGATCCATGAATTATTTCAAGTGAAATAAATACAAAACACAAACACTTTAGTTTTTAATTTTTTTTTTTAATAATTAAGCTCCAGCCCTTCATTTAATTTAGCCCTGGAAGGGCTAAGGCAAAGTGGTGTAAGTTTTTTTAAACACTAATAAATTTTAAATAAACAATTATTTTTGTACATTCTTAATTTAGAGAGGTTATAACATATGGTCTGTACCATGTGTCAAAAAATTTGCTCCAAAATCCAAACTACTTTGACGTACGACAATTTTGTAAATAAAACCGTTTATCTCAAAACTATGATTTTTGACTTACACCACTTTGACTTTGACCGGCCCATATATCAAACAAAATTAATGTTTATTTAAAATATTAATTTCAATTTTTCTCAATAACCGTTTGAGATAGAGCAAATATGTAAACGAGTAAAAGATGTATTTTTGTATGTACTTTAACTTTTTTATAAAAAAAAATTTCTGTATTTCCAACGGTTAGTGAAATATGGGCCAAAAGGTGAAAATCGGCCGCCATTTTCCAAGATGGCTGCCGTAGAACAGCATGTTGATTGTTGATTTTTGATATGGGGTTACTAGGTACTAGTACAACACACTTGCAAAGTTTCATCATTTATTGAATTATTTCCAGGTAGAGGGGTATTTTTGCCTAAAATGACTGGACTATTAGATAAATGTAGAAATGTTAAGGGCAGTTGTCTGGTTGAATAGTTGTGAATGTTGTAAACTTTTTGTCCTGAATTATAACTTAACTTAGAAAGACATAGTCAATACCTTAAAAATATATAAATATCTAAAGAGAAAGATATTATGACTTACAAAATAAAGGTAGAGAATGAGAATTAAAATTTGCATTGGATATTAATCAAACAAATTTCTTTAGTAAAGCTATAACAGATTTTAAATTTGTCACATAGGCACCTCCATACAAAGAAATGCAATATTCAAGTTTAGAATTTATTAAAGACTAGCTGTGTGCCCGTTCTACGCTCGGGAATCTTTATATAGTAGTCAGTTGAAAAAGAACAGCAGTTGGTTTGCATATTTTCAGATATGCTGGCAAAGCCATTACATATAAACAAATACAGTATCTGACAGTTTTAAGTATAAAAAATGCTTAGTAAACATTAGAAGGAAGGTTATGAATAATTGTTTAGTCCTACGAACCCAAAAGATGGGCAATTGGTCTATGGCTGTATGGTCTAGCGATTGCAGCACATAGCGGTGAGAAGACACATTGGAAAAGCGAGTTGGGCATAATCTGTAAACCTCTGTTACAATAATGCATTGCAGTTGTCACTTTACACTTACACTTTACACAGCCGCCATTGAAGTGCCGTCAATGAGTTTAAACCATTTTTGTAAGCTCCTATTGGTAACAATTATTTAAAAAAATGTAAGTTTCCCAGCCATATACAACACTGATTCAAGGTCTTTTTCCCGGTTATATCAAAACTCAAGAACAACTTTATACACAAAGAATCTCTATTTTCATTTACGTTAACCCAACAAATTATTGCACTTGTGATTAATTAAATCTGTTGTAAGTAAAAACGTTTTTAATCTCACTTGGTTTGGATTTGCTTTCAAAACGTGGTCGGAAATGGTTGCGGTATTTGTAAACATATCAGTGACAGCTAGAAAAAATAATCTTGATCCGAACAGCTGTTCGTACAAAAATTGCACAAAACTGGATTTTTGAACGTCCGTAATTTTTTTTACAAAATAGTGAGGCCATATTTTAATGGCTAAAGACACTCTCGCCAATCCATTAAATACATTAAAATGATTTGGATCTTGATAGGTACTCTAGTTTTTCAAGAGAAGGCCGCGTAAAATGGCTCTTTGGCCGTAACAGACAGACAGACAGACAGAAATTGAGATGAGACTTGTTTCGGTTTCTTTAATGTATAAAACGTAAAAATAACCTAAAAATTTATGATTCTGAGCAATGTACAGACAAAACTCAAATTTTATTTATATAGATAGTAAACCTGTTTTTTGATTGGGGATGGACAGGAATATTTGAGGCAACAAACGAGGTTAACACATTTGGTTTTTTACCATTCCTCAGTGAACTCCGTTGTGGGCAGAGGGAGGCAGATGCTATTGACATGAGGCACGTCAGGGTAGAGCCTCAGTCCCTGGGCTAGAGTCAACACTGCAATGTCGTTGGCCAGAGTGGAGCGATCGTACTGAGGGTGTACTCTTACTGTAGTCACTCTCGTGTCTTGGTATGGGAGAGGTTCTCTCTCGGACTGTACATCCCAGTCCCCCACTCTCACAACTAGCTCTTCACTGTTCACAACATAAAGTAGTTTAAAAATTTTCACAACACAGTGATCAGCTGGTTTCAGGTCTCTTTGTAGGTGTGAAAGTAGCTGTGTACAAAAGAACTCAAGAAAATCACCAGAATACGGTAAAATCATCTGGGGTGCGGTAAACTTATTGAGCTTTCTTGCAGGACACTCAAAAACACATGATATGAGGTCCTTTATTCGCCTATAAACGAAGCTACACAATAAATACAGGTTTTTGAACAAGTACATTGCACTTTCACAACAATAACTGGAAAGGTTTAAAAACATTTACAGAACCTCAATAGTAAGACTCTTATGGGGACTATTGAATAAGACTAATTATTAATTGTTATCAAGCTTCATAGTCCAGCATCTATAGGGGGTTGAGTATGCACTGAAAGTGTAACTCTTTTTGACTTTTGATTGTTGTTAGGGGCATCTTGGAGATGACAAAAACCGATGTTGTCTCCCTCCCAGCAGGTGCACAACTTGGGGGGGAGGGGGGGAAGATGCTCTGAGACGCGTTCTAGAAAATCGCTTATATCTCGTGAACTTGGCACGATAGAAACAAGCTCTAAACGGCATTGTATTACCAACTTCATCTGCTTTAAAAAAGTAACCAGGAAAAGTCCCGTATCTATGATATTAGTTGAGTTATTTAACAATTTATTTAAAAATTTGAATAAAAACCCCTAAATAACGTTAAATTATCCATTAAAACCCCTTTAACTCATTGCAGCATAGTGTTACAGTAAATGTAACACCAAATGTTTGTCCATTGTTTCACAGTGTTACACTTTGTGTAACACCACATGTTTTATTTTTTTCCAACCAGACACACAGCGCTATTATTTCGGAACTGTTCCCCTGTAGTTCAACACATCACCACTAGATAGGGTATGTGGGTATTTGAGGGAAACCTATTTATTTATTGTGTTCAGAGACGTTCACATGTGATCGTGTTGGTGTTTACTGTTATCATTGATACTTTCATGATTATTGAGGTAAGTTTATTACTGATTATACTTATTCTAAATGGAAAATGAACTTATGGTTTCGTTATACAATATAAAGTTGTTTTCCCATAATTTATTTAAGTTATACGTTGCTAGGTGATAGGTCAAAACAATTAAAAACAAGCATTTTTGCATTTGTCATAGTTCCGTGCAACATGGGGTCACAGAACTAGGGGTGGTTCCGTGCAGCAAAGAGTTAACTAGCTAAAGTGACTTTATATGGTAATTATACCGAAATATTACAAGGTTATGCGAGGTTTCCGATGAAGCGGCACGGTGACGCGGGGAACGCCGCTGCGCGGCAGAAATCAACGTGTAGTACAGACTTGTAAACATTGGGTATGTACTGAAAATGTAACGCATTTTGACTTTTGATTGTTGTTGGGGGCACCTTGGAGATGACAAAAACCGATGTTGTCGCCATTTTTTTTAGGTGCACAACTTGGTGGGAGGGGGGGAAGTAGCGCTGAGGCGCGTTCTAGAACATCGCTCATATCTCGTGAACTAGACACGATAGAAACATGTTTTAAACGGCATTGTATTACAAACCGCGTCTGCTTTAAATATTTTACAATGAAAAATCCCATATCAATTATAATAATTGAGTTATTTAACATTTTATTAGAAATTACAAATTTAAATTCAAAATACCATTTATCTACCTATAAAACTCTATTTCAGCCATCTTGTTTGAAACGGTCTTAAAGATAAGGATTTCTACAATTTTTAAAACATTCGCAGTAGGATCTGCAGGATGACTTGTTTGAAAAGCAGCTACAAGTTGATCTAGAACAAATCTTGCATTTACATGGCTTTAGCAAATTTGTAGGAGCCGGGGGCAGGGTCATAAGAAGGGGGCGCAATTTTCCTGAGCTGTCTTTGAAAAATCCGTACTGGAATAGTTCTAAAGGCTCTATTTCAAGTGCTGTCGAGGACTTTACTCAAAAATATAGTTGGGCACTACACCGTAACAGGTGTAATTTGAATCTGTCCGGTGTGCAAGGCATTTTACTAATGTCCTTGACGGCAGATGGATTAGTTGTGATTGCTATATAGCGGCTGTCATTGCAGGGGCTTCCTTTTCTTCTTAATCCTGCTGCTCCTACTGCAAATGTTTTAATAATTGTAGAAATCCTTATCATTAAGACCGTTTCAAACAAGATAACCGAAATAGTATCCATTGTTTTCTTATGTGTAATTTATATGGTAGTTAAGTTTTAAAATGAAGTACAGCATTTCCAAGTCTATTTTAATATTATTTTAATAAAAACCGTATACAGTAGACTCCCTCTTATCCGGACCCTCGGGACCGAGGCCAGTCCGGATAACAGTTTTTCCGGTTAAACCGATGTCCCCAAAATCTCGTTAAGACGGATTGTTTAAATGTATACTCTACAGTATTTGACTTAAAATTAGGAGAACATAGTATTTAGACACGTAATCACTGGTCTCAAATCTTTCCTACGAGAACAGTCGTTTCAGTACCGCCCACTTCCTGCCGATCCAGTCCGGTTAAACCGACGTGCTAATAAAAATTATCCGGATTAGGAGGTAACACTTCTACCAAGTGTAGTCCAGTTAAACCGATGTCCGGTTAAAAGGTGTCCGGATATGAGGGAGTACATTTCAAACTGAAGCATTTTCTTTGGTAGTTGTACCTAGATTTAGGTTTAAATTTTATATATAAAATATCCTAGTGTTAAAAACAGCTTATAATTATTTTCTCGCTAACTCGAGAACTCCGTACATATTATTTTGAGGAAAATATAGTACACTTAATTTTTTTGTAATTCGTGTGTTGAACATAGAATACACTCCAAACACAGTAGCCTACTATTCATTGTTTTATGAGAGTTATAAAGGTAGATAAACGGTATTATGAATTTTATATTTGTAATTTCTAATAAAATGTTAAATAACTCAATTATTATCATTGATATGGGATTTTTCATTGTGAAATATTTAAAGCAGACGCGGTTTGTAATACAATGCCGTTTAAAACATGTTTCTATCGTGTCTAGTTCACGAGATATGAGCGATGTTATAGAACGCGCCTCAGCGCTACTTCCCCCCCTCCCACCAAGTTGTGCACCTAAAAAAAATGGCGACAACATCGGTTTTTGTCATCTCCAAGGTGACCCAACAACAATCAAAAGTCAAAATGCGTTACACTTTCAGTACATACCCAATGTTTACAAGTCTGCACTACACGTTGATTTCTGCCGCGCAGCGGCGTTCCCCGCGTCACCGTGCCGCTTCATCGGAAACCTCGCATAACCTTGTAGTATTTCGGTATAATAACCATATAAAGTCACTTTAGCGAGTTAAACATATTATGCTCGATGAAAAACTGTACTGTTTGTTGTTTTAAAGGGGTTTTAATGGATAATTTAACGTTATTTAGGGGTTTTTATTCAAATTTTTAAATAAATTGTTAAATAACTCAACTAATATCATAGATACGGGACTTTTCCTGGTTACTTTTTTAAAGCAGATGAAGTTGGTAATACAATGCCGTTTAGAGCTTGTTTCTATCGTGCCAAGTTCACGAGATATAAGCGATTTTCTAGAACGCGTCTCAGAGCATCTTCCCCCCCTCCCCCCCAAGTTGTGCACCTGCTGGGAGGGCGACAACATCGGTTTTTGTCATCTCCAAGATGCCCCTAACAACAATCAAAAGTCAAAAAGAGTTACACTTTCAGTGCATACTCAACCCCCTATAGATGCTGGACTATCACTTCTAATCGAGGTTTGTAGTAACAGGTGATTAGGGGTAAAATAAATTCATGGGGATTTGAAAGTAACACTTGTAACCAAGGGTGACTTCTTATCGAGGGGTCTCAACCTCCACTGTAATTATGAAAATACCCCTGCCGCAGCAAACCTGCAGATTATGCAAATTTCTGATATTATGTTAAAATTCTGTTTAAAATACTGTTAATTAAACAGTGTCAGGATGATGATGGGTAGTGTTTTACTAACTCTGTACATTTGTTACTGGTGGTCAAGCAAAAAGTGTTCTATATGACTCAATCACGAAGGTATTAACTGTATTGCAAACACAGAATTCCAAGACTTGTGGTCTAACATACTGTAAAAATGTTTATTGTATCCTATATTAGTTGCATCACTGAAGGTACCTACTTAAAATCACCTCTAGGAAAAGATTTACAGACACAATTGATTACAGAAAAAAAACTCAAATGGTCGCCTTTAAAAGGACTTTAAGAGGATTTCTTACTGGTCACTGTAGTCTAAACGGATAGGGATACCTTAGGAAAATCGGACAGAAGAAGACTTGAATTCTGTCAGGAGCAATGAGATAAGGCCGGGCGCGCACTATCCCGACCACGACCACGACCACGACCAAACGCCCGACCAGTGGTTGTCATTCACCATGCGACCAGAGCACGACCCGACCAAGGCAACGAATGTTTACAAACTTCAGTGTCAGGATGATTGTTGAAGAAGTAGTTGTTATGGTGCATTTGCATCGTAAGTACGTTAAGCGGAAGAAGAAATTATACTGGGTACATCCAATGTTAACTGTCAGGTCTGAAAGGGCATTTTGCAACATTTTATGAAGAGCTACTGTAGTCAATATGAATACAGGTTTCAAAAGTGTCAAAATCCTGCGACATTTTGCCAAATGAGTCACATCACAGAACGGCGCAAAAAACTAGTGCTCACCGTTTGATTGGTCTATGAATACTGGAGGTTGAGTGGTGTACTGGTCGGGTCGGAGGCAAGTCGAAGGTAGTGCGCGTCGTCCCATTACATTGTGTGCTATTTTTGGCTGCAACGACCAGAGGGTCGGGCCCGACCAAACTGGAAAATTTTGGTCGTACGACCAGGGCCCGACCGGGGTCCGACCAGTCGACCAGTGCGCGCTGTTCCATTTATTCCTATTATAAAACTGGTCGTATCCGACCAGTCGGAGTCGTGGTCGTGGTCGTGGTCGGGATAGTGCGCGCCGGCTCTAATACTAATTAATCTTCTGGTAGTGTGAAGTGAGAGAGAATTGATCATCCCTGAGATAAAACATAGAAACCCATCAGCTATTTGCCAAAGGAATGAGACTGGAGGCCGGAGGGGGTTTTCTATCAACTCTGGAGTCGTAATACACTCTGCTCGTTGGCAGTAGTCAAACTGTGTGCGTTCCCTAAGATGTTGGTATCAGAATCAATAATGTAAATAGTTTACACCACTACCAACTCAGTTTTTATAAGAACATTCTTCAACTGTGCCTGTGTCAATAAAAACATGTAAAGAAAGTTTGATAGCTCTTCATAATAAAATATTCGACTAACAAGAAGTTACCTGTTGTAAGTAGCCACTTTGTGAGCAACTGTTACAATATGAAAGGCGTCAATGATTGCTCCACTGCCGACATAATTACTATCCAGATTAACTATCAAGGCTTGCCAGGGGAAATCACCAAATTTAGCCTGTTGGAAATCAGATTTTGAAGGTTATTAATATTAGTGAGTAATTTATATCAGTATTGTTAGTTATTGTGAAGGATGATTGCTTGTTCTACTAGCAGAACTTCCTACTAGCTTTATTTGTTATAATAGTAGGAAATATTGTTAGTGGCTTAGTGGGTTCAATAAGCAACACTTCCTACAAAATTGATTAGCTATTGTTTGGTTGGAAGTCAATATATGATAACTCCCAGCATATTGATCATTGTATAGGAATTAATTGTAAGTTCAACTAGATGATTTTAATTGAGACTCGTAATTTGATGATAAAGGTTTGTTATAGCAGTTAAGACAAGCTCAAAGACTTGTGCGTAAATGGGCCTGGGCCCCCAGGTGTGCAAGAGGTTTTAGGTTTGTTTGGAGCGGAAGGAGAAAATTCCCTGACAAGGTAGGGGTGAAGGGGGGTTATAAATATTACTCATAATGGAGGAGTTGAAGAAGAATGACCTTAGACTAACCTTAGGAAATAGGAACTTAGAGAAAAAAGTTGTTCAATATATGTTCCTATAAAAATCATAAATGTTTTATGAGCTTCCACCAAAGACTGTACAAGATTTATTTTGATTCCTCTTGCTTAAATTGCTACCCTAATATAACTACTGAAAGAATGAATGAATTGTCCCAAAATATCTCACTAGTTTTAAAAAGCTAAAGCTAAAAAATCATTCAAACTTGGATCAACCTGTCCGTCTGAGACGGGTGGTGAAGTGAGATTGTTGCTTCGTACACCACACTGATGTTGATCAGAGAAGCAGCAGTAGACAGTGCCAGGTTCACAGTCCATACCTTTTGGCGGCTGCAATCAAACAAATCACTTTCAGAAGTATAAGAATTTTTTTGGAAAAGGAATATAGTTTAGACAGCTTATCTGAGAAAATTAGTCCAGGGTCTAAAAGATACACAATAATACAGAACTCAGAACTGAACACTTATATTTTGTCCTTATGTGAGACTTCTTCAGAGAAGAGTAGGTATTTTAGAAGTATTTTTTTGAAGGAAAAATATCACTTTGCTTAGGAATAACTGAGGAATAAGTAATGGATTCACAATTCACTTGCTCAAAAAAGAGTTCCAGGCAGTTAAAAGCACACAGAAAGTGTGGCCTCCACGAGGGGGCTTCTTCAGATGGAAGTAATTGAAAATTACATAGGTACTTTTCAGGATGGAGGAAGTGGAATTGTGGAAGGACAGAAGAAGATGGAGAGGACTAGTGAACACCCAGACCCGAAGATAATCGGACCGGGAGAGGATATGTATGTATGTATGTATTCAGGACCGCTTTAGTAAATGGGCCCAGGGGGGCAAGAGATTTGTTTGGGGCGCAAGGAGGAGCAAAATACCCTGGCAAAGAAGGGGTGGGGCATAAATATCTCTCTTGCCTATAGAGCGTCACATGCAAACAGCAGGTCTAATACTATTCTACTGCTTCCTTATGAAGAAGCTCCCTTGTAGGGGCGCAAATTATTATAAAGTCAAAATCCTTCAAAGCGGATTGTTACTATGCTTCAATCAAAGAACGGCTGAGGAATTTGACAAAATGAGTGGATTCTTTGGGAGTTGCACAGGAGATCAGGCATTTTACTACTTTTTACTTATGAGATCAAAGACAAAAGGGCAAAATTATACATGATTTAATCAATGAACAATGAATCCCTGAAGCTACAACAGTTTTGCCGTTTCTCTTACACTCATGCAAACACTAACACCACTGAAGTCGTCTGTATTTGGAAAATGTGCCACTCTCATTATTGTCCTCTGAACGTCTTAAGCTATGTTAGGTGCCGGTCATATCAGATAGTGAATCGGCTCCCTTTAGCCAGTGGTGTAGCCGTAAAAATGTTCCAGTGTGGGAACGTTCTCCATTTTCACAGAAAAATACAGGTCACTTAACAATATATGGGTTCTTTCTTTGGAAAAAGCAGAGTGGTCCCTGTACGAGTTCCTGCACCACAACACTACCGCCTTTAGCTTATATTTTTACTATTATAAATATCGGTTTTTGTTTCTATTATTTTCCCCAACTTACATGAGAATTTAATACATAAAGGAGGTGAACACTAATATTGATTTACTATTGTGATTATACCGTAACAATCCTGATATCGATGGCTGGTCCCAGAGATTTCTCACAGAAGGCTTCTGATTGACAACCACAGACTGCTCCATCGACATCTGAACATAGATAATTAAATCATCCAATCACACTGATACCTCAAGTTTGACATGGTAAAACAACAAGTTCAGGGTGAAGAGATTCATTTGGTATTTAGCATATTTTTTTTAAATACGTACTTTTAATTCTAGATGCTTATGTGGAATAAAAAGATACTCGTAAGAATTAATGAGTTTTTACGTTTAAATTGTGTGTGTAGTAGGTCAGTTAGATCATTGACTATGGTTAGATACTGGATGAAATACATATATTTGTGTCAAACACTTTTTATATTTTTAATTTTAAAAGTTCTACGTATTAAATGCATACAGAAAAAAATTTTGATTAATTCTGTAAACCTAGTACAGAGTAGACACTTTTAAGTGTGCAAGCGGCTCGGTTTTGCTAAGCCTAAATGATCCGATCCATCAAAACATAGCAACAAACTTGATACAAGCTGAGTTTTTCAAAGTAAAAAATCACAAGTCACAATAATTATGATGTCTAAGCGTGATTGTGTAAAATGGTCACAATGTCCTGCAATGCCTAGAGGCTAATTCAAGTTAATTCAATAGTTTTGTTTATTCGTTTATTGTCAAATAGCTTTAGCTTCAATGTGTTTTAGTTTGTTTATCTCAATTCATAAATTAATTTTTAACAAGGCATTTAACTTAATATGTGTATGTTTTGATGTAACATTGCATGGATTAACACATACATTTGTACATTCATTTTTATCATACGGAATTACCCATGTAGCACAGATGGTTGGGCCAACGTTGGTAAATTGTGGAGCCACACAGTTGGCCAACGGTAGAAATGTCACCTCTTTAAACTGTTTTCCAGCCAACCATTGTCCAACAATGGCCCAACCGTTTTATTTCACACAAAATAATAAAGATTTAGTACAAAAAGCATAATTATTAGTTGAGTAAATTGATTAAATAGTTCATAAAAACAAATTTTGAAAAAAAGCTAGAACAAAATTTTTTGGCCCAGACGGGTCTCGAACCCGGGTCCTTCGGCTTATGAGCCTCTTACCTTACCACTGAGCTATCTGTGATTGTTGATTTAGAGAGTTTTCAAGTGGTGAAAGAGTAGCCGACAGTTGCAATGGTCGCAATACTTCAAACATTTTTGATACTACACAGTATAATATTATTCTGTTAATCTGTTAAGGCATCATAAGTAGTTATTTTTTTTTTTTGTAGTTAGAGAGGATACTGGTATTTGAATATAGATCAATTAATTACCGTTAGATTATTAATGCTATTATAATTAACTGTTATATGATTAATTACTCTTTCCCCTTAAATTGTTGCAAATAAGTTAAAGAATATTAATTTAAAAAATATTTGCATTATTATAATTATTAAAATTCATTGTTGTAGCCCCGGAACTGTAATATATAAAACTAGTGTCCCTGTTGCTCGAAATCGAGCAATTGCCGAGTATCACAGGCGTTATTTTAAAACGAATAACAGTCATAATTTGTTGATGACTTTAAAAGATTTGACTCAACGATTATGGAACACTCAAGATGTGCATAACAGATCGATGTAGTCAACATTTCTTGTAAATATCTTATCATTTTTCAAAAGCTGATTTTGTTTCTTAGTGTTTTCTTTCTACAAATAGCCTTACTCATAGCCACATTAGGTTGTCCATAATAACGATTATAAAAAAAGAAAAAAAAGAAAATACACATTATTTTTATTTCTTCCCCTTGGTGATGTTCTATGATTTTCCTATGTTTCCATAGTTTGCATTTGCAAATCGTCTCTTTCAATGATTACTAAGAAATGCAGCACAGTGTTAATTCAGTTTTCTTTTTAGTATATCAATTTAACCAGGTTCTCTTGTTTTTTTCCATTGTAATATTTACGCCAACCCAAATTCAAATAGTAAGTTAACTATTTCATTTCAACCAAGTAATTAAATGTTTGTAGCAAACTAACTGTAAATTAGCAAACTTATTGACTGTTTACAATAATTATTATATGTCCTTCTTCTCACTTTTAATTTCTGACAACAGCTGGAGTTTCATAACAATTTTTGTGTCCCATGTTAATCTTATGGAGAAATACGAAACTTTAAAGGGCCCCAGGGCCTCACCCTCTAATTATTTCCCTAAAAAGAAAGTTTCCTGCACAACTTCACGTTACGCTCTTTCCAATGACACCAAGAACATGTAAATCGGTTCAGTAGTTTCGGAGGAGTAATTGTCACAAAAAACCTGCTTGCGTATTAAATAAGTATAATAGATATCTGGTTTTACAATACCTTTATCAGTTCCAAAAACTTTTGGAAACTTTTGGAACTGATAAAGGTATTGTAAAACCAGATATTTTATTATAATTATGTTGTGAAAGCTAGACCCAGAGAATGAAAGTCGTGTAAACTCAACTATGGACCATCGTTGGTCCAACAAAAGTATCTTTTGTTGGTCCAGCGGAGTGAAAAACGGTTGGACAACGGTTGGCTTGATGTATGATACCCAGCAATGCATATTAATGTATTTCATTAACAATGAACCAATGTTGGTCCACAGTTGTAAGTATTGGTTGGCCCAACTACGAGATATACAGTTGGACAACGGTTGGTTGGTTGTGGAAGCTCCAACCAACCATCGACCAACTGTTCCACAGTTGGCCAACGTTGGCCCAACCATCTGTGCTACATGGGTAGTGTGTAGGGAGGGACCTCAAAATCAAACCTTAATCAAATACTTCTGTTAAAAAAGAAAGCTATACTGTATTAGATTAATGCTAAGTTTAAAATGGATTGAAAGTGTAAAGTAAGTAGGCCTACCAGTAATAGATATAACTTAATACCAGAAATGCACAATATGTTATACAAAACAGACATAATTTAGAATTATATAAAAAATACACAGTGCCTTAGATATATAATTTGTTTTACCAAAAGATATACAAAATTAATGTAATAGTAGGAAATTTTACTTTAAACTAAAGAAATTCCTAGTAGAAAAAGCAATGTACTCCTTTGAGGAATTTTACAATTTAAAATATTGTGAATAGACAATAATTAAGTAACTCGCTGACTCTATCCATTGTACTTGTACATTTATGAATAAAGGAGATTTTGATTTGATTTGATTCGACATAAATAGTAAGTAAAATAAATGACACATTTTTTATATAAAAAATCTTTGTTCAAAATAATCTCCTGACTTGATAAAAAATCTAAGGCTGACTGACACCTTTAGTCAAATTTTTTTTATCTTGCGTTATTACAACAAAATGATTTGTATATACCAAATGTGATACATCCTTTAAAAGTATAACTATAAAAAAATCCCTGCAAAACTTACCATTTGGAATTTTTTCCAATTTATCTAAGCTGCTATTTTCTTCACACATAAACTTTGTCATACAAAAAGCACTTTTGATGTTGAACAACAAAAGGATATACAACTTTAACATTTTTATTGTTTCTATATATTTTCAACCTGTGTGGTAAACAGTATGTCACCAAATATAGTTCTATGCAAATGACAATATTTTCTCCATAACAACTCGCATTTCCCCTAATTACCTTTGCATGTTGAGAAATGGGAATTGGATATCCTCTGCCTGCAGCAATTTACTGAACTAGAGGCTTCCTGGGATTTTCTATCAGTAATGGGGGGTGATTATCTTTTACGCAACAATTTAACTTTTAAAAGCAGGAATTCCCTTTCCAAGCAGACATTTTGGGATACTGTAAATAGAATGTAAAACATTTTACACTGGCCACCATCTCTCTTTGGATATTGTGAAGAATCGGTAAAGGTAGTGAATTAATTAAATAATTGTACCGTTCTACTGATACTTATCCATATAAGTCGTCTATTAAAAAAGTATCCGACCTTACCTTTTATGTAGTAATCTAATAACTGCGTTAAGTTGTACCCTGGCACATAGATCCAGGCAACAATAAAGCACATAAAGTGACCGGCCTTCTGGCAGTGGCCCTGATGTGAAACTGTGTACATATAAGTGTTTGTCATGTTTTTTGTGTTAAGCAAAATGACGGAATGTGGAACAGCGATACTGCAATAAATTTTGACTACTCAGTTATAATGATCAGATAATAATAATTATCAGAAGTTTTTGATACTGGTTTTAAACATGCTTTTCATCATTGAAAAGAATATTTGATTGTATCGAATAGGTAAAAGCAGTGGACGTGTCTCAACATGTCAGGACATTTTCTGGGAAAATATATTTGTTATCTTCATGAGGGGATTACATTTAATTTAGGATGCCACATAATGTAAAATGCTTAGATGATAAAAAATGCAAAGTGCATTTGAAATCTCTTTTGATAGAATTAAGTGTGTATGATGTTGACGAATTTATCACTTATTTAAGGTGTCCAAATTCAAATTCAAATAGTTCAAATTCAAATAGTTTATTGCCATTAAGTATACATGTCATACAATAGGCCAGGTCAATGGAGATAATATACAATTCAAAGTACAATGTACAGAGTCAAGTGTAAATAGATGAACATGCTATACTAATAAACTAATAATACTGGGTTTTTGTACAAAAGTATTTGAGATGTATTGATAATGATGATAATAATACTGTTTATAGTTAAGCAAACAAGTTGGGTAAGTGCCTATAATAAAATAATTAAGGCTAAAATTGGCAGTGAGATACAGCTTAAAACTAAATAACTATAAATTTCTAAATAAAGTTGACAGAAATAACATTATTATGAAAGACTATTATATCACAGTTCATGAAACCATTATTACATACTTTAGAAACAATACCCTACTTAACAATTAGAATTTTACAGAATTTTTCCAGTTTTGTAAATATAAATTTATTGTAAAATATGACGATGCCATACGTATGTTTTGTATGTTTTACGGCAATAAATGATTTGATTTGATTTGATTTGAGTATGTTTTATCTAGGACTGACACAACCTTGTTTCCTTGTTATAGAAAATATCTGACAGCGTTATAGTTACATGGGGGAGAGGGTGTTTACTCTTGCGTTTAGCAGTGTCACAGAGGGGAGGGGGGTGTTTAAAAATAGAAAACGTGCTACGTAATATGTAGACGGTCCCTATTATTGCACACGATTTCGTGGTTCGCTAGTTTTAGTAAAATGCAATAAAAAAAGAAATTTACTTAGCAGGTTTGCTGTGGCGGGGGTATTTTCATTTTCTGCTATGACCTTGATTATTTTTAGATTTAAGGATTGGGATTTCCCGCGAAATGAAATTTCCCGGAACAAGGAAACACCATTGACTATATAAATATATATAAAGGACTATATTGACCATATAGAAACTACCAATATAGTTTTTTAGTTTGAATATCGATTCAATGTTTCACCTTCAGACAATTCATTCAATTTAAATTATAAATGTACGTATTTATTATATAACACAAACACACCAAGTACGTATTAATGAAAGGGTAAGGACTAAGGAATAGCTGTAACCGTCGTGAAGTTAGCGCTCTTTTCATCGTCTCGGCGCTCTCATATAATTAAAGGTAAAAAGATTCTGGTTGGCACGACTGCGGCCTCCCCCAACGTTTTCGGCGGGGATGCTGGAAATAATATGCAATGCAAATACGTTGCATAATAATGCTATTTTATTTATAATGTCAATAATACATTGATAAAGTATCAAACAAGAGCTGAACTAGTTAATTCATGTATCATAATAGGTATATTTGAGGAAATTTGGAAGCTATGGCCAATTGAGTAACTTGATTTAATATGTTTGATTGGTACTCCGCGAATGACGGATAAAAGTGCACAATATTTCCCTATGCCGACCAATGGCGGCCGTGGCCGATCACATCGACATAAACTTAGAGCTACTCTAACGATAATATCCTACTATAATATTATAAATGAGAAAGTTTGGATGTATGTATGTTTGTGACAAGTAAACGTGAAAAATACTGGTCGGATTGGGCTGAAATTTGGCATGATGATAGCTCACATTCCCGATTAGCATATAGGCATATTTGTATACTGACTGAATGGCTAATAAGACCATTTATCAATCATCATAAAATTCTTAACTCAAAAATCCTTTCGGGCCTTGCCCCAGTGGCTCTGCAGTTCCCCGTGTTAACCTTTTGAGTATTTTCATATTTAAAGGGAATTAAAGAATTTAGCCAGCTGTTATACTAAAAGAGTTGGTTCTAAGATATGCAAAATAAGCACTATTATTTTTTTTTTAGCAAAAAAGTGATACGCAATGAGAACTGTCAAAGTAGGATTGTTTACAGTTATGTTTATGTTTTTAATTTCATGAATAATTTGTGGTATTTTGCAAATTTTAACAATCTATCTTTCTATATTGTGTAGGTGAAGTGGTAGAACATTATGGCTATGGTAGATGTGTAATACTATAGCACACTGTAAATTTGAGGAAGCAATTTTTCTCAAACCGCGTCTTCTCACATTGCAAACGCAAAAATCGAGTATAATGGCATTTATACTTATTTGCCAATCCCGTACGAAGGACGGGTACTCTGCTAGTGTACAATATTTGGAATAATAAATCTTAGTATGATTGAGGCAGTCCCGTATATTACGCACAAAGCTATTAAAATTGCTAATGTTATAAGGTATTATTGATATCAATTATAAATGTAAAAACATCATTATGATACGTATTTTCATTACATTGCATTTCCAGTATCCCAGAAGTAGTATAGACCAAACTAGCCGCAGTAGTACCAACCGGACAACCGGTCTATTACTGATAATGAAAGCGCCGGTGAATTGAAGAGTGTGGCTTTGGCTTACTGTTTTTCACGACGGTTATAAGGTGGCCATGTAATGTAACCTTGGCCGTGGCTTGGCTATATTTATATTCGATTCACTCAAAACCTCAACATTTCAGTCAACATCATTGCTAAGTCAAAGTCAACGAATTAATAGGCATACCGCATACCATTGACTATTGGGGAGTATGTTTTATCTATGCTATTGGATACAGAAGTTGTTGTATTAATAGTCAAAGATAATACGTATTTGTGTAGTATCGTTAGTTCTATCATTTATCATTTCAAATGGATTTAGTTTTTTTTTTTTACTTTTTACGAGTAATTTTTTATCTGGTCATTAAGAAAATTCCCACCTGGGAAATTTGTATTCTGTTGCCACCGCCGCCGCCCGCCACCCTGGTTGGTTGTTGGTTGGCCTGGTTAGTATTTTTCATTGCGTCTTCCTCCTTCAACGTCCATTTTTCTTCCCTTAGTTCCTACACTTCGGTTCGGCACAAGGTAAATTTCGCCAGAAGATTTGATATTAATTACTAACCAATTACGTAGGTAGTCTAAGTTTGAAGGCGTAACTAAGCTTTTTGTATTTCTCAAAGTGTTATGCATTGTCAATATTTAGACCTTTAATTGCGTGGGCCTCTTGACAACTACGCACATCACACATGTGCATGCTTTGTTCACGGCAATTTGAATATTTATATTTATTCCAGTGATATTAGCCATCTAATGGTACAAATTATAAATAGAAACGTATTTGTATACTAATTTTATGAGGTTTGAATGAACATTTATTTTTAACTATCACGTGAAGGTGTTGAGAAATGTGGTTAGGCCTAGTAACTTACCTAAGTTACTTAGTGCTCAGAAAAGAAGTGTACAGTGGCACTGGCTTTGAAGCTCTCGGGGTATTCAAGTGCTTGGCCGATTGTTGGATAGGCTAAGATCCAATCCCACCCAGATTGATTTAATTTTAAGTTAGGCTGCGGTAAATCACCCCACTTTAAAGGTCATCTTTGAGCAGCCCTAAGTAACCTAGGTAGAACCATTGAGTATTACGCCTACATTCATTCGAATGAATACCGTATATCAATTGATAGGCTATATCAATTATTGGCAAATATTTGATATATCTACAATGCAATATCGTGTAATTTTTAGATATCTACTTACAGTATTTTTCACACTGAATCCTAAAATGCAATCAGTTTTTGTCGGAGAGATTCTCAAGTGGCCGTACAAAGAAGGTTAAAATTACGAATCTAAGGTTCATTGAGCTATAGCCTACTTATGTTAATAATGGCGTGGTCTGGACGGGTGGACTGAGTGAGGAGAGCAAACAGCTGTTTATAGGCTACTCGATTTAGTGCGGAATGAAATCAATAAGTTTTGAAACCAAATAATCAGTTCTTATTTAGGCATGTGAGGAAGGTAGGTCGGGTTTTAACTTATGCGGATTTGTGACTGTATTAACCCTTTCAGTGCTATGAAACGATATATCGTTGTTTTAAAAAATCTCTAAGGGATATAGAGAGGAAGGTTATTTTAACAAAAAGTAGCAAAACCGCCATTGGTGACCTACATGTTCATACACTAACAACCACTTAGGCTAGCTAAAAGATTCGCCCAATCCGATGATTTCGAGGTGCATGTCTAAACCAAGGATTATGAACACCTCACTATGCTCCAGTGGTTGTAGTATATTGCTACAAACACACAGGTCACCAATTATTTGCCACACAGGACCGAATCGAACCCGAGCAGACGAATGCCACTGGCCAAGTGACACACGCCCTAGCCTTCTCAGCTATCTGTGCTTGAAGACTGAAGAACTGTCAAAAACCGGTATTCAAGCTGACGCCACCGATTGCGAACAGATAGCGGTACAGATGGTTGTTCAATGCGTTACTAGGTAGCAGCACTAGTTAGTCACGGACTATTTAGATGGTATTTTTCAGTTGAAACACAACAGTGATCATAAATGTGTTCCTGAGACTTTGCTGCAAAACATTATATTTTCCTAAAATGGCTATATAACGATAACCTCGTCCAACTAAATCAAAGTTCAATTTAATATTACATTGTAAACTATCTCCTATATCTTTTGATTTTGTGAGATTTTGGTTTCAAACAATGCTATCAGAACATAAAAATTTATAGGAAAATCGGAAAATTACAACAAAAACAAATGTTTTATTTAATGTTTACTACAAATACCGGGATTTATCTTTGTTATACAGGGTGCGGCAAAAGTCAGTATACCGAAAAAGCAGTTAAACTGTAGCTAGCATTAAACATAACTATAAAAGTATAATTTTAATGTACCTGTTAGAGAAGCTGCTCAAAGTGACCTCTATCATTGTCTATACACTCGTAGCACCTTTTCAACACTGACTTACAGATTTTGTTGCATAGTTGTGGTGTGAATAAAACATCAAAATGTTTTGTTATTAATTTTTTTAAATGTTTTAAACTTTGAGGATTCTCCGAAAACACGTGTTCTTTTAACAAACCCCACATACTGAAATCGCACGGAGTTAGGTCTGGGGACCTAGCAGGCCACTCAATAGTTCCTCTACGTCCTATCCATTCATCGAAGTTATCATTTAAAAATGCTCGAACATTTAGGCCATAGTGTGGAGGTGCTCCGTCTTGCTGCCAAATAATCGAACGACGACGCAACTGTTCAAAAGTGGGACTGTTTTCCAACTCCACATTTCCAACTCCTGTTTTCCAAGAACACATCTAACATCCTCTAAAGTTAGTTTAAGATTCATGATTAAAAACACCAATAATAGAAGTTAATAACACAAGCACTACACTCACCAACTTAACTTCACTGTCACTAGTGGCATACTAACAAAACAAACATTCATCGATAAAGAATAAACAAAGACAAAATCAACCACGACTAGACGTAAGATTAGATAAGGAATAATACTGAGATAATAATAGCGCGAGAGATAAACAATGACGCTCACCGGCCTGCAGCGGTATACTGACTTTTGCCGCACCCGGTATTTTCTTACTGTCTTATTTTTCAAAATTAGCCTAATCAATAAAATAGTGACAACATTACAGTTAAAATTCAACAACAGGTAATGGAATTATAAAAGGCAAACTAAAAAGTCTTACGAAATACGAATTATTGGCCTAGCACTGAAAGGGTTAAGTGTTTTGAAGTGAGGTTAGATTAGGTAAGTTAAAGGTTAGGTTATAATGAACCAACTCATTAATTTATGCAACTTCCAGACTGTTTTTTACACAATTAAATAACTTAGTGGGTGATACACAGCGAAATAACGATGTCAAAAATGCGTAAGCCACTTAGGAATCCCTCCGACAAAAACTGATTGCATTTTTGGATTCAGCGTAAAAAATACTGTAGCCTAAGTAGACATCTAAAAATTACACGTTATCACATTGTAGAATATCAAATAATTACTGGTTAACATAACGTATCTAATCAAATGAAATAATCGATATATCGAATATTCTATAATTTATAACTTATCGATATTTTTCATTTGAATGAGTGTAGGGCGTAAACTTAAGTGCAGCTTTTTTCGTTTTGAGAGTTCACCGGTGAGAACAAAAACACCATCTGTTGTAATTTACAAATATAGGCCTAGCCTATACATGTGTGTGTGTCCATTAGCACAAGCAAAAATTATCCAATTTCAAGTAAATTTGGTACCTACCAACGTAACGTACGGGCTACGTTTATTCGATTAAGTTTGTAGACCATCATGATCAAACTAACTTATGGAAACTTTTCATTTGGGTTTTTCTATTTTCACTCTAAAACATCTTTCTAGACATTTTGTTGAGCAAAAAAAAAAAATTTATATTGATGCATTGCTATCTGCTTAACATAAGTTAGTTGGGAAATTCAGTCAAAAATTCTAACTAAGTTAGTTAGAAGTTATTAGTTATTCGTGTAAAAAGTAACTGATAGAAGTTATTAGTTAGTTCAAGTTTAAAAAGTAGGCCTAACTGATAAAAGTTATAGTTAGTTGAAAAACTACGGTAACTGATAGAAAATAAAGTTAGTTTTTGTAGAAGTTAGCTGTTTGTTAGGCAGTTGTTTTAAAGGATTTCGTAATGACACATCTTGGTTACTAATCTAGAACTATAATATGAGTAAAGTTTGCGCACAATAACTCCAGCAAGTAACCCTAACAATGATTTAAAAAACTCGGCTCCTTTAGTTCCTTGTTTTTTATTCCATATTTTTCAAGTTTGTCTATCAACAAACTCCTGCGATGAACGCATTCAAAAGCTCTGGTTAGATCACACAGAACTCCAGTTGTCTTCTGAGATCCATCCAAGGAACTCGTAACACAGTTTACTAATTTAGTTATTGATTGTTGAGCACTTAATCATTTTCTAAATCCAAATTGGGAATCATTAAAAATATTAGGTAATTATCTTCTAAAAAAGTTCTCAATTAATTTTAGGTCAACATATTTTTCGAACTCTATACAGTACTGTATAGCTATTGGGCAATAATTTTCTGAAGTCGGGACCACATAAGTTTGCAGTTAAGGGAGGAGCCTATTTACCATATGGTTTTGAATGAACCAATGAGAACCGTGTGGTGTTGCCAAATCTAATAATACCAGCTGATTTGAAAATATTGCTTAGTATATTTTTATTAGTGATGTCAACGGGCGATGTGGCAACGTCGCACTAGCCTTGTCTTGTGATTGGCTGCCACCAACTGCAAACTTAAGTGGTCCCAACAATAAAATTTTTAATCATTTTTCTTATGGAGTGGTAAAATTTCTGAGTATTTTAGTTTGGGAAAATAACTTAGGTAGATTAAGGACTGGTTCATGGGATTACAGAGAGGAGTTTGTATTTCATCTATTACATTTATTTTTACAGAGAATAAATTAACTGTGGTTGTAGTTTGCTTGTTTAAGGATATATTTTAATCAAATTTGGCAATTTTGTTTATATCATCAACATTTCAATAAAAAGTAGCACCTCAATATCTTCCCTGTAGCATCAAACCTAAGTACTCACTAAAATTAATGTTATTTAAATAAGAAATAAATCTGACAATTTTTAGGGAATAGTTTAGTAGAAATCCAGCCGGGTGAATAGAAGTTCGCTTAGTCTGCAGGTTTGCTGTGGCGGGGGTATTTATATCATAATATTATTACAGCCCGACCATAAAAAAGAGGGTTTTCTAGACCTTTAAAACAGTGTTTCTTTTCTTTTAACTAGATAATGTGTTTTAAGTAATGTTTTTGTAATTTAAATTTAGCTGAAAAAGACAAACAATTAGATAAGCTACTGGTATACATTTTTTACTTTCTCGCTTTACAGGCTACCAAGTATTGTTTTTGGCAACACGTTTGAGTTTTGAGGAGATGTATCCGTTTTGGGTATAAAAATAACTGTTTTGATTAGCCTACAATTTTTATGTTGTTGTCCTTATATAGTTCTAAACAAAATAGTGCATCAAAATATTTCTTGTAAAAATTACGATTCAAAAGTTATTGCTACTTTTGCTATAATCCCTGTAAAATATCATAGTTGCCCCCACCACTTACCTATGATAAAAGGTTGTTGACAAGCTAATGGGAGAAAGTATGTATCAGATAGCTGATATTGTTCATTATCTTAACTATTGCTTACAGAGATATTTCCTCAACTTGTTTTGTTGACAGCAATGGCAGCAGAACCTGAGAGAGTTGGTGATGCCTCAGATGAAGTAGAGGACATGGAAGACGAAGAGGAAACCGGAGCTGACATCAGCTCTGCAATACTTCGACGTCCTGATCTGTTGGCAGCCCTGCAAGGACAGCTGCATCAGGAGATGTTGCAGGTCCGGAAATAGTTCAAAACTCAGTGCACAGTTGCTTACAAATTAATACTTAGGGAACCACATTGGTAAAAACATAAAGGACGAATTGGGGTCATTTTGATCGCACAATATACTTTTTATTTATTTATTTTTAATTTATAAGTTTAAAGAACTATGGAGGAGGTAGCAAAAAAAATGAGTTGTATATTAACTGTTATTTATTATATCTAAGTATAATTAATGAAATGTAAACATTCGATTGGGCTTGCGTATTCCATAACAGGTTGCCGCCGACCTGGAAACTCCCAATTGTACTTGAGTTTTGATGACAGGGGGGAAAATCTGTGAATTGTACCTGCATTTTGTATGGGACTGAGGAATTTCAGTTTGTGAAAGATAATCACAGATGCCGCAACGACTACGGGGAATCATATCAGTTATTTACGTGACCATGAAAGATGATGGGCGTTGACATAATCGCTGGGGATTCATGAGTGTTGCTCAGGGAAAATCATAATTGATGTAACCTCAATGCCAAAATGTTTTGATATTAACAGTTTTGAGAATCAATTGTAATTTTAGAGCTGATCTAAAATAAACAAGTGAGTACAGATTTCTACAGTATGTTCAATACATGGTGAAGTTTTAAGTACCTACAAGTATTATAGGATTGTTGGTTATAGTAGGATAGTTTGTGCTGGTACGTCAGCTCATCAGCAACTGTGTACTGTTTAGAATAGGTTTGAACGGATTAAAAATTTTAGTTAGCTACTCTTGCTCAGTGATTTTACTGAGGTAGCCTATTCATCAATTGTTAAAACACAATATTTTAGGAACAGGTGCATATAAATTTACGGTTGGAAATTTAAGTCAGTTAAGTTTGCAAAATATAAATAAAACACATATTTTCATATTTTACCATTACATCAACGTAAGTGACCAAGTAGTACTTTTGACTATCAGCCAGTTTTTTTTTTTTTTACTTTTTCTCTCTATCCATAGTAGGCTACATGGAGAAAGTATTGTTTTTGTCAAAAAAATTTAGTTTGAGTTTTAAATGGGTATATGCGTTTTGGGCCCCCCTGAAAAAAAAAATTGTTTTGGAAGTTATGTCTGTCTGTGTGTCTGCCTGTATGTGTGGATGTGTATAGAGCTTCATACCACACCTTTAGTCCAATTTTTATTTGATATCTCGGTAAGTTAATTTAGTTACCACTTGAAGAAAATAGCAATATATGTTTGCTAGTTTTTTTTTAATTGTTGGAATACTTGAATCATAATTTATTTTTGAAGTGTTTTGCACCTTGCATTATTCTTGAACCTGAGTTATTTTAGGGACTAATATTAGTTTTTAATTTAATAGGGGTAAATGAGTAAGTTTCCTATATTTGCGACAAGTTTGCATATGAACATTTTGAACCAGGAAAACATGACGTTTCCTTTAATTATATTTCCATGGGAAGCTAGACACCCTGTGATAATGTAAACAATTTACTTTTACAGAATCTTCCTGCTCCCGTCAAACGTAGAATTAAAGCTTTAAAAAAGCTGCAGCTAGAAGCAACACACATAGAGGCAAAATTTTATGAAGAAGTCCATGAATTAGAATGCAAATATCATCAGTTGTACACTCCACTGTACAAAAAGGTAATTAAAATATCATTAATTTAGGCTACATAGCTTTAGTAAAATCTATTATTACTACCCTAGTTTGTTGCTATTTATTTTGATAACAAAGTTATTAGATTTATTAATCAGAGTTTATTTAGATAAGTTAACAATGTTAACTAGGCTATTCAAACAGTAGAGTAGCTAACTTAAGTGGTCATAGTGCTCGCCTGAAAATCAAAAGGTCGCCTGGATTAAAAAGTCAGTACCTTATTGATGGTTCAAAACTGACTCCACCTGTTTTAATGATGGATAATTAAAATAGGGATATCTCCTCATTCTATACTCTGTTCACAAAAAGTTAGGCAATTTTATGGGAAGAAATGTATTGCCTTCACTTGATACTACTTTTAAAACAACAAGCTGCAGTTTGCCAAAACGGCAATCAGCTGCAACATATACATTAAATAAAAAAATAGTGGTGGGGGAACTTCCCCTAAACCACCTAAATTTTGTGAAAAGAGTTTTAACAAATACAGAATAGAGTTTTAATAAACTGTTCTGGCTTAAAAACAGGTGATAACAACAAGGCTACACAGATCATCTCACTCTATTCTACACTCAACTAACTTGCATTCATATTTGGTTTTACATAGACACGTAGGTGTGCAGCAATGCTAGCAGTTGAAATTCTTATTATTGAAAATTTTAAAGATTACTTTTTTTATTTGTTATTGAGTGACATGCTGTCAATCATTACAAGATAACATTCTTGATGATTCCACATGTTGCTGCGTTTTAAGTAAACATCTTCATCTCTAGGATTTAACATCAGAACATTGATTACTAGTTTAGAAATATATTTTTTAGGTGTAATTATTGTTTGATGTTGTATAATAAGTATTATAGTATTTGTCTATCTAGTTTTGTATTAAATAAAATATTATTTGAAGGGGTTTCTCTTTTTAAATGTTTTTTCATAGAAAGTTTGTGATTTTAATGTTAAATTTAATTAACAGTTAGGTCCTAAACATACTAGTATTTTATTCAAACAAAAAATGTCTTTGGCCGAATAATTCTTTACTTGAACTAAGAAATAAAGTAGGCTACTTTTACCTTTTAATTTATTTTCCTCACAATAACACGAGAGTTCCGTCCAACGAGCTTTCTAGTTTTTTGGAGAGGTACAGTACTTAAATGGAAGTGATCTTCGGTGCCCAGTTGTTATATCTGGGTACTATCCTCTAGGCTTCCAACATGTGATTCTTGTAACAATTTGTCTTTTTCAACAAGCTCTTATGAATATAAATGTTTTTAAGATCTAAAATGCTTGGTTTAAAATATATTTTTGGCTTGTTAAATCCTACGATAGTCATGGACAGGCTACCAAGGACCCAAGGGTTGAACACAGGTATTCGATTGTTCACTGGTGCGGTGGCCGGTCCTTTATTACTGCCGCTAGACTCAATTCACACTGAATGGTACTAGGGAGCCCAATAGCATTTCCTCAATATATAAATATCAGAAATAACAATAACCACAAACTCAATGAAACAGATTTTAATGTCACTGATAAATATAAATTTCTTGTGATTAATATAGATCAACGTTTTAATTGGAAATCACACATTCAATATTTGGATAGTAAAAATTGACTTCTTTTGGGATTTCTATTAAATATATTCAAAATTCAGTGTCACTAGCAACATTAAAAATTATTTATTATGCTTATATACACTCTCTGCTTCGTTATGGAATTGTTCTGTGGGGAAACTCAGGAGATATTAGCAAAGTTTTTAAAGTCCAAAAAAGTATTATTAAGAGCAGAATATTGATCAAGCTGTCGTCGTTCTTTTAACCCTCCGAGTGTCCCTTGTTTTGGCCTTAATGTCTGCCTATTTTTTGCTCATTTGCAAGGTTTTATTAAAACGGATCTGAGAAGCTTGAAAACAATGTTAATTATACTGTTCTATATACCATTTTGTTTGGAAAATCATAGGCTTCAATATTATACATAGAACATAAGGAACATTTGTTTCAAAAAAAAATTTTAGGTAAAAAAAGAAATATTTTGGAAAATTTTCAAAAAAAAAAAGTTTGCGCTCAATGAAATTGTATAAATTATAGGCCTATAAATATTTGAAAATAGCCACTTTATTCTAAATTTTATGTGGATTACAAATATATAATAATATAAGGAAGTAGATTTGCAAATAAATAAGTTATGGGCAAAAAAACAGATTTCAGTACATAGCGTTTAGCTAAGAATGCATAGCCTAACCATAGCTAGGAATCTGGCTGATAATTTACATCAATATCACTACCTACTTCTTCAGGATCATCAACCAGCCCTTCAAAATCACTTAAATCTTCTTATAATGCACCACGTATATCACTACTTTTGATTTTTAACACTAAAACAATCACATCAGTCGTCGGTCCGAGGTTAACCAAGCTGTTTACAAATATGCACGTCAGCTGTCTGCTACAATATTTTTGGAACTAAAATGAATAGCGCTTAGAGACAGACCTCCGGAGAAAGCTCTGAATCTGTCAAATAAAACGATACCTAACTCGATCCAGTTCAATCCGATTTTGTCAGTCATAGAGCCTACGCCGTAAACAGTGTTTGTGAGTCGCTGCAGCGACAAATAACACTCGGAGGGTTAAAGAATTAAAAATAATGCCATTGACTTCTTTGTACATCTATGAAACAGTAAATTTTGTTCATTTAAATAATATTTTTGATGAATTTAGACCCACTCATAGTTATAATACCCGAAACCCAATTATGCTAAATTATCCAATTCATAAACACTCATTTTGAAAAAAAACCCATCTATATGGAAATTTGTCTATATAATAAGATCCCCTCAAAAATAAAATCCTACACACCACAAAAATTCAAAATCTGGACTAAAGCATTATTGGTAGAGAAATCATATTACTGCCTGGTAGATTTCTTAAATGACCGTGACATTAATTAATTTACCATTAGTTGATGTGAAATATGACTCAGATCGTTCTTTTATTGTTTTTGTCTCTGATATTGCTTCAAGATCTTCATTTACATTTTTTTTGCTAACTTTTTTTAATTGATAACTTTTTCTCAATTGTACTGTTCTTGTTGTATTTGTTGTAACTTTTTAGTTTTAATAACTTATTGATTGACCATGAATCTGTACACCATTGCCTTTGTAATGAAGAATGTTTTATACAATAAAATACTTATGACTTATAAACACAAATTAAACTATGCTGTGGTTTCTCTAATAGTGTGAGTGAATTCGGTACCAAATTTCACAAAAAAGTCAGTCAAACACAAATCAAGTTTTTATTCACATCATTCTACGACAATCTCCAAACACCCTGACAGTGTTTATATTACCTTGTTTATTATTTCCTGCCACTAGTTTTAGTGAAAACTACAAACAGAGATGCCAACATTTATGCTACGTTCCAGAGGTCCACAGTGGTCCAAGGCCTGTACGAACCTAATGATGAGGAATGCGACTTTCCCTCCGATGAAGAGACAGAGGAGGACTTGAGCAACGAAATCAAAACCAAAGTCAAGATTGAGGACGTTACGGAGACCAAGGAACCAGCCACTGAGTAAGTCAATAAAGTAGAGAGTGAAATCTTTGAATATTGATGGAATTGGATGTTCCACCTCCATGTTAAAGTTGCTGCCATTTATTAAATCAAATTGGATATAGTTAAACCTGACAGAGTGGACTGATGTAAATTACAGTAGACCTCCTCTCAACCAACCTTGCAATGTAAATTGCAGTAGACCTCTTCTCAACCAACCTCGCATTGTAAATTACAGTAGACCTCATCTCAACCAACCTCACATTGTAAATTACAGTAGACCTCCTTTCAACCAACCTCTTATTGTAAAAAATTACAGTAGACCTCCTCTCAACCAACCTTGCATTGTTAATGACAGTAGACCTCCTCTCAACCAACCTCGCATTGTAAATTACAGTAGACCTCCTCTCAACCAACCTCACATTGTAAATTACAGTAGACCTCCTCTTAACCAACCTTGCAATGTAAATTAGAGTAGACCTCTCAACCAACCTCGCATAATAAATTACAGTAGACCACCTCTCAACCAACCTTGCAAAGTAAATTAGAGTAGACCTCTCAACCAACCTTGCAAAGTAAATTAGAGTAGACCTCTCAACCAACCTCGCATTGTAAATTACCTCTCAACCAACCTCACATGGTAAATTACAGTTAGACCCCTCTCAACCAACCTCACATTGTAAATTACAGTAGACCTCCTCTCAACCAATTTCGCATTAACCGAAACCGATAATCTAAATATCCGCATTCGCTCTTAAAATATTGCAGTTTGTTTTAACCGACTTTGTTTTGAGAGCAGTTGGATTTAACCGCCGCTTTCTAGGAATCTTGGCATTTCTGCTCCCACGCTCAACGATGGGAACAATACGCTAAACTCAACAGTTTGTTACTGTATAAATAAACATCCTGTCTCGTAGCAAAATGGTTGCTTGTGTCTTTCGACAATAAATTCTGTACTGTATTAAGATAGATTTGAAAAGCATAAACTAATATTACTTAAGGTATCAAAATAAGAATTTTTATTGGCCCTTGCCTACGACTATAATTCATTCCTCTGAAAGTATTTGAACTTACCGTATTTTGGGTTTATTTGTGACTTTTCTATTGTCAATACATGAAAAAAGGATATAAGTGTACCATTAGTTGATTTTGTAATACAGTAAAACCCCTCATATCCGGCTACCACGGGACCAAGCCCCTAGCCGTATAAACCAACCTGTTAATACCTGTTAAAATGACAATTAATACCTAATAATATTTCATCAATATATGCAGTCGGAAGTATCATTCAAGTTTATTCTGGGATTATTTTTAGAGGAATAATATTGTTTGTAAAAAAAAAAAAAGATAAATTTATTTGTAGGTTAAAGTTGTTATGGAATGAACGTACAAATATTAAGATTCTAGGTAACAAAAACTATTAAATAATAATAGAGGTAAAAATGACAATAAATTGGCCTTGAAGATCATTAGAACTTAAATGGTAGCCTACATACATTTCTAATCAACTTGCTTATCCATTTTGAAAAAAAAAAAATTAAATTAAATTACTAATCCCACTTTGGAAATAGTGAACCAAATGTTCAGAAGTTAAACATAGCTCTTCAACTGAGTATAGTGACACGGTAAAATTTATAAACAAACAGATAAATAGTTCAGATAAATAGCTCAAGTTGCAAAGACTAGTGCTTGCTACTAAATGTCTGTAAGCTGCGAGAAAAACATTTTGATATTGTCTTCTTGGAAGGGGCCAGGTAAACAGAGGACCAGTAAAACCGAGGCCGAATATCAGGGGTTCTACTTTAATGCACACACTTCAGAACAATTATTAACTTGTATAGTTCTAAATGAATAGCAGCTTATTTTTTAGGGTTTCCCGTTTTAACCTACCTTTTGAGTTATCTGACATAAGGTCCGGTCTTGTTGGGGTCCGGTTAATAGAGGGTCTACTGTACTGATTTTTAACTTTTTTAAATTTTGATTTTTAACATCAGTTAGTTGTTAATATTACAATTTCATATTAATGAAATGTATGATAAGTAACTTATACAATCTTCAGCCAAATTTGGATATACCTAGCTATGCCTTTATGGCAGTGCTTTGATTTGAGTTATTTAATGAGACCATTTTATTCCTAATCTCTTAAGAGTTTTTTCTGATAAGAAATCTAATTAACTTAGGTCCTACTTACTAGATTATCAAGTTGAAAGAAAGTGCAAGTTAAATTTAGTATGATTGGTATTTACAGTAGTTTTGAATAGGCCTATCAGTTTTACTACTTGTGTTATTTAATTTCCTCATATTGACATTTAAGTTCCGGACAACGAGCTTTCTTGTCTTTTGTGAGGTACGTAAATTGAAGTCACCTTCGGTGCCCATTTCATAGTAAATATTTGGGTACTATCCTCTAGGCTTCCTACAAATAATTATAACAATAACTACTTTGATATGATAAATACTTAAGCTTAACCAATAAAAGGTTGCTATTTATTATTGGGTGTTATATGTTTATTGAGCTATGATTGAAATTTGTAAGTTTATTAGAATAAAAGGGCTGTTTCCATTTTATCACAAGAAGGATTTTGAACTTGCATTAACATCTAACCTTTACCCTTGCTTAAGAAGGGTATGAGGAGTTAGCTCGAACTATACCAGTTTTGGCTGATAGACAAAACTTTTAAAAATAAAATTCAGAACTGATTCTTCTAGTGTTTAAAATTGTAAGAATAAATAAATTACTAACGTCAAATAGCTCAATATTGGATGGTGAGTTTCATTTCTGAACAATACTGAATGAAACTCGCCATCCAGTATTGAGCTATTTGACGTTAGTAATTTATTCTTACAATAATATCTACAGCTCAGGGGGGCTTAACAATAAATTTAAACACGTTTAAAATACATATGTTTAAATATAGTGTTAACTGCATGTGTGTTGGGGAAGACATTTTTGTTCAACAGTTAACAGCTCCAGTTGAAGCAAACTTAAAGACTTACAAAACACATTTTATTGCTTTGTAGTAGCCAGTGTATGATATATTAGTCTTTCACATTTAATCAAGTAGCCAAGAATAATCATAATCTTATCAAAACAAACTCGTAAATATGCTCTTAGGCCCATTCTACACAAGCGTGAAACCTGCGTTGAGGTCACTCGCTCGACAGGGACCATTGCGTTAAATTGGGGTGTCCTCACGAATGGGATTTACGACCCGGATGGAGGTTTCAGTAGACGGGGGTGCAGCGTTGACGTCTAGCTCACACCTCAAATCTATTGTTCAGTTGCTTTTGAGTTCTACACGGTGTGATGTGATGTTCGATCTTGAATGTAGCATTAAATTTGTTTTTTATGTTCTACATTTTGTATTCCTTTAGTCAAAAGTATTTTTATTTAAACTATAAAAATAATCGGCCGGCTATTAAGTTCATAATGTGTTTGAAGTTTGGTACATTTAATTTATTAATATGAATTACAATAGAGATTAATTTGTAATGGCAAAGTATATACAAACAATAATCACCATATTCAGCCAGAATTTGTTTACATAAAATGAATATTAAAATTTATTTGTCTGTGATAAGCAACTGTGTTGGACTACTCCAGTTATAAAACTGAGCTCCACCATGTCCAATAAGCGTCTAGGCAGCCAGTACAACTCCGAGGATCGTGGATCAGATTGGAAAACCCCCCACCACTGCTCCATGCCGATGGCGTGACTTCAACCATGACCACAACGATACGGAGCTGAGTCATGAGCCTTGATGGGGTAGTGGATAGGTGTCTGGCTGATAATCTGAAGGAGCCGGGTTCGGATCCCGCTGGTAGCACTAACATTTTGTCAACAATTATTTTCATATCAGCAAGTTTGGATGGTTTGGTTAGGTTATGACAGTTTAATTTTATAAATAAAAAATTATAAAATTAAATTTGAGACATTTATAATTTTATTTTTAGATCAGAACTATTTTTTTTATTAGTAAACCTTTATTCGAGTTTTTCATTATCAGCAAGTTTGGTTAGGTTATGACAGTTTAATTATACTTAATTTAAATTTAACATACAAATGATACGCTTTGACAGCGACAGTGATAGAGATAACAATCTTCCGCGAACAGTTAGGCTATGCTGATGCGCCGGTATGATTCGGAAGCGTACGACATGGTGCGGTGGTGGGGGGGGGGGTGTTCTGATCCACGATCCTCGGAGTTGCACTGGATGCCTAGACACTTGTCCATGTCCATCCTGACAGTAGTAGTTAATATGTTAATAACATATGGTAATTGTTCAATATATGTTTTGAGTTATTGTGTTATATTTTAATTGAGTTTTTGTTTGAATAGAAATACAGTAAACAATCTTTCATGAATTCAGTACAATTATTTAATAATTAATCTAATGACATGGTTTTGATTGGGGGTTTTTTTTTTTGTAGAAATACACAACCTTTTATGAATTTAGTACAATTATTTAATAATTAATCTAATGACTCATCTCACGTCTGAACCGCCCCATGTTGAATAGTCCAACGGTTTCAAGCGGACTCCATGCAACGGGTATCCCGACATGTGTAATTTACACACATTTTTGGTGTGGTCACGTGACGGTGTCGCGAAATTCACGCTTGTGTAGTGGGGCCTTACACAATCCTGTTGTTAGTTGGATTTAACAGTCGTGTTAATTAATCCTGGCAGAAAATTTATACATTTTTCACCATTATCTGTATTCACCTTCAGTAAGAGCATTTTTAAAAAATTTAAGAATGAAGAACTTAATTTATTTACGATAATACCCTCTCAACATCTCTTTTCAAAGATAATTATTTTCCTCACATCGACATGAGAGTTCCGGTCAACGAGCTGTTTTGTCCATAGTGAGGGTACATCAACGGAAGTCACCTTCGGTGCCCATTTCAAATGAAGTATTTGGGTACTATCCTCTAGGCTTCCTACAAATAATTATTACAATAACAATTTCAATATACTTTAGTTTATTGCAAAGATTTGTAATCAACATAATCTAATTTTTAATTTAAACTCTAGGAGCTCTGCAGATTATTTTACTTTGTTTTTTTTACAGAGAAGAAAAGAACAAGGCTAACGCCAACGGTATCCCGGACTTCTGGTTGACCATCTTCAAGAATGTTGCTATTCTTTCGGAAATGGTTCAAGAACACGATGAGCCGATCCTCAAACATCTGATTGACGTAAAAGTCAATCTCCTCAAGGCAGACCCTATGGCAAGTCTTAAAAATAAATGAGAAAAATTATTGTGCTTGATGTAGATAGGTATGGTATTCATGCATTGCAATATGTTGTCAGAATACTTTTTGTTCAATGGGGCTACTCTTGAAAATTGTGTGTTAATCTTGTATTTTTTACCTTGTGTTCTTTCAAATTCACTTTATTATTGTCACATAAAGTATTTGTACATGTTGCAAAACTATTAAACTGGTGATTTGTCAATTCAATCTTAACCTGCAATTACAGAATTCTTTTGTCTTGACCTTAAACTTTTAGAGAAATGAAAATTAGGTACATAACAATATTGCTTAATTTTGTAAAAAGTCACTTACAGAGTAAAATGTTTGGTAGCCTATAAAAGATAATTTGATAGTTTTCTGATTACATAAGGCCGATAAAATGTCATAATGCAAACGATTTTTTTTTAACTTCTATATTTTTTCCAATCAGCCAGTGAACTAACTCCATAGCTCAATTCCATATATCACTATGGATAAAAAATATGCAAAATAAAACATTAATAATATTATTCTAGTTTTCAAATCAGTTAGTCATCAGACTAGACCAATTCGCTCATCACTAGGCAAAAATGGGGTTTGGATTCAACTAGGGGTGTGCGATGCATCGAAAATGCATCGAAATTTCGATTTGATTCGATTCGATGCATCGAATCGCGATTCGATTCAGTGGTGGTCAAAAAACGATTCGATTCACGAGGGAGTCAGTATCCATATACGAAAAACGCCTGCAGAAAGTCAATGCAATACCCGCAATACAGGAGCGCGTTGCTGTTGCGTTTCCTTTACGAAGGCGTTCTTATTTAATACATTCTTTGCATTAAATATAGCTTTAATTGTTTTATATTTTTTTGTTTTGACATTGCAAATGATTAGGGGTTTGTTTTTTGTCTTGATGTAAGCAGTGTGTGAAATATTTTACTACTGTGAACCTAGCCAAAACAAGGTAGGTTACTCCAAAATCATTTTAAAAATAAGTCTGAAAAATTGTTACTTAATACTTAACTAGTAAGATTAATGTTATAGACTGATTCATTTGGTATTTTTGTTAGGTGTCTGCCGGTCCCCGTCCCCGAATTTTTGTTGGGGCAAAAGAAAAAAAAAAGAATAATTTTTTTCCAAAGAAACACTCTTATATTATTATATCTATTATTACAGAGGAATTAAAATGTTCAAATGAGAATTAAAAATTAAGTTGGCTCACGACCTTTAAGAATAAAGACACAACAGAGCAATTGCCGCACTGCCACTAGCCAGAGCCAGGTCTAGTCTTCTACTGATAAGAGTAACAAGACAAAAGCCGTGACGCAACACTAACAGTGCAAAGAAAACAAAGTCAAAAGAATAGAAAGACTATTTATCCAGACATACTAGTATAATCATTTATTGTTTATTCTATACCTAATTAAAAATATATTTTATTATTTTACATAATAAATTATAAACAAAAGAAATATCTGATATAGTGAACAGATCTGTATCTTGGTTAGATGGGGTTAAAAAAATATATTTCTAAGATCCAATACAATATTTACAACTCACAAATTACATTGAATTAATTTCTTTGAAAATAATCTCTAACAGTTTTGTGTTTTTGAATAAAGAAATATATTTCTTTGTCTCTACTTCCTTGTTTCATCACTTGCATTTTGTCAGCAATTGAAGCAACTGGGTAGCAACCGGGTGGTGTAAGAGGGGAGGGGTAGGGTCTATGACCTTGAATTCACACATCGTTGCCCGGGCCTGGCTGGTGAGACTGATTCATTGTTTTTGTTGACATACTACTACCCTTCCTTAAGAGAAAAAGGCCCTGCTGTTCCAAAAACATTGAGGGTAGTTTAAAAACATTGACCTGTGTTGTCAAGGGCACTAGGCTAGAAGATAGCATTTAAATCTACATCTCTTGTCTCTTGGTTTCTTGTCTCTTGATTTAATATTATTTTAATCTTCTATATATTATTTAAGAGTTAATTTTCGGGTACCTAATTAGTTGTGATATTGTTTGGCTTTATTTTATGGATTTTTAATTCTTTTCATTCATTAGCTATCCAAATCAGTTGCTTTAGGATTTTAATCTCTTGCAATAGGTCTATACTACTGTATGACATGATATGCATTTTTTAGTCCTTATTAATTATACCATAAACAATGTTTGTATGTTATTTACTGTTTTTGAGTTTTATAGGAAATTAGTTTACACAATATCTTTTCTTCAATGAGTTCTCCACTTGACATGTTGCTTCTAGCCTATTACTATTTTAGGCCCTATAAAAATAATGCCTAGGTAAAGCTGTAGGCCTACTGATGCCAATAATAATTCTTTATTTATGATGATGTAACAAATAATGTAAGTGTGAGGTTATTATACTAAGGAGGTTAGGAGGCAGGGAATGAATGATACATATTGCATGGTGGAAACATATTATTTTTATTTTCTTCTTGCTTGCAGTCCTGAAGCTGGTCCACAGGCCCTAAACTTGTGATATGTAAATTTATTTCTTAATGGTCTTTTTATATTAAGTTCCATTCAAATTTGTTGTAATTTAGCTACCGGCACCTATTTAGTTATTTAAACAGTTATTAAAATGAGAATGAATGTCTTGATAAAAAAATATTTTCTTCTTTCTTGCAGTTGAGCCAATTCAAGTAAAAATTATGAAATAGGCAAGTAAAGCAGCTCACTGGTATTTCCAGCAGTTATTCTAATACATATGATTGAAAATAAATATTTTTTCACCTAAAATTCATATGTTAAGTATGAAATAGGCCTAATACCACATCAACAAAAATTGTTATTACACAAATGTGATACATTTTAATTATTGTTAATCCACTCAATTGACAATTATGAATAGAAAAATACCGTATTGCTTCGAATCGAGTTGCATCGAATCGAATCGAAAATCTTTTGAATCGAATCGTTGCTTCGAATCGAAAATTTTTTGCTGCTTCGCACACCCCTAGATTCAACTATAAACTGTAGGTCCCTTAGTTAGAATTTGCTGTATAGGCCACATTAATTAATTATCATCTGTGTCCAAGGAATATGTCAATTCAATTCAAAGATACTTTATTCACAGATAGGTATACAAAAGTATGCATGAATGGCGTTCAGAACAATACATCATACATTATATCGCCTAATAACTAGATAGAAAACTGATACATTATACATATATATAAAATAAATATCTATTTAAATGACCATAAACACTAAAAATTCCTCAAAAACTGTATAGCGCTTTGGCCGCAAGAAATCTTTTCAATTTACTTTCAAAGCATTTCAAACTCTTTTCAGATTTTATGATTTCAGGAAGGAAGTTATAGTATTTTATCCCAGAAACAGTTGGATTTTTGTTTGAAATTGCTTTTTTTGAAATATATTAATTTGAACATTTTCCCGATTTCTTGTATAATATGTGTGAACATTTCGTTGTCTTGGCAAAGTCTCTTAATTATTTTTTATATGCAGGGTGTCCACCAACCGGGAATTATTCGTAAATTATGTATTTAACCGGGAATAATTATTTGAATTAGCTACGATCGAGGAAGATTATGATAACTATACTGTGATCGCGGGAGACGATTATAATGTTTCCGTTACCGGCTACGTGCAATTTTTGTAATTTCTGTATTATTATGTCTGTAGGCCACTTGGAAAACAACCCATTACTTCAAAATTATACTATATGAAAGTACATAAAGTTTTACAAGATTTGCATATTTTAAACGTGTTTAAATTTATTGTTAACCCTTCCCGGACGGGTGACGGATATATCCGCCTTCTTTTCAGACAGACTGGCAGGTGCTTGAGCAGTAACCAGATGTTTCGCGGTACCAAGGCCTGCTATCAGGCTGCGCTCTCTCCCGCACTCCCCCCTCTCTCACGAGCCTACCCTCTCCCGCTCCTCACCTTCTCCCCTCGCACCACCCACCTCTCCTATGCTCCCCCCTCGACGTTTCACGCTCAACACTACGTTGTCTTTATTTATTGTTTACATATTGTTCTTTATTTATTTTACTGCATTGACAATGTCATCTATTCTGTTCTAGCTTTGCTAGTTGTTAAAGAATGTACTTTCATGACAATAAAGATATTCTTATTCTTATTCATTCTTAAAATTTTAAACGTGATCTATTGTGATCTTTCAGGGTTTTGTCCTCGAGTTTCACTTCTCTCCAAATGAGTACTTCAACAACACGGTCCTGACCAAGGAGTACGAGATGAAATGTTCCCCAGATGAATCTGATCCTTTCAGTTTTGAAGGTCCGGAGATCTACAAATGCAAGGTAACTTTTTTATGCACTTTCAAGGTCATCTACTAAGCCACTGAAGTCACAAATTTTACACTAGGTATTTAACCTTTTATTTGTAAAAAATTTGATCCTGAGGCTAAACATGTTAAACATGAATCATACAGTACATTTTTAACTAGTGATTTGTCGGTTCCAAAAGACGGTTCTCTGTTCTTGGGAAATAACCGGGACCGAGAACCGATGGTAAAATGTAGGTTCCATCAACTACTTTACGTATTTGTTTAGTTCTTAAAAAGATTTGTTGTACAATGTTATTTAAATGTTGATTATTACCATTGACTATTCACAGAATATATTCTGTGTATAGTCAATGTTATTACCCTCTAATCGCTACAATAATAAAATATAAAACTCAAATGCTGTTGTTTTCAAGAAGCGATTTTAAATAACGTAGATGTTTTCAGCAATCAAACTACAGTATCTAAGCTGTGCATCCACAGCAGATGTTTACTCTCCTGCTGTGCGCTATGTCACAATAAATCTCTTTATCTATTATTATATACTTCTTTATGAATTAAAAATAAAAGTGTACCTGACATTTTTTCATAAAATCAGCCATTTCTGAGTAATTTTAGTTAAAAAAATTAAAATGGCAGCCACTTTGAAATTTTATGTTGAATCAAGATGATTTTTTCTAACACGGGTCTCTTCTACCTTAACATATTTACTAAGACCAAGTTTCATTAAGATCGGCTGAAAAAAATTTGAAGATAAAAATGTTGATGTAATAAGGCCCGTTTTGCTAGGAGCGTCTGACGCTCAGCGTCTATCGCTCCGCGTCAATCGCTGCCCACTGCTTTGCATTGTTTTAGGTTAGTCTATTTTGCCAGAAGCGTCTTATCGCTACAGCCGCCAGCGTCTGTAACTGAGACGCAAGCGTCTGACGCAGATCACTGCTCCTGGAGCAGACGGAGACGCAGTCGCTAGCGATTATTACTGGAATAAGCACGTGTTTAGTTGTTGACTTAACTTTTGTTTCCTTAAATAAGTTGTGTTTTCAAGTTAGTGACATGTCACAAACAAAGTGGGGATTCAATAGTGGAGAAGATGAAAACCTGATTGAAGCCATTTCAGCACACGACTGTTAAGTCAATTGTTAATTGATTTTCAATTAACAATTTAAAATATCCCTCTTCAGGCCTCTTTAAAAACATAGTACGCACTTCTTCGCTAGCACAACATTTCTAATATCTCATCATCGTCTAATTCCTCAGCTTTACTATTTGCTTTTTACAGGTCATTTTCAGAAAACACTCCTTTTGCCACCAAAGTAAACCATTTACTGATCAAATAATCGCAAGGAACAGACGCTTCTGGCAAAATAGGCCCGAGCGATAGACGCTGAGCGATGATTGCCAGACGCTTCTGGCAAAACAGGCCTTTAGGTGCCGCTAAGCAATATAATCTTAAAAGGCAACCACTCTAGTAGTATCATCACGGAATATAATTATGGATTACATATTTTATTACTAGCTGAAATGAACATGGCTTGGTATAGCATACTTAGGTTGTGTTAGTAATAGTTTTTTTTTCTTATACGCAATTCATAATAAAAAATCTGATTCTTATGTTTTTTTTGTGAGATCAGTCATAACTTCTTATTAATTTGACATACATTGCTTACAACATTCCTAGATAATAAGTTTAAGTAAATCCTGAAATAGTTTATGTTTTGTTATGTAAATAATTAAATATTATTTGCAACACTTAAGCCAGTGTGAGGCAATTATTGCCCCATCACACGAAAGTATTGCTAAAGAAACGCAAGATATAACTGCCATTAAGTCAAATGACCTTATGGTTTTAAATTTTGCTACATAGGTTCCATATAAAGAAGGAGAATGATTTTCCAGGAACTCTTTCTTTTCCTTTTGATATTTATCATTTCAAGTTTAAAACTATTTTAGAAAGTAAAGCTATTTAGTTACTTACTTACTGCTGAGGCTCCACAAATCTCAGTTGATTCTTCGCCTCTTATACCAGCCTCTTCCACCCTTCTCTGTCTTCTGCCAAGACAGAGAAAGTAAAGTTAGTAGTTAAAAATGTTCTGATTTATATTCTTTAACTGTGCCAATACTGAAGTTATTTGCATAGACATCGTTACTGCAACATGTTAAGCCAGTGTGGGGCATTCATTGCTCCGTCACACGAAAATGTTGCTAAATTAACGCAAGTCATAACTGCCGCACGGTTTGATGACCTTGTGGTTTTACATCTTGCTACATTGCCAGTGTATTTCATCCAGTGTTAAAGCACTATTGGGTATATTTATTTGAAGGGTTAAAAGATCAAAACTAGTACCACTAGTTTGTGAGGTTTAAATTTTAAAAGCTGGAACTTGAATCTAATGAGAATAATCAATCTGGAACTAATGTGAGGCTTGTTTAGTGGTAAGAGCGTGGGATTGGTGGTCCAGAGCCTATAGATTACTTATGAAAACAATATGGTATTAAGATTCTTGGGCCAGGACTTTCTTTGTATACGAGAAGCCCCTCCACTAAATCTGTACAATAACAATTTTTGCAATGTAGAATTATTTATATAAAGATGTTTCACCAAATCAGGAAATTAGCAATTGGGATGTTTAATGCTTTTACTACACAGCAATATAGTCACTAACATGAGAGAATTGAAGATCTAATCCTTTCATGTGATATGTTGCAAAATTAACGCCAGTTAAGATTACCGCAGGATAGTTAATAATCATATGGTTTCATCACTTGCTACAAAGGTTATTAAGTGACTCAGTCGATAGCGCCACGGACTTCGAACCCAAGGCAGCGATGTGATGTGTTCGCTGGTACCTGTGCCACTACTTTTTATCAGTACAGTTGGCTCACCCCTTGCTTTGTGTTATATCTTGTTATTATCTATTATTCTGGACTAGTTAATTATGTCAATTCATGTTATGTTTACATTCTAAAATTAAGTATTGTTTTTATTCAATTCTTAATCTTAGAATGTAAACATAACAACAGGTTTAATATATTTAAAAAAGGATTTAAATAATTAACTAGTCCAGACTAATAGATAATAACAAGATATAAAACTTGGCTGGATATGTTTCTGGCACAGATCTTTGGGGAGACAGACAAATGCAAGGTTAAAAGAGGCTGCCAACTTCAAAGTCAAAGTCATCTTTACTGTCACGAAACGTTTTTTTTTTTTTTTAAATGCTCTGGCACAGCCAGACAAAACATGTGACATTGTCAAACTATAATAAAATAAACTAGCTTATATTGGTAAAAATAAATACATAGTAGGTAACAAAACAAACAATTCACATTGATTTGTCTTCGAGAAACTGATCAATACTATAATAATTCTTTTCCAACAAAAATTCAAAAATTTGTTCTTTAAAAGACACTAATCCTATTATAGATTTGTAGTACCCAGGCAAATTGTTAAAAAATCTTTTACCCATATAAGAAGGTGTCCTTTCCACAAGATTTAATCTGTGTATAGGATATTGAAAATCTGTATGAAATCTAGTGTTATAACTGTGCCGATTATTTTCACTGTGGAGTTTTTCAAAATTTGATTTCACATACAATAAACATTTAAGAGTATACAAATTAGGGACGGTTAGAATCTTTAGTTCTTTAAAAAGTTGTTTGCAAGAATGTTTTACGGGTTTAAAAGTCATAATTCTAAGTATTCTTTTTTGAAGTTTAAAAAGTTGATACAAATCAGATGTGACGCCCCAAAGCTCTGTTCCATACTGTAAAATTGACGAAAATAAAGCGTGATAAATCATTAGTCTAGTGTTTCAATCAACAACATTTCTTAAGACCAACATTTGAAACATACTGAATTTAACTTTTTAGAGGTGTTATGAATGTGATTCTTCCAATTCAATAAACTATCTACATCAATTCCTAAAAATTTAGCTGTGTTGCTAAGATTTATTTTTTCATTATCAAAATAAACAAAGCCTTCAAGATCGTCCCTACACTGTGCAGTTTGAAATTTTACTATTTGTTTTTTAATGTGGTTCATTTTTAAACCGTTTACTTTAAACCATTTTGACAGATCTTGAAGAGCTTGATTCAAGGCTAAACTTAGTTCCTGACTGTCTTTTGATTTAATGATGGCTGTCGTATCGTTAGCATACGACGTTGCTAAGTGCCTCTTTAAATATAAAACATTAGATATAACTTATACTTCAGTTGAAGCTTTTTTGCAATTTTTTTTAATTTCCTCCCTTAATGGAGACTTTGGTGTTCCAGCTTAGCAAGTAAAAATAATACTGTAGTCAATAAGAATAGTTAGAGGTGTGTGGTGAATAGTGAAATTTCAGTTTGGATCGGATAATTAGAGGTTCAGATTCGGATAGTTTGACGTTCAAGTACTTAATGAATCAATATTAAGGTAAAGAAGTTATGACATGCACTTTTACATATAAAAAATACACTATGAATACTGCACAATCATGACCTTGACCATTAGTCAAAACTACGATTACAATATAAATGGGAATGACCTTTTATAGAGTTATATAGCCTAATTAACTCGCCAGTAACATGCGATCGTGAGCTAGGGCCTTGCCCAGCTTAGTGTCAGCGTTGTTTTCTACTCTCTTGTTAAACCTGCAGAATGCCGCCAATAATCCGTCTCATAGATGTGAGAAAATACGGCACGAGTTAGCAAAAAACCGAGAACTTGAGCATAAGTGTTGCCAGTCTTATTTTGCCAGTTGTAACCTATGGCATTGAGTTCTGGGGAATGTCATCTCATGCAGATAAAAATTTTAAGGTCCAACAAAAGTACATCCGCCTCATGACATTCTCCTCAAAGAGAAAGTCATGTACAAAATTTTTCAAAGAATTTGGTATATTAACTGTTCCCTTCCTGTATATTTTAAGATGTCTTATGTTTGTTAGAAATAATTTTGAAATTTTAAGTAAAACAGCATAGGCACCATCATGAAACTAGATTTCAAGCAAATTTTCAGTATCCAAGACACCACAATATATGGGGAGGTAACTCTACAATACACTACCCAGTGAGTTGAAGGAAATAATTAAGGAAAACAGCTTTAGAAAAAAGTTAAAGGATTTTTTTATTTAAAAAATGTATTATTCAGTTGACGCATTTTTAAAAGATAAGTTTTAGAAAAACAACTTGTAAAGGGATAATTCATGTTCTTAAAATGGTTTTTGAGAGGTTTGATTTTTTTTTCTGGATACTTATTGCTAGGTGTACTCAATTATGATATCTTTACTGCATTGACAATGTCATCTATTCTGTTCTAGCTTTGCTAGTTGTTAAAGAATGTACTGTTATGACAATAAAGATATTCTTATTCTTATTCTTAGCACTGTGATATCGTAAGACAAGTGGTGTTTACTATCTTGTTCTGCTTGCTGTGCTACATGAAAACGAGTCAAAGTGCCGTTAAACCGTCATAAGTTTAGCGGCTCATACCTCGTGACATTTTCCATCCAGACCTTAAAACAACCAAATCCTGGTTTTCTAATCAGAGTAGAGAAAGGGTAAAACTAAAAATTACTGTAAAATCAGTGTTTTTTTTTTTTTTAGCGAATTTCCCATATAGGGAATAAGCTATTACCGTAGTACTCATAGTAAGACCTGGACGCGGGACCGATTTTTTTTTTCGTTTCGAGGTCCCTAGAGACCAAAAACACCATCCGTTCAAATTCATATATATATATATATTTATATATTTATATATATATATATATATATATATATGTGTGTCCGTTAGCACGATAACTCGAGCAAAAATGATCCGATTTGGATGAAATTTGGTACAAACGTGTAAACCTACGTTTATTCGAACGAGTTCGCGATCCAGCATGATCGGACCATGGGAACGGGGGTTTCCAGGGGGTTTTATGGGGTAAAAATAGGTTTTTCACATTTTTGACCCAAAAAAACATAAAATTTAGCAATTTCTTTCCAAACCATTTTGTAGAGCTTAAAAAAACAAATAATTTAGTATATTGAAGCGTTATTATGCGCCTAATGGTTACGGAGAAAATTCCAAAAAATTGTAAATTTAAAATTCCCATGTTATTCTTATGGAGAATAAGTATACTGTTGTAGTTTGCTTGTTTATGAACATATTTTGATCAAATTTGGAAAATGTTTTTATTTCTTACTAACTATTAACATTTTACATTAAAAAAAAACCCTTTTACCCTCCCTGTTGCAGCAAACCTAAGTATGTGTTAAACTGATTCTATTTAAATAGGGAATAAATGTGATATTTTTAAGAAGACATTTTAGTGTAAATCCAATCAGGCAAATGGAAATTCGCTTAGTCTGCAGGTTTGCTGCGGCGGGGGTATTTTTTTTTCATACCGCTTTTAAAGTTGAGAGTTCTTTCACCTTTCATATTGCATTAAAAAAGGACAAGGCAAAACTAATCGTTGAACGTTTTTACATTCAGTTGACCATACCTTGTGACATCGCAGTGTTAAATAATACTAGCTGTTGTCCCGTCCTACGTACGGGAATCAAATAGTCAATTAAAACTATATATATAATTCAGAACAGCTATCTTACGACATGGCTAGATTACAAAATGATTCTTGCATTTTTAATAGGGAAAATAATCTTGTAAACACGTGTTAAATTAAGTTCCTAACTTAATTTAATAACTTAATAATTCCATAACTTAATTTCTAAAAAACTAAAACCCTAAACTAAAATTATGGCGTCGACATTCCCTAGTTCTCAAAATTGTCTTTTTTTCAATACAAAAATCATGTAAATCCGTCAAGTGGTTGATTTAGAATCGTGAAATAAAAAAAAACCCTGTCATGTTTTAATATATATGATTTCCCTTATATAATTGGTATATACTTGGAGCATTTTACTGGAGTATATATAGAACATATATACAGGATGTTACTGAAGGCTTCAACTCAAAGTAATATGTCAATGTCAAACAGTGTTATGTAAAACAATAGACAAGTCACACATGTCTAAAAATATTAATTAATTGTCTCATTCCATTAATCTTTCCAGCCATCCCTCAGTATTCCTATCAATCCATCCCATCCATTCATTCATTTATTTGTCCTTGCTTGCATATATTAATTAGTCCAGATATCCATCTGTTCTGTTTATCCTTTAATCCACCTTATCTATATATTTAATACACAGTTGTAAGTCTGTTTTCTCAGTCATTACTGGACCAATCTAGAAGATTTATGTCTCAAATTAAAGGGGATAATGTGTAGATTTGGCGAACTTCCTTAGAATTTACGTTTTTTCTAAGGGCTACGACCTACAGCCCTTCAAAGGTCGAGTCAATACAATTCTTATTAAAGAATATAATACACACTTTATAAATTATTCGTCAGCTGTTTGATGTTTGTCAGACATTTGTTATTATTTTTATAACCTCACTTTCAGAATGCAATTATTAATCTACGAGTTTCTGTTTATAAACACACGATTTTGATAAAGGAAAAGTGTATTTGCTAGCTTTTTATATGACAATGTATTATTTGTAAATGTATGAGAACATTATTTTATGTTTTGGTGTAAATTTTGTATTCTTGAAATGTTTTAGTTTTCCTGCGAAGTGATCTGAAGGAAAGTGGTAATTGAGTTTAAGTTTGAGTATGGAATGTGAAATAATATCCAATAGGGGACAGAAACTTATTGTTTTGATCAGTATAATTTATTCTCTATAGCCACCAGAACAATCATAGGGAAATCCGCTTGCAAGTTGTACAGATAATTGCTAATGAGTGGGAAACATAGAAACATTTTATCAGAAGTGATTAATCTTACTCAATATCAGTGTTTGACGTTCAGCAGTACCAAATTTTACCTTCTCGAGATGGCAAGTATGCTGGGAGGCGAGGAACTACAATTTATTAGTGAACTATACCCTAACTATTTTTTTCGAGTACACGGGGAAGTTGCCTGAGAAACTGTGACTTAGGATTTCGGTTCTGGCAAAGAACTACGGTATGTGACTTGATGTTTAATGGCAATATTGACTCGAGTTGTTATAGCGTTATAAAACTTTATCATTAACCCCAGGGTGTGAAAGGTACAAAAATAAAAAGAAAAGATAATCATTAACCGGGCGTAAAGAGACATGCAGAATGAAAAAACACGTGGATAACCATTGAACTAAATAGGTAAAGAGCAGTGATGGTGTTAAATGTGCTCTGGAAGTCCCTACAAAAAAAAAAAAAACACCAACTCTTTTGAATTGGGGTCGTTAAATTGTATTTGTCACTACCGTAAATCTATGAATTTCGAGTCAGAACATACTAAGAGCGACACAAATATGTTGTTACAAGGGGAAGGTAAAATGAGCTCCTTATGAACATTTTGAGTTTGTGGAAAATCTTATCAACGGGGTTTACAGCGACTATAAAAAAGTATTAAGGGTCAAAAGAAACAAAAAAACTATTTGAATAATATAATATCATACAAATCTGCATTTGAAATGGCGAGTTCTAAGTCTCACTTGAATCAACATCTATCTATCTGGTAGTGGCAGTCTATATAATTTTAAGATCCGGGACTCCTTTTACCATCGGATTGGACTATCAATGTTTTCAGTTTGTTTTTCAATTTGGACTTTAATGTTAATACCCTCTAACATTGAACCAAAGTATGCCCAACTTTATATATACGACGTAAACACAGCTGTTATTCACAGAATGGGTCAAAGATTTGTGAAATGCAACCCACTGCTGATGTGTGATTCACATGTAAGCCACTATCTTTATTCCATACAACAAATGTAATGAAAAAACCACGAATTTAGGAATATATACTTGAACAAATTATCCCCATAGTATAAGTAGCTGCTTAATAGGATATCAGCATTGCACAGTTTGTATACTATTTATTTTTCAAATAAAACTCGAATTAATATAAAACATTCATTTGGTTAAACTAATACATCGGTTTGATTAACATAAAATACTTTATACAGGCAAACTATCAGTTCTATTTCATGTCAAAAATTAAGCAGCCTCCCCTAAATAAAATACAAAGATAAACAGTATTTGTTAATTATTATGTCTTTTATTGCTGACAATATTCCCGTAGCGGAGCACGGGCGGTTAACTAGTTATTCATAATTTTATCCCTAAACCTTTACATCAGTGCATCAATCTTCCTATCTTTTGTCTTTTTTTTACTTGTTCTTATTTTAAATCCCTAATTTATGTTACAGGGTTGCACAATAGATTGGAAAAAGAACAAGAACGTCACAGTAAAAACAATCAAGAAGAAGCAGAAGCACAAGTCTCGAGGATCCGTTCGAACCATTACCAAGACCATTCAGAATGATTCCTTCTTTAACTTCTTCAACCCACCAGTCAGTAAGTAGCTTTGTTTTTACTGCGGTTGAATGTGTTTCTGTGTTAACCTGAATGAATATTGTACTCATTTTAACTAATGTTTAAAAATTAGCATTTAATGATTGCTTTTTAATGTTTATTTATAGTGCCCGAAGATCCCGAGGCTGAAGTAGACGAAGATACTCAGTCCCTCCTTACCAGCGATTTTGAGATCGGCCACTACATCAGGGAAAGAATCGTTCCCAAGGCAGTTCTCTTCTTTACCGGTAAGTGAGAATGTTTTCCCATAGTGTAAATGCATCCGGACTGAACAGTACACAGTGTTTTTAGTTTTTAAAATTTTGTGTTAAGTGAGAAAGAAATTTAGAATGTAGTTAATTAGCCTATTGCAATTTGTTAGTGTGAGCAATGTTTTTATCTGTGGGAGCGGGGAATAGAATACCAGAATAGACCTTACCATAGTCAAACCTGCTATCCTATAAATCATATTAATATTACGTTATTTAAGACTAATGAAAATTAAAGTTAAGTGGAACTTAGGTCATTCAAACCTCAAGAAACTTATAACACAATTCCAACTTCAATAGCTACTTCTCAAAAATATCACTGGTCATTCAAGCTCTTACACTGTTGACATACTCTTAATACTCTACTCTACTGGTAGCCGACTTGCCAATCATCAATAAAGGCAGCTTTTCTAATTTGTCCATGTTTGCGCCCACAAATTTTTGCTCAGTTTCCCTCAGTGACATCCTAAAAAGCAAGTAGGGGGGGGGGACATTTAACAAAAAGACCCGTCCATAGATATGTAATATGTTTTTTTACTGTACTGGATCATTTTATCCAAATATTTTTTGCTTCTTGCTGATTAACAATCCCATTTCCACCGCAAATCGATCTCTTACTTGTTTTAACCATTTCAAAACGCAACTGTCCAATTGAGGGTTTTCTGGTTCCCTTAACATTTTTTTCACTATTGAGAATTTTATCTTTTTTTAAGTAGACATTCAATGTGTTGGAAGGAATTCCAAATTCCTTCGCAATCTCCAAAATTTCTTCACATTCTTCTCTATTTCTTAATTGCCGCAATTTTTTCCACCAAAGTCAAAGTTTTGTAGGAAAACTAAGGCTTTGATAACAACACTTACGATCTGTGCACACACTTTTGAAAGGCTTTGATAACAACACTTACGATCTGTGCACACACTTTTGAAAGGCTTTGATAACAACACTTACGATCTGTGCACACACTTTTGAACACCTGGCAAAACTGAACTTAGACCACCAGTACAAACAAACAATACTGTAGCACACAGCCACGGTACATACTACCAGATAAGTGTAAGGAATTACACTTATGAGCTATGAGAAGTGGAGCATTGCAAAACAATAGACAGTGGGAGGGGTTAGGCAATGACATCAAAACGAGCGCAGGACACAAACTTAAATGTAGGCCAAACACTAGCAGGGTGGGGGAAGGGATGAATTTTCTCTTTTTAAAAATACCTTGAAGCTATTCAGCCTGCGCCAAAAGGCTGGCGAGGGATTTTGACCACAGGCCAATGATACAAAGTTGTTTTTCAATAAATATATAGGATGGAGAGGACACAGCTAACTCACCTGATGAAAGGTTGCAGAACACACACATAATAATCCTTGATATTACGCCTCTTTCAGAGGCTTGTTGGTTTTCAGTTGTTTTGCAGGAATTCCTTGCCCGACCGTTCGTTGATTGTCTTTTTTCGTGTATAATCTTTGAATCATCCAAAATATAATTCAAATTAACCACAATTATTTATCATTGATTGTCTGTATGAAATGCTAGGGAGTACCAGGAGAAATATTCAAATTTAAAAGAAGATTTTGAATTATAGAAGTTCGAATTAGCCATGCCTCACTATATGCCCTTAAAGTTGAACTGAAAGAATCTAAACCACGTCACATTTAAAGATTTTCATTGGGAATAGTCAGCTCGAGAAACAAACTGCTAGCCTACATAAGACCGTATGTAAGTGAAAGTGATATGTCTAAGAGTAAGTCTTTATTGATAACAATATACAACTTGTAGGTGAAGCGTTGGACGATGACGAAGAGGAAGACTTTGATGAAGAAGAAGAGGAAGAGGAAGAAGAAGAGGGAGAAGGCAGTGACGACGACCCTGAATTCAACCCCAACAACCCTAGGCTACCTAAGACCAAGAAGAGCAATGGAACCCAACCAGCCGAGTGCAAACAACAGTAACGTTAACCTCACAAGTGTATCTAGCTCGTGATATTTAAATTTTAGGAGTACTTGTTAACTTTTCATACTTAAGAGATGAGATCACTTTTTGTTTCGAGAATTAATTGTTATTGTTAAGCCTATGTTTGTAACCGTTCCGCATTGATGTGCAACATTATCGTTTGCTTTTCCCGAACTATACTATTATTTTTGGAAACATATAAATATAAATCTTTTGTAAAGGGTTGTGTTTATTATTCCTTCGGATTTTACTTTAATCCTAGTCTTCATGGTAAGACCTAAAAGTCTTGAGCTAAGCCAAAACACAGTTTTATTTCCCAAATTATTGTTAACTAGCTGTTGAACCCGTGCTTTGCAACGGGAAGATAGAAACAAAATAGAAACATTTTAATCTTTACATTTGTTGCATATAATAGTTACACATCCCCCAAGGCTTTTAGAAACAAAATTCAACTTTTATGGCCTTAATAGAAACGTTTAAGTTATGACTTTTGAATCTGGTAAGTAGTGGATACCACCATTTCATCTCCCTTGATAACATATCTTTTTATTTATTATTGACATTTTAAATTTCCATTTTGAAGTTACTGCTAATTATCAAATTTAAATGAAACTCTTTTTTAAATTTCACTCTTTTTTATATTAAATCACAAATCCTTACATCTTCAGTTTCTTCACTCACAATAAATCATTAGCAAAACTAAGTCAGCTGTTATAAACTTTAGAAATATTGCTATGCCTTTTCAATACAGTCTTTTGAAATATTAAAGAAAACTATATCTATAATTATAGGTACTATAAAAAATGTTAAACAAATAATTTAGCATTAAAGACAGCAGACAAAACTAATATGATTATCAAAGCATCAAGAACTAAACAATTTAACAGCAAATACAGTGTTTCATTGCATCTCTGATTGTACTCTACAAAAATATCAACAAACAACTTAATATACAAACCAGTTCTTTTAATCAGTTCCATCGTCCATTGGCTTTACATTTTCACACTTACCATAAAGTAAACATAGTAAAGATATTTCATTGATTTTAGAAACAAAAGAACACTGTGTACTGCTTAGTTTTATGATATTTTCCTTGGTTTAATTTAATCAGTGGTGTGGCAAAACACAAATAATAAATGTATAAAATAAAGTAAATGTGAACTGAAAGCTATGTTAAGATAAAACAAGAGTATTTTGTATTATCATTTGATAATTAATTATAGTTACACATAAACACAACAGATTTTGTACAACAGATTTTAAAAAGCAAAAATCAACGACACATTACAGTTTAGTTATTGATGATATTCTTTAGTTTAATTTATGCATGGTTTAGCAAAACACAACAACTTAATTTACCTAAATGTACATATAAAAAACAATGTGATGTGCAAGTTATGTTAAGTTAATCTAACACATGTTAAGGAGTTCGAATCTATTTAAAGTAGCCTCCAAATTCATATAAAACATCTATACATTGTAATTTTCATACTGTTTCCATGAAATCATATTAATAACATTATTTTCATAACTTAAGACACTTTAAACAAATCCAAAGCAGAGCCGGAGTTGATACAGCAACGGTTATAGAATATTTTTTTTTATATAATCATTGAAATAGTTTTAGAATAAATAATCCATGATAAAAGGTTAGATTAAAATAAACCTACCTCATAGTTATGGAAAATATTATATTTAATTTCTTTGTATCAGCTGTCTGAAATTGTGAAATATGCAGTTTAGCAGTTCTTCTTGTTTACATTTAAATGTCAAAGCAAATGTAAACAAACATTGTTAGTGTTCTCATTGCAGTCATGGAGACCAATCAATATTTACTTTTAAAATCTTCACCTCACAACTTTTAAAGCCAAAGGGGCAAAGCCTACGGTCAGTATCGAAACGTGAATAGTCCTATAATGGTCCTTGGTATGGTAACTATATTTTTGTAAAATTTTAGGCCAGTTTGTTCAGTAGTTTTTGCGCCTATTAGTAATACACATACAGACAGACACCATTAGATTTTTATATAATAGTATAGATTTACAATTTGTGTATGTCTGTTTTGTATGTAGACAAGAAAAACTCTAAAAATTAATTATATGTGTAACACATAATCTGTTATAAAATTTCATGATCAAGCCTAATCAAACAAATTTGAATTTTAAGTGAATTTTCCTATCTGGGACCCATTTACTTTTTCATTTTGATGTCCCCACTCCCCAGAGGCCTACACACTATTCAATAAAATTTTAGTGTGTCTGTAATGTGATAACTCGAGTAATTTTTGTCCGATTTGATTAAATTTGGCTTGAAGGTGTAGGGTGGGATAAACTTGAATTATAGTTTGCAAACCTTGATCAGGTCATGAAAACGGGGTGTAATAGGGTTATGAAATTTTCTAGAATTAGTTCTTTCAATTTTTTCCCTATAAAATATGGAAATGCCCAATTTTCATTAACATATCGTTTGAAGTTAAAAAATCAAATAACGGTATATATTGATGTGTTGAACAATTAAAGGTACAGTAACAGAGATAATTTTAAAAAAAAATAATTCCGATGCTATTTTTATGGAGGGAAAAAATTTAGTTTTTTTGTTTGGATATATGTTGATCAAATTTGCCAAATTTATTTATTTAACAATAAAGGCTACTATTAACGTTTTGTCCAAAACACTTTTTACCTTCAGTGCAGCAAACCCAATCACGTTAAATCTAATGTTAGTCAAAAATCTGAAATAAATATGCCTTGTTTAATGAAAAATGTTAGTAAAATTCAGTCAGACAAATTGAAATTCACTTAGTCTGTAGGTTTGCTGCAATGTCCTTCCCAATACATTATCCGAACAACAGAAATATTACTAAAAAGAATTAATGGAAACCGTCATGACATTAAAACTAACTAAGAAAGTTCCATAGCACAACATTGCCCTAACCCACAACCTCCAATTTGACAGTTGCTATAACCATAGATAAATCATACTCCCTTAGTAGATTTCTCATCCTTATGGAACAGCTGAAGACAATTTTATTGTTAGTTCTGTACGGTTTATGTAGAGGTTGTGTTTTGTTTACAATTTGTTTCCCGTTATTACAGTCATTTAAAACCTTGTTTAACCAAATAATACAATCTAATCATAAACAATAACTTGTCCCCTAGTTATACGACCAAACAGTAAAGGACAAATCAAGAAATGAATTAATCCTAAAATAATAGAAACAACATTTTGTCGACACATGCGCCCAGTGTCACCGTACATTAACTAGACACGAAAAACATGCTTCAAAATTTACAATGGGATGAGAAGTCTACTTGTGGTGTTTGTTAGTCTATGCTATAACAAATTCCTTCCAAAAAACCAACAATGCAATAGTTCCATGCTTATTGTTACAAATTTACCAGCTCCACCCAACTTAAACATAAAAAAAGTAAACCCACATTCTCTTAAAAATACGAGGGTTGTTTTTTTTTTCAAGTTCCGATAGGCTATAAACAAAAGACAAGTTCATATAAAACATTAAATTTATTACCAAAAGTTTGGTCCATTTATGGTTACTTTTTGACATAATCACCAAAGAGATTGAGACATTTGCTATATCTGTGCACCAGCTTTTTAAAACCCTCTTCAAGAAAAGTGGCCGCCAGTATATTAAAAAACAAAAAAAATTCAAAAAACAAAAAAATTTCCAAAAATTTAAAAAAATCATAATAAAAGGACTTTAAAATTTCTAGAAATTCAGTAAACAAATCCATTATGATGAATCTGTGGTTTATTTAACCATTCTGCCAAATTGTTGAACCAGCTCATTTCTGTCGTTTCAGATGACTTGGTTCAACAGTTTGACAAGATGGTTAAATAAACCACAGATTCACCATTTTTGCTTTGTTTACTAAATTTCTTGAAATTTTAAAGTCCTTTTTTTGTAAGTTTTTTAAAATTTTTTTGTTTTTTGAATTTTTTTTGTTTTTTTAATGTACTGGCGGCCACTTTTCTTGAAGAGGGTTTTAAAAAGCTGGTGCACAGATATAGCAAATGTCTCAATCTCTTTGGTGATTATGTCAAAAAGTAACCATAAATGGACCAAACTTTTGGTAATAAATTTAATGTTTTATATGAACTTGTCTTTTGTTTATAGCCTATCGGAACTTGAAAAAAAACAACCCTCTATTCTAAACCCACACAAGTAACGACAGTTGCTTTTACTAAAGCAATGGTGTAAATATATATATATATATATATATATATATATATGTTGGCTAGCATGCACAGACATTCAAAACAGTGCTAGAACTGTAGCTATCTGTCATTAATGCCATTCTTCCTCGGAAGAAGCCCCTAAGGGACAAAATGGCAGTTAAATTGTGTTTTGTGTTTCCTTTTAACCTTCTGGGACTTTTCCTTCAGGTGAGTTGGTTCTATATCCTTCCTTTGTCCTTAATAACTTATAATGTATTCAAAGCCCTTAACGCAGTTTGTTGTCTTCTAATATCATCATAACTAAAAATACCCCCGCTGCAGCAACCCCGACTAAGCGAATTTCCATTTGCCTGGATTGATTTCCAATTAATCTGTTAAATTAACATTTATGTTTAACGAGTACCTAGGTTAGCTGATACCGGGAAACTAATAACATGTGTTTTTTATTAAAATAAAATATTTTTAGCTTAGTATGAAATAAATTAATCCGCCAAGTTTGATCAAAATATATCTATAAACAAGCCAACTACAACATTTTACAATATTATCCATAAGAATAACATGGGAATTTTAAATTAAATTTTTTTTGAATCTTTTCCGTAACCAATCACCGTACAAAGACACATTGATATACTAAATTATTTGTTTTTTTAAGCTCTTAAGGGTAAAAATGAGAAAAAACCATTTTCACCCCATAAACCCCTGTTCCCATGGTCCAATCATGCTGGTTTGCGAAATTTATCTCGCCTTACACCTTCAACCCAATTTTTTTCAAAATCGGACAAAAATTACTCAAGCTATCGTCTGGACAGACATATATAAAAATTTGAACGAATGGTGTTTTTTGGAATCTGGGGACATCAAAATGAAAAAGTAAATCGGTCCCTGGCCAAGGTCTTACTTCCCTATAGGGAAATTCGCTAAATACTTCCCTATAGGGAAATTCGTTAAAAATAAGTTGTTGCACATTTAAGCTTAACTTGCTTACATATGTTTCTTCATAAATTCAGCAACATAATATTTATCATATCACTGAATATTTTAAAATGAAATTAACCAAATATTTTCCCTTGTATCAACAAACCCAAAGACCCAATGCGTTTTTTTGACATGGGACTTTCTCTAACGAGGCATTAAAGGAATCCTAACCAGTTTGAATACAAGTTCTATGAAGCTAATGTAAATTCACTTCATGCCAGTTTGCTGCTAGAAGGTCTGTTCAAAAAGTAGCCGAACTTGTTAAGAAAAACCCCTGCTGCAGGAAACCTGCAAACTAAGCGATTTTCCATTTGCCTGGATAGATTTTCAATTAATCTACTAAATTAACATTTATGTTTAACGAATACCTAGGTTAGCTGCAACAGGGAAACTAATAAATTGTGTGTTTTCTATTAAAATATAAATAGCTTAGTATGAAATAAATAACTCCGCCAAGTCCATAAACAAGCCAACTACAACATATTAAAATATTCTCCATAAAAATAACATGGTAATTTTAAACTAAATATTTGTTTATTTTCCCCTTAACCAATCACTGTACAAAAATACCAGCCAAGGAGCTCAGCAGAGGTAACCTTAAATCTTACAAGTTTTAAACCAAAAATTATGGTTTGGGTTTTTGAGGCATTTAAGGACAGAAGTCAGCCTGGAACCAAACATATATGCCCTTAAGTACTTAAAATTAGTGGATCAATTACTCCTCAGTATTTAAAAGATATACAGAAGAATGTACAAGAGAAGAGTAGTGTCATCTGCATAGCAAATGAACCCACTGTCTATGTGATGTTCGAGGTCGTTTGTCATGACAAAAAATACCAGGTGCACAAGGATGGATCCCGGCTGCGGTACACTATGGGCAACCGGACGGGGCTGAGAGATCAGGCCATTGACAGACACTGGCCCCCCAAGTACGACCGAAATAGCTCCAGTCGAACGTCTCTGACACCGTAATGTTCCATTTAGTAAGCAACACGTCATGGTCCACTGTGTCGTATGCCCTACTGAGGTCGCGCAGAGTGGCTCCAACAAGACATCTCGGTTTATGGAAATGTCAATCCGAAAAAATATATACTAAGAGGCCGAGAGCAGACAGTTGATTTCAGTGAGTGTTCAGCTGGTTTTTAATTGGGGGTTCGAAGATCATAGAGATACTGTAGTTAAAACCGAAGAGAATCGGCTGAAGCTCTCAGGCTCATCCCAAGTCCCTTTCTTCTCTTGTCAGACACTATCTTTGATTTCTTGAAGGAAGCAGGAAAGATATCTTGTTCTAGACATTGGTTAAAACACATTGATTATGGGAATACAAAAGAGCTTATGCTAGATTTGTCAAAACTACTGGATACATTGTAAAAATCTTTTTTCATTGTGATTTAGCCTCCGGATAACCAATATTTCAATAAAGTGGTTTAAATACCTGCATAAAAGTTATCCAAAATGTTGCTCACGGCAACCGGTTTCAATCCACAATAGGGATCTTCATCAGGATGTCAAAACATTTTTTCTCTTCTTGCGAAGGTCGTCAAAAGGCGTAAAAAACATGCACATGCAGACTCCTGAGTCTATACTATACCTTCGCCAGGGATGAGTCGTAGCAATAATTTCGGCCGTGTCTTCAATGTTAAATGTCCGTGTTTTGTGTTTGTGACTACAATGTGTGCATGTTTTTGACCTTCGCAAGAAGAGAAAAAATGTTTTGACGCCTGATGAAGATCCCTATTGTGGATTGAAACCGGTTGCCTTGAGCAACATTTTGGATAACTTTTATACAGGTATTTAAACCACTTTATAAAAATCTTTACTTGATGTTTGTTTCAACTTTTTCTCCACACTCAAAATTTGATCACAGCTTAATATGTGACTCCGAACCGAGTCTCAAATCAAGGCATCTGCTCCAACTTTTGAGTGACTGTGGCTGGTTGGGGGCTAAAACCATTTCTCTCTCATCTCCAGGACTAAGTCAAAGAAGTCATTCAGGGCGTTTGAGGGCAGTTCAGTACATCTGGACGTTGTTGTGGCCGAGTAAAACCGAATAACTCTCCAAGCAACTGATCAAGGGTTTAGGGCCATCTCAATTTGGTGTTATTGTACTTCATCTACAATCTATAATCTAACTTAGACTCCTCAGTACGTTTCTCATACTCATTGATTAGCCTGAGTGATCCAGGGTGATTTACTGTCTTTTGTACTTAAGTTGAACTTAGATCTATATTTTTTCTTAAATATAGAAAGAAAAAGATAAGGACAACAAGAAACATTCTGAAAAATAAAAATTAAACGTTCTCGTCCCCGTTATCAGAGATTAGTGTATTAGGTCAATTAACCGTTTTGTAATGAGGTTAGGTAGTCTACTTTGAGTTTTGAGTCATGATGGCAGGTTTACTCTACGATATTTCATAACTAGATTTACTGTAGAAGTCGTGTTTTCAGATTTTATTTCGAATTTAGTCTAAATTAACCCCGCATAAGCCATATGTACCAGGGCGTCACGCATGCTGGGACTGATCTCTCGGAAGTCAAGACATGGGTTGAGTGCCAACTCCTCAACGATCCTGTTCAAGGCCTTATTTCGTCAGCTGCTCGAGTACGCCTCAGTGGTCTGGTCACCCTACGTCCTCGGCCATATCAATCATATTGAATCAGTCCAGAGACGCTTCGTGAGACATCATGGTTGCAGCGCTGGGTTCAATTTCATGGACGTCCCAGTCGAGGCAATATCTGCAGCTTATGGTCTCCAAAGCTTGGAGTGTAGAGGAAGAGTTGCTGATATGTTGCCTTCCTCTTCAAGCTGCTTTACAACCAGATCAGCTGCCCTTTTTTACTCGAGAGGATCAATTTGCACGTTCCCAGAAGTACCAGGCATCAACGCTTGTTTGAGCTAGACCATGTTTCGACCAGCTATACGCTTCTGCCCCGTACAACGTCTGATGCGCTCCTGGAACGAGATCTGTTCGTTGGTCGACTTTTTCGCTTCCATTTGGAGGTTCGAATGGAATGGCAGCAGAGGAACGTGACGCTCTATAACATTTCACTGTTGGTGCTGTTATTGATCTTGTTGTTGACGTTGTATCTCAAATCACTATTATATTGTTGCTCATTTAATGTTTTATTATTGTTATTAATTGCATTATTTATTATTGTTGCTCGTTCGTTTCATTTCTATTACTGTTATTCTTTTCATTGTTTTAGTGCCTACCACAAAACACAAACATTCACTGTTGTAGCTGTCAAACTTCTTTGGTGTATAATTGCCGTTGGTAAATAAATAAATCAGTAAATGCTATGGAGTATTGATGAAACATACTCCCTTGATAACATTCTTTGTGTTGGTTAACTATTATGTTAACCTTGGAAGGAGTATATTTAATCCCTCGCTGGTTTTTTTAATCCACGAATACTAGAATAGACAACTTGAATTTTTCTAGCTCAGTGCTTTCAACTTGTTTTCCTCTTTGCAGGGTGTATTAGAAGTGAGAGGAAGACAAAGAACCTCCCAATAAAAAAAAAAATGAGAAGAGAGAAGGAGAAGAGTGAAGTGACTGGAAATACTGAAAATAGATGAAAGTTGTGGTTATCTCTATTAACAATATTTGTTTTTGTTAGGGTTAATTTTTATGATGTGATAGATAATCAAAATTCACAAATAATTAGTGTGGCTGTGCTCTTAAAAATGTCTCGGTTAGCTGATTATTTTGTAATCGTTGGCTACGACCATGGCAAAGAAAGTGAGTGAAAACAACAGACTAATTAGGCCTACATGGCTTAGGCTTGAATGATTAGGTTTATTTCTGACTTCCATTTTCAGTTTTCTATGAAATTGCTTAGTGCTGGATCGTTTATGTGATTTTTAGTATTAGACTTTTAATTCCATTCTTCTAAATTTAGAACTAGATAGGTAGGCCTAACTTCTATTTTTTCCTTTGATTGTTAGGCTACCATGTAAGTTAAGTTAGGGCCAGCTTAGAACCTTGGAGAACAAAATGAGAATAGGTTAGTAACATAATGGCTTCAAAACTTCTTGGCATTTTTATCCAAAACCCAACTATATTAACCACAAATTATAAAGGTCTAGCCTAGGTTTGGGGAATGTTGAAGTATCATAATTAGGCCTAGGGTAAGTAAATTGCAGTTGATTGTTACTGGTAACGTTTTTGCTGTTAGGGCCTACTTGTTTTGGCTGCACTTTACGTCCTACACTCATTCGAATGAAAATATCGATTGTTTCATTCAATATATCGTTTGGTGAGTTAGGTTAGGTTAACCTTGCCTAACTAACCAAACGATATATCGAATAATCGATATATTGATCAATATTTTCATTCAAATGAGTGTAGGACGTAAAGTAAAGTGCAGCCTTTGTTTTTTGTTAACTTGTGTGTAGGTTATTTACGTTCTAAGTTAATTGTAAATTTTGCTTCGATTTAAAAATGGAAATTCAGCAGGCCTTAACTCCTTTTTAAGCACACTGTTAAACTGAAACCTCGGTTAATCAACACTACCTATATAACTTAGGTAAACCTACCTAGCCTAAACATATTTATTTATCCTAGTATAGGTGCCTACAAACGAATTTTCAATTATCTTGCCTAATAGTTTTTTACCTCCTGAATCCAAATAGCCTATAGGTACCATTATTTTTTTTCTGTGAAATATTTCTCAAGATATTGCCATAAAAATACAGGTAGGCCTATACATTATTACAATAAACAAGGTAGGATGGATGACATTTACAAGTGAAATGAACTGTGGGTTAACTAAGCTTACAGCTGACTTTTTTCAACCAAAAGACAATGACAAGCAACTGGAAGTAACAACTTTTGAACTTTATTAACTCACTCTGATTCTGTCATCGGCAATAGGCCTAGTGACGTCATTTTACTTCACAAAACAAAAATACTCATGAATCATACTGTTCTTGGTAGTGCTAGTCTGCTACGCCGTCACAAGTTCAGGTTAAGTGAAGAGAGTAACATGATTGATCAGAAGGAAGAATAACATCGTTGACTATAGAAACATTTCAAGTGATTCTGTAGTCAATAATGTTTTCTATAAAAGGAATTTCATCACATTATGGAGATATAGATGGACTGGTCTAGACTAATTACATGTAGGCCTAGTTCTTATTTAGGTTCTAGGTTAGGGTGGTAGGTTGTGCTTTGTGAATTCGTGACTGCATTGTGTTTTGAAGTTAGGTTAAATTAGGAAGGTAAATTTTAGGTTATAATGAATCGAGTTGTTAGTTTATGTCACCTGCAGACTGTTTTTGTAAAACTAAATTCCTGGGAAAAACTTTTCAAATTAGCCTACCGGTAGGCTACTATTTAAAAAATGCTTGTAGACCTACTGTATTGCCGTTGGTTAAAAAAGTAAATGAATACTTATGCTCACTGATGTTGCTGTGGTCACACACGGAAGAGGACTGATGTTGCCATATCTGCAAGATATCATGACGGCTTTGCAACGATTGCGGACCGATGATGTTGTGACCGTAAGGTATCCGCACGAATGTTGCCGCATTCGTGGAAGACAATTATAGTTTGTCCAATGTCTCGTGCGCCCTGGAGGATTAGAGCGACCCTTACTCACACACGCGCAGCCACACTGACTCGCACGTCCCGGCCTACCCGCCGCTGATGGGTTTTCTATGAATCGCTTACTAGCCCAAGTGCTACAACATCACATTTTTATAACTTTTAATTTCATGCAATTTGTATTTAAACTCTGAATATTATTCCTTGCTAAAAGAGTCCAAACACGATACAATTCTGACAACTCTAAGTGGTTTTAGTTATTTAAAAATTTAGAAAATTAATAAACAGTAGTCGGATAAATTAAATGGAAACAGTTTACTATTAATTATTCTAGAGATGACTTACACTGTTTGCAAATAAGCTGTAGTCCCATAACTTGTAATAAATTAAGTACCGGTATGGAAACAAGGTAGAAATATTAGTTTATAAGGTAAGGAAAAAACTATAACAAATTAATCTGTGTAACATAAAACAGAATTATTATATAACAAAGGAGTTTAACTTCACTCGTAATTATTGGAAACATGCAGGGTTGAATCCCCGGCATTCGTCATGGGCCTATGAGTCTCATTTAGCGGAAGCGAAATCTGGAATTTGACCATCGAAGTATATAAAACAACATTTGACTCACTTTTAAGGGATGTAAAATTGCTATGTAAATATGCTCCTGTAAGTTTAATCATTTTTAATTTTAATTTTCTTCTGTATCGGCTTGTGAATGTAAATTGTATAAAAATGTAATCTCTTGCTTTTAACTGGATGGTAGATACGTTTATGATATTTTTTCCCTTGGTAGGCTATTTATATTGCACTAGAATTTTGTTTGTTTAAATTTTGGCATACGTAAAATTTTGGAGGAGCGTTAAACAAATTCTCTACAACCATAATTTATAAATATTCGAAATTACTATTTTAAAACCTACTGGCCCTAAAACCACTTAGAGTTGTCATAATTGTACCGTGTTTGGACTCATTTTGCAAGAAAAAAATTCTAGATTTCATTAATTAGAGTAACAAATGAGTAAAACTATCAGTTTTAAAAATGTGATGTTGTAGCACAAGGGCTAGTTGGTGATTCATAGAAACCCACTAGCAGCAGGTAGGCCGGGACGTGCGAGTGTGTGTGTGTGTGAGTAGGGTCGCTCTAATCCTCCAGGGCGCACGAGACATTGGACAAACTATAGGTCAACCCATGTTTCCGGGACCACAAGATATCGTCAGGGGTGTTGCCAAAATCGCGGAAGGTGATTACCGATGATGCCGTGACCACATGATATTGTCATAGGTGTTGCCAAAATCGCGGAAGACGATTAAGTTACCGGCTTCACTGAGACCACAATACAATACAATACTCTTTATTGTTAATTCGTCAAGAATTACAATTTAGTGTCAATACAATAGTGAATTGTACATGTTAATTTTCATAAAATTCCTTTATTGAGTAGAAGGGTCTTGCGATTAGCCACTTCTTCAACTCCTGGTGTAGCTTGTTGCCAGTCAGGTCTCTCAGGTAGTCAGGTAGATGGTTCCTCAGCTTGCAGCCGGTGTAGGAAGGTTTTTTCTCCCAAAGAGTTGTTCGGTGAACTGGTAGTGCAAATTTGGAGCCATGACAAGTGTTGTAGTGGTGCAGGTCTCGGTTTCTTGGGGGGTTTATTTCATTCACATACTTTATAGATTCAAGTATGTAGAGAGACACCACTGTGAGGATTCCTAGGTTTGCGAATGCTAGTCTGCAAGTCTGTGGTGGGGCAAGGTTGGCGAGGGCTCTTATGGCTTTCTTTTGAAGGACAAGAATTCGATTCATATTTTTTGTTGTAAAGTTCCTCCCCACACTGTCAAGCCACATCTAAGATGCGACTCTACCAGTGCGAAGTAAGCTGTTTTGGCCACGGAGAGTCCGCCTATGTAGTTTATTCTTCTGACGACATATATTCCAGTACTGATTTTTTTTGCTTAAGTGGTACAATATATGCTCCTTCCGATATCCGACCTTTGGCTGTTCTGACCATGGCGCAGTCTTGTCATGGTCGGATATGAGGGGTTCTAGCCTACTGTAGATATAAGAATCATACTTCAACAGCAAAATTTAAAGTAATGTATTATATAACGACAACTATATACTAGTAACATTCAAACTCTGTATCATGAAACAACAATAACGAATTAGCCTATGTAGCCTAAATAGTTTGAGTTTGAACTGTTAACTAAAATTAGATAAAAGGCCTCCTTAATATTAATAGGCCCTTACAACATAATATAGCCTACTTAAACCTTAAAAACTTTAACATTGTAACGGACGTTTGAACCTTCCATGCCATTAGCCTACTAAACAAAAACAACACCGGTACTGTACAGTAAATGAAAAAAGCTAGGTGACATAAGGTTTTTGATATAACCCTTTTACCCTATTAATATTGTGTCTTATTTTGCTGTCTTAGTGACTTCAAAGATGTAAAAACTAAGCTATATTTAAATTCCAGGGAGTGGGGCAAGCAATGGTATTATCATTCAACGTTTTCCAGAGAAAGATTGGCCGGATACGCCGTTCATTGAAGGAATTGAATGGGTAAGTTAATTCCCTGTTTTTACCTAAGTAAAAACTACAACAAAGTTGGTACTTCATATTGTATTAGCCTCATTTTAACCACACCCAAGGATATATTTACATCATCTATTGCTTCTGTTAAATACAGTATAATTTTACTAGTGGATTATTAAACCTGATGCATATGTAGATAATTTTATCTCAAATTTATGTAATCACTGAATTTAAAAAGCTATCGAGTTTTTCTTTGTATAACATTTTATCATCTCAACCCCCAGTTTTATAGAATCGTCTATTAGGGATGATAATGCTTTTAAATTATGTGTGACGTTACTTGTTAGTCATAGAAATTTAGTTAGTACCGGTATGAAAAAAGTTGCCAATTCTATTTTTAAAGATGCTGGTTTACGGTAAATGAATTGTTTTTAAATAATAAAAAAAAAACACGCAAATTAAAACAGAAAGACTAAATTGCTGACCTTGAAAAAGATTCATGAAAACCATAAATTTATTCATGTATGAAAATGTTAACACTACATGTAAAGTTATAAAATTAATTGTCCAAGCTGTCATCATGGGTAGAGCATATAGCATATTAATTTTGTAGAGAATTGTCCAGAGTTGTACATTTGTTGATAAATCTAAAAAGACATGTTTCCTTTAAATACTTGAAAATGGCATATTTTGCATTTTTTGAAACCACGGTTTGATTAACAGAGAGGTTCTAGCCTAGTAGGCCACTTTTTATTTCATTGGGGATTCTGTTTATATAAACTTGTATATTTTAGAGGTAGGCTATTAATGTTTGTCAAGAATAATTTAAATAGGCTTATGTTAATTTAGGTGTACGATTTTTCTACAAGTTACCATTGACTTTTTAGATGTTGTCTCAGAAAGCATTTCATAATAGATTGCATGGTTAGTTAGGCCATATGAATTTTTAAATTTAAAATTGTGTCAAAAGGCCTACCTTAATTTTAGATTTTAAACTTTCCATGATTTTTCTGTGATGTGTAGCTCAATTTAATCTTGCAAATTTACCCATGTAAACCATGAATTATATGACGATGTCTGTTGCAAATTTGGCAATTTTTGCTTAATGACTACTAAATGTCTTATTTTGTGTTAAAAACTTATCTTTTTTTTTATCGTCTCTGAACAATTATAGGCCTAGATATGGTTAGGTTGTTACTCTATTCTTGACAAAGAAACAGAATATTTCTTTATATGTGTAGTTCATCACATACTTAGTTCTTTATATTCTTTATATACAACAACAAACGTTTTATTTCAACCACAGTTCACTAACCTATTTGATTAATTTTCAGTTCTGCCAAACGCAGGGCTGGGCTCTGTCTTCAGAGGGGCAAGAGCCCCGAGTAGGCTACATACGTTGTTCTCTAGAGAGAGAGAGAGAGAGAGAGATATGCTTTATTTGCACTTTAAGATTGAAATAGTGTAAAAAATACAAAAATATAATAATACTTACAAACAATTAGATAGACTTTGCTCTTGCTTTACTAAAAATGTTTTGATAATATTCAGTCGTTCCCCCAGTTGGTGAATTCATTTATCGTGTAGAATGGACGACCCAGCAGCCACTCCTTCAGTTTTGTCTTAAACATTTTTGGTCTTGAACTTTTGACTTCATCTGATAGTAGGTTGAAGAACTTCGCTACGTTGTACGATGGCTTCCTTTTGAACCGCTTACTGGGGTGGACAGGAAGATTGAAGTCTCCAGCGCGCCGAGTGTTGTACTGGTAGTTATCTTCATTTTTGGGGAGACCCTTCAAGCAGGCGAGTAAAACAACTTCCAAGATGTAGATGTTCACCACAGTGAGAACGTTCCACTGTTTGAAAGGCTATCAGCATCTCTCCCTCCAGCCTAGGCCAGCCATGACTCTTAACGTTTTCTTTTGCAGGACCAGCACACGTTGGATGATGTGGAGAGAGGCACTTCCCAAAAGCTGAATGCCATGCCTGAGATGACTTTCAAAGAGAGAGTGATACGATGTTATTAGGGCTTCTGTCGTACTAATACACTTAAAGCGTCTTGGAGCGAAGATTGCACTGCTCAATCTCATGCATAGTTCGTCTATGTGATAAACCCATGAGAGCCTGCTGTCAGTGGATATTACTTATATCCAGCAAAAAAGATATCTTTCAACTACGGTTCACTAACCTATTTAATTAATTTTCAGTTCTGCCAACCGCAGGGCTGGGCTCTGTCGTCAGAGAGACAAGAGCCCCGATTCTTCGTTTCAGTCCTCACAGACATTGATGCCAACCGTCACTACTGTGCGTGTCTTTGCTTCAACGAAACTATATCCATCACGCCTAGCAAGCCTGTGGATGAGGTATAATATTTCTATGGGTTGTATCTTTTAGTAGTAACTTCCTCTGGTTTACCCCTAGGAGGATTAAACATTAAGGAGAGGGCACGCGAATAGGAATACACATGTTGCGGTGAAGCCAGCTTTAGCAGAACACTAGAGGGGCACGCGGAGCCGTAAAGTGGCAAAAAGCCTCGGCTATAACATGGGAGAGATAGGGAAAAACGCGACGCGCGCTGTTTCGAATTAAAATTGCCTCTAAACTAAAACACCTGTGTTATTTACCGATGGCATTCTTAAAGTAAATTAAATTTCCTATCGAACGGTGTCAATAATTCCTATAAAAACTATTATTTATTATTTATTATTGAAGATCAAAGTTGAAAGAATTGGCTTGGACTTTGAACATATGATTACTTTAATTACGTTTTTGAAAAAAATATGATTTATCTACACAAACTAACAATTTATTCGTGTTCCTTAATAGTTTCTCGAAATAAAAAATATATATTTACCTATATTTAAAAGTGGTATTTAGAAAAATAATTACTATAAAGTTTTTTTTTATTTTTTCAGTTTATAAAACAATCCTACTAATCATTGGTTAAAATGAAAAATTTAATTCGGGCGGTGAAATACATTTTAAATTTTCATTTTTCATAGTTTTCTCGATTTGTTAATATTATTTTTTACTAGTTTTAAGGCATTTATGTGCTAGGCAGGTGATTTTAAATAGCCAAAGTTAAGAAAAAATGCAAAGCCGCTCTAACTTTTTTTACACCAACAGCTGTTACAATTAAATTACAAACATAAAAATTAAAACAATTTCTTGGCAATCAAGTTCTTGATTTTTTAATATCATATTGAACTATATTTTATCTGTTTGCCCAAAGAAACTTCAAGTAAAAAGTGTAAATGTTCAGCAATCATCGCGTCTTCTGACCGCCAAAGTGCCTTTATCATTCTTTTAAAGGATTAAAACTTATTTTATTTCTCTTTGAGAAAATGTTCAAATACACATACAGTACTACTCATGATTTGAGTTTTAATTTATGAACAGTAAAAGCCATTGGTGGTATGGCGGGATTTGAACCCGGGACCCCAGGGACCGGAGTCCCGCGCTCTGGTTAGAGTATTATAAATAATACACAATATAAGTATGACAAAAAATAAAAACAAGGACAACGAATTCTAAAAAACAAGTCATCCTTGTGTAAATTACTCACCTTTGAACATACTATTGGTTCATAAATACGACTTTCCTCTTAATAGGTTCCTAATATTACGGTTAGAATTTAAATTTTTAATTTTCGTAGCATGATTAAGTCTAATTTTTAAATAGATAATTGATATTTCTGTTGCCAAATCTTCCAGTAACGCATACAACGCAGTATGAGAGGGGGGGCGGGAGAGTAGCGCTGCCTCCCCCCCACCCAACCAGTACGCTGGCTTCAACGAAACTACAGCGTGTCCTCTCCTTAATGTTTTATCCTCCTAGGTTTACCCTTGGTTTTTTTTGGGGCTTCAAATAGTCTGAGAAAATGGTCTTTACCGTGAATTGAGTTTTTCTCAGAGATAATCAATTTGTAAAAACATAACCCAACATCTTCAAAAAAGGCTAGTAGTTCATCTCACAAGACAGTATAAATCCTGTATCCTATAGTCTATTTGTATGTTTTTTTTCCAAAAATACCTTTTAATGTAGGCTTAGGCCTAATAATCAGTGACATAACCCTGACTAAGACTATAAAATTATACTGGAAAATTAATTGACAAATGAATGCATTTGTTCAGTTTTGTATCCTAAGCTTAGTTGTCAGGTTTTGCATATTACTGCATTCTTTAAGTCAGCATTTGTTTTAAAACACTTTAGGAAACGTGGATTTTTTACAAGTTGGTGGTTTGGAAGTATTTTATTAAAATTATAAAACAATTATAGTATTATCTATCAGATGACTTGCGAATAGGGATGTAAAATGCCCGGGTATTTAAAACATGTGGTAAATACCATGGGTACTTACCCAGGTAAATACCCAAAATGCGTAAATACCCGGGTATTTAATAGCAACTATGCCCCAAATTAAAATGCTAGTGGGGACCATAATATGAAGAAATTTTAAAAACATTTTATCATCATTATACACATTATCATCATTATAGTAAGTTAATTGAAAAAAAAAACAAAACAATTAAATCTTCTATGAAATCAATAAAAATTAGAAATACCCAGTTTTTGGGTATTTACCCGAGCCTCAGGTAAACACCCGGGTAAATATCCATTTTATAAATACCTACCCACTGGGTATTTAACCGGCCCATATCCCTACTTGCGAACATTTTCTGTCATATTCACTTGTGAAATATTCACTTGTACTGTTTGAAGTGGTGTTAGTCACTGGTGTCTATGGCATGAAGTCCAAAACCACCCTCTCCTTCATGTACCTTGACGCTGACGGTGGAGGAAGACCCTGTCCCCAGTGCGATAAGAATTTCCGTACAGTTCTTTCTGTTGGGCCTCTTTCTTGCTCATTACAAGTATATTCCTGGCATATATGTACGGAAGTTGAAAGCGCAGGTCGTTCCATAAGCAAGTTTCCTCTGTACCTAGATTCTTTTTAGTCACAATCAGTAAAAAACAAAGTTTTTCAAGGTTTCAGGACCTGTAATATGATCCTGACCTCAGGTGAGAAATCATCACACCTTTACAAATAGAACACAAAAAGCCTACAACAAAACAATAATTAGAAGTTCATACATAACAGTAGTAATATTAAAGTAAAGTATTAAAGTAAAGTAAAGTATTAAAGTAGTAAGTACACAATAAGTAAAAGCAAAAATAAAAAATCAGGACACAATTGAACACGTCTTTACAAAAGGTGACTCAAGTGAGACTGAGGTCATCCAAACGTCTGGCAAATGGCCGGAGCGATGACCACAGGATATTGAAACAAACAACAAGGCAGCAAGACGTAAAAAACTACAAACAGGAGCTAAGCAGCATTTTGAATCATGTATTATCCCATCCACATTTTCTTCTTGCTGGTGTGACGTACCATATAAAAAAAAACTTTGGGGCACTTACAGTACAAGAATGAACTTTACTGATAAATATCAGTGGCAGCTCCAGGACGGTAACCTGCTTTTAATTTATCTGAATAAGAACCTGGGCTTTTTTGCTCACAACTTTCTATTTATATTGGCAAATTGAGTTACATGCTTTGTAGCCTAACTGATGTTGATGTTGTACATTTATCAGCAGGAAGAAGACACGTTGGACGGCCACAGTAGTCCTCACAACATCAGCCTACCGACCATCACTCATCATAGTATCATGTATGCTCCTAAGTGTCTCGTTCTGGTGTCCAGGCTTGACTACATTGAAACCTTCCGAGTAAGTTTAACAATTATTCAAAATTCTCCATTGGATTTCAAAGTCTCAATTTGAGATACAACAGTCTTATCACATTTAACAGCCTTATTTTAAGCCTTATCAGTAAACCCCTAGTGAGAACAGCCTAGATTTTATGAAAACAATGGCCCAAAATGTACCTTATCTAACGATCCTTGACATCTAGCATAGTAGAAAGTAGACTTGCTATGTCAGAGTTTTCAGTTTTGCTTCCAGTCCTTCCTGCGGCAATGTTCACACATTTGTTTGAATTCTATAAGAAGAATGAATGAACTACAGTTCATTTAAGTAATGGTCACCAGTTTTGTACTGCAATTTATAATCAATCCATTGTCATGGCACCACTGTTAGCTTTAAAAAATCTGCCTCAATCTTAGTTCTTGTCACATTTATATTTTTATCGGATATAGCTAGAGGTGTATAATTTGAGTAGGCTACATAAAGATTCTACGGAATTTATAGCATCTGGCAGCTTTTTATCATAGCTTAAGTACATCAAAGGCCCTTCTACTGTACAATACAGTTGCATGTACTTCTTAATTGTGTTTAAACTCTACCTATATTGACCGATGCTGTTTGTGAACCTCGACTCAGCAAAACTCCTGCAAACCTAACCTCAATATAACAAACCTTATTTTAACGGAATCCTTGATATAACGAATATTCAGTTTGAGTCACTTAAGATTTTTGACACCCAGGTTCGACTGTTTTATTAGTTTCTTTTTCAAATGAATTGTACATTTTTATTAAAGGACTAAGCAGTGTAGACCGTGTGTTTTTTTTTTTAAAGACGTTGGCAGCCTCTTTTAACCTTGCATAGCCCGTCCACATAGGCTATGGGCCTGTTTGTGGAACGTACCCAACAAAGCAAGGGGTGATCCGGTACAGTACAATGTTGAACATTACTGTTAAAAAGTAGTGCCAGTGACCAGGATCTGAACACACAGAATCGTTGCCTGGGGCCCGAAGTCCGTGACGCTACCGACTGAGCCACCGACTCGCCTCACAGACATAGTGAAAAATCACAATATTAAATGGAAAATGGCTTAATATACAGGGTTAATAAAAAGTCTGGAGACTCCCTGTAAATTTTTTTACGGCTCACACTAGAAAAACTAAACTCTGCCTGCACACCTTTATGTTTATGGCATGTTATGAAGTACTTTTTGGGCATAACTGCTACTTCCCCGAAATGAACTTTTGCATGGTTGGTTTCCAAACCCAAAATGTGAAACGTCAAGCCCCATCGAGTGACCTCTCATTTTGAAGGTTGTAATAAAAGAAAACTAACAACGCAAACTAGAGGTCTCTATCTTATTCTTAACACAGTAAAATATGGCAGTCAATTCATGTTACGTAAGGAAAATTGTAAGTTAATTCTGATTTCTAAAGATTTCAATTGACTGCCATATTTTACTGTGTTAAGATAGTTTGCTTTGTTAGTTTTTTTTTATAACAACCTTTAAAATAAGGGGTCACTCAATGGGGCTTAACATTTCAAATTTTTGAGTTTCCCCCAAAATACCCCATTTTGGGTTTGCGAACCAAGTAGCAATTAGGCTCAAAAAGTACTTCATAACATGAATGAATGAATGAATTATGAATTTATTCCACCACATATATAAAAATTACACAACCAAATGTACAAAAGAAAAAAGTTCTTTATGCAAAACTAAACTAACTAACTATAACTAATTAACTATATACATGCGTAAAAGGTTGTTCCTATCTAATTAGTTCTGGAATTAGCAGACATAGGCTGTGCCTGTGCGTCTGCTAAGTTGCTATAAAGATTATGAAGTTAAAGTGGCGCAATTTAATTTTATTATTTTGTATGAGTGAAAAATAAAATTAAATGAAAAGTAAAATTAAATGAAAAATTAAATGAATTTCAGCAGTTAAGTAATACTGACTGAGTTATGTAATAAGTGACAGTTCTCTACACGAAAAGAACATGCAATAGTAAAGAACATGCAATAACTATCAATATAAGCGTCGGAGAGAGAGCGGCTAGGGTGTGCTGTCAATGTCGAGGTCAAAGTCAAGTCAATGATCTAGTGAGTCAAGTCAATGGTCAAGTCAAAGGTCGCGGGCCGATCCCGTCGCGCCGGTAAGATGAAGTAATAATAAGATCAGCTTCGTCCGTATTTAAATTAAGTAGCCATTCTTTAACAAGACGTTTAAAAGACACAATAGATGTGGCGTCAAATAAATTTAATTCAGAATAGTATTTACAAAAATTTCGAAACACTATGTGAGATATATAAAAAGAATTTGTTGTTGAAAAAGTGTTGTATACCTGAAGTGTAGTAATGTGGACTTGAGATGAGTATCTTGTGTTATGAGAATGTGAGGTTTCATTAAATATTCTAGTGCAATTCTTGAAAATGTTAATTAGTAAACATTTGATATATAGTTTGCGAACTGTAAGAATTGATGTTTCCTTAAATAGGGCGTCAGACGGAAATCGTTTAGATTTACCAAAACCAATCTTTAAAAGTGACCTATGAGCAATATTTAGAGGTTCCAGCAAACTTTTAAAACATCCTCCCCAGGCTATAATCCCAAATGAGAGCAAAGATTGGACGTAAGCAAAGTAGGCAATTTTAATTTCTTTTAAGGTTAGAATTCCATTCATTTGTCTAAAGGCAAACATGTATTTCCTGACCTTACTCCTTACACTTTGAATATGTTCAGCCCACTTCAGCCGACGGTCGAAAATTACTCCCAAGTATTTATATGAAGCTACCTCTTCAATAGCTTCGCAATTACAAGACAAGTTAAGGAAATCACTACAAGAATGAATTGTTAGGTTTTGTAAATTATAATCTGTGGTTTTACTAATAGAAATAGGCATAAATTTTGTTTTTGATATGTTTAGGGAAAGAATATTTTGGTCTAACCATTTTTTTATAACCATTAGATCATGTTGCGCTTTTTCTCGCACCTCGGGCCACGACTTCCCCTCCAGGAAAATTAGTGTATCGTCAGCAAACAAAAATAACTTTCCAAACATATTGATTCTCGATATATTATTAATATATATTAAGAAAAGAATAGGCCCTAAATTACTACCCTGGACCACCCCATAATCGACAGGCATAGGATCACTGTCTGTACCACAAATTGTAACAAATTGAGCTCTGTTTGAAAGATAACTCTTGAACCATTCCAAAGCACTGCCGCAAACTCCAATTGTTTTTAACTTGTTGAGAAGTTTTAAACGATCTACAGAATCAAATGCTTTTTTAAGGTCAAGAAATATTAATATAGAACGTTTTTTGTTGGAAATGGTATCGTACAACTCTTTGTTTACATCAAAAAGAATATCTGAAATATTTTTGTCGTGACGGAAACCGTACTGATGCTCACTGAGAATGTTATTAGAATGAAGGTAAGCAACCAACTGATCTTTGACAGCCTTTTCAATTATCTTAGTAAAAATACTCAACAATGAGATTGGGCGAAAATTGTTTTTATTAGTGATTTCGTTGGATTTATATAATGGAAAGACTTTAGCCAATTTGTAACAATCAGGAAAAGTTCCTGAAGTTATGCTTAAATTAACAATGTGTAAAAGTGGAAAACAGAGGATATGAAAGTTTGCTTTAAGGACATCGGCCGATATACCATCGTAACCAGGCGCGGAACCACCCCGCAGGCCGCAGACGTAGCGTTGTAAGTCATGTGCAGTGATCGGTTGAAGCGTAAACGTCGTGTCGAGTTGATAGTCACAGTCGTCAACCAATAGGGCCCCACTTGGGTCTAGTTTACTGGCCAGTGAGCTACCGACGTTAGAGAAAAAAATATTGAAATCATCTGCGACTTGTTTATACAATGTTGTAGATAACTGAGTGTTTGATGTAAATTTATCTATTGGAAACGAATCTTTTTTATTTATTCTGCCGGCCAGTTCATTGACTAATCTCCAAAACAGCTTAGGGTTATTAGAGGCTTCGTTTAATTTTTGCCGGTAGTAATTTTGTTTAGTTTGCTTCAGTTGTTCACTAAGGTTTTGTTTAAATTCTTTATAAAAATTGATAAGCTCAACATTAAAGGGTTGTTTTTTAACTCTTTTACTGAATTTATCTCTCACTCTTATTTGTTTAATCAGTTCTATGGAAATCCATGGTTTGAGTTTTTTAGCTCTAGTTGATTTATTAATAATGGTTTTAGTAGCGGATTTCACTGAATTAATAACAATTCTATTAAAATAATTAGAACAAAAATTTATGTCATCATCACATTGAACAATGGGGTCCCAGTTGGAGTTAGTGAGGTAATGTGACAGTAGTGTATGGTCCAGGTACGTGTGAGGCACTGTGTCAGTGTGAGAAGTGTTAGTGCGTGGTGTGTTTGAGGAAATAGTCAGACCAGTGCTGTAGTGATCTGTCACAGCCGTCTGGATCACAGCTGATTTGACCTGAGAAATGTTGTTGTGTTTAATAAAAATGTGATCCAGACAGCTTGCTGTGTTGTTAGTTACTCGCGTCGGCTTATCAACACACTGCAAGAAGCCCATCCCCAAAAATACATCTAAATATAGTTCTGAGGTTTCATTTATTCGAAGAATGTCTATATTAATATCACCAAGGAATATACAAGTTTGATTTCTATTTAATGCATTCATGTATCTCTCCAGTTCACCAATGAGATTAATTGAATCACTGTCGAAGGTTCGGTAAATAGCTAGCAAATGGAAAGGCTTTCCGCAGTGCGTGAAATCCAACGCAAGTCCATAAACATCTCCCAAGGTTATTTGATTGCACGTAGCTGATAGTCGTCTGTTAATGTATACAACAACTCCGTCGTTTTGATTGCGCTGAGTTTCAGTACAGTACAAGTCGAAGCCCTCCAGAGCGGCTCCCCCACCACTCTCCCCCAACCAGCACTCAGTTAAAACAATTACATCTAGGTCATTTATCAATTGATCTAAACAAATCAACAATTCATCTAAGTTTTTGCTATAGCTGCGAATATTGGTGTGGAAGAGGTGCAAACTATCATTGCAATTCTTATTATAAAAATCTATGTACTGCTGAAAATCATTTAATTCTAAACAATGTATAGCTTCAGAAAAATAGCCCTCTTCGTCTGAATCTTGCAACATGTAGGTCAGTGACCTCGCCCTCCTGTCTGCTAAAAACCGGACTTTACAACTACAAAGATGCCTAACTTGCTTTATTCGTTAGTAATGATTTTTTTTCTATTGAATCACGGAATGCTTAATAAAAATAACTATAATATAACTATAACTATAACTATATTTAAATATAACTATATAAATATAAAATCGAATAATGTTTGAGATAATATGATTGCAAAAATAGTTGGAATCGTCTTAAAATAAAGGTTGTGCTAAATATAATCTTTATCAGTAAAAACATCATAATGAATTTTCTTTGCTTGTAAGGTTATAACGAAAAAAAAGATTTCCTGATTAATTATAGCATTAGCTTCTCTACATGCAAAGTTAATGTAAACAGTCTAACTATCAAATTAAGGATATTTCAAGCAATAACTATTCTTACTAAGCAATATAAAATAATGCAATCTTTGATTCAAGGATAAATGGTTAAAACGAAATAAAATAAAGGTAAAAAGGCAAATAAAAATATCTGGATGCTCCTTTAATTAACTGATTAGGTTTCTATTGTTTGTATCTATTAATTAAGTATATCTGGTGCATGCATGTTTCTTCGAGTAATAAATAATAATAATAACAATGCATAATATTCTTTAATTATTGAAAAATAAGGTAATAGTAGTGCACATATACATCTATTAACTCTAAATTGTCCAAACTCGTTAATTACTCTTCAAGCTTTAAATTAACTAATAGTTGAAAAAGTTAGTGAATGTTGTACATGCTTGGGATTTAAAAATATAATTATGGTAAAAAAAATAAATAATAATGTTGGTTATATGCACTTAGCTTCAGATTTCCTGCATGCAGTTCTTAACTATATTAAAAAAAAAAAAAACTTATCAGTCCAAACTGCGCATAAATACCTATAAATATCAGCCTTCAAAAGTGTCCAAATCTTCCTGATGTAGGATTCTGATAGCATCATCATCCTCCCGCGGCTTGATGATGATTTTTCCATTGAAATACCCGGCGAAGTGTAGCTTCCCCTCGCGCCGTAGTCTCCGTGCACGCCCCAGCAGAGCCTTGTTATTACGTGTTAGCTGCTCGTTAATGAATACGTTGCTGGGCTGGAGATTAGGGGAGATGTCTGTCGATTTAAGGCTCCCTTTACTCCGAGCAGCAGCCATCCACACTTCTTTGGCAGATCTAGAGACAAATTGGCAGATGATTGGTGCGTAGGTGTGTTTGTTCGAAAACAGGCGCAGACGGTGAGCAATTGAAACCTCCTCTCTCCTAAAGTCAATTCCGAGAGCCCCGGCTAGTTTCTGTAGTACTGCGTAGATATTTTCCCCTGCCGTTTCTGGAACTCCCACAACCTCAATGTTGGCACATCGCGAGTGTTGTTCTGCGTCATTGAGCCGATCTTGCAGCGACGTGAGCTCCTTCCCGAGCGTGGCGTTAGCGTGTTCAAGCGTGTCGCAGCGACTCTGCAGTTTGGTATGATCGTCATGTAGGGCATTAAATTGACCATTTAGCACCTGGAATTCTTCTTTTAATCCGTCCAGCTTGGAGATAACACAACCAACAACCGAGTCAGTATGGTTTTTTATTTCGGTTTTGAAGCTGGTTAAAGCGTCAAGGAAGGTCCTCTTGTCCACCGCGGCACCAATTGCGGACTCGTTGCTGCGTTGTGACACTGACGAACCAGAGTCTGCCACGCATCCCTCGCACTTCCAAGTTTTCTACGCACCTTTGGTGAAATTTTGAGGTCCAAGCTGTGAGCAGGTGGCATGGAACTCTGCGTTGCAGTCGATACACTTAGCACTTAATTCTGTAGATTTAAGTTCAACACTACACTTACCGCACTTGGTAGGCATAGTTACGAAATGTAATTAGCAATAGTAACTGAATAATAATTACAACGAAAATAGTCGACACAGTACGAAAATTTAGGTTATAAGCAATAAGGCACTGAACGTAAAGCAGACAGGAAGCGGCCCGTGACTAGATAAGGCTAGAGTCCAGAGATAAGAGGTCCGCACCCATCGACGGCTAGATAGCAACTGAATGTCATAAAGGTGTGCAGAGTTTAGTTATTTTAGTGTGAGCTGTTACAAAATTTACAGGGGGTCTTCAGACTTGGAAAGCTGTAAGTTAAATTTCACTTCTGAGAATTTCAATTGAATGTCATTTTTTACTGCGTTGAGATAGAGACCTCTAGTTTGCGTTGTTGGTTTTCTTTTATCAGGACCTTCGGTTTTCTTTTATCATGACCTTCAAAATGAGGGGTCACTTGATGGGTCTTACTGTTTGAAATTTTTGAGTTCCCCCGAAATTCCCCAGTTTGGGGATGTATACAAAGTGGTGGTTATGCCCAAAAAGTACTTCATAATATGCCATAAAGGTGTGCAAAGTTTGGTTTTTCTAGTATGGGCCGTTAAAAAATTGACAGGGGGTCTCCAGACTTTTTATTAACCCAGTTCCTATATAAACGGCCCTTTGACTCTAGTTGAACAGTAGGTATTTCTTTCTTTCAGCAATTCAGCATTTTCACTAATCTGGCAGTGTCAAAGTCCCAATAGTGGCGGTAGCTAGTTTCTATTGTTTGTTGTGTTTGAATCTGCGAGCTGGATACAATTGATAAAGTTTCTGATGGATGTTTTCATGTTGCAGAACTGCCTGGGCATCATATATACAGTGTATGTGGAGAGTGTGCCAGTACCTCTAGAGAACATTGTCAGCAACATCCTGGGGTGTATTCAGGTGCCTCCGCCTGGTGGGCCGCAGGTGAGGTTCAGTATAGGCGCTGGGGACAGACAGGCACTACAACCTCCTCTCACACCTACATTGCCTGTCACGCACACGTCAGTCAACCTGCTCTTCCATCAACTAGGTATCTAGGTTACTAGCCTTTACTGTGTTAAGGTTGAGAGTTTCTTTTGTTTAAAATTGGAAAACAATTTAGACATTTTGAGCTCCTGATTACTTTCCTGTGATGCTGCTTTTGTTTTCCTGTGTTTAGTATTGACACATTGTAGCACATTGTAGTACACGGGGACTACAACACAAAGGACTGCTAACAGATTCAAGAAATACAGAGTTTTAATAGCCTACAGGACTCCGAACACCATGAGTAAAATACTGCATCCAAAAATAGAATAATGTAACAAATTCGACGCTTCAGGCATATATAAAATCAATTGTAATGATTGTGATAGCTTCTACATTGGATAGAATGTGAATTTAGTTAACCGCTTCAAAAACCACTAGGGGTGGGCGAGTAGTGATTTTTTCATTTTTTTTTCATTTTTTTTTTTTTTTTGCTGTAGTAGAATTATATGTACAGGACAAAGCCTATATCCTGTCCTGATACAGACCAGACTGGTTTTTCGTCATGTAGTTTGAGCTTAGTTTTAAGAATTGACAGATATTTTTTTCTTTTTGTACAAATGAATGAAATGAAATGAAATGCTTTAGTTAGTTTACAGTATTACTATTACATTTTTAAAGTTTGAATAATTGTAATTAGTTATATCAAATATATCAGTGTAGTATTAGTTTTATAAATATTGACAAAACTCCTATCTATGTACATTGTACTCCAAAAGATGTTATGAGTTAATAAATAATTTGAATTTGAATTCAATTCGAGTCGAGTATTTGAGTAAAAACTCGAGTGTCGAGTCGAGTTGTTGCGCGTTAAGTAGGCCTAGGCCCAGGGTTTAAGCTGCGGTGGTATTTTTAGGATCTTGCTATTCACAACGGGTCCGCGGAATTGGCTAACTCTGGAACTCGCTAACCCCATGTTAAATGCCCTATCTTCAAATTTGGTCGATGAGAGGAACTCGCTAACTTGTTCGGTTTCGGAATTGGCTAACTCCGGAACCCGCTAACCCGCTCTAGAGCCGGGTTAGCGAATTCCGTCCTCGTACGGAAGTCGCTAACTCGGTCCCTCGGCGGAACTCGCTAACTCCCAATCAGAAGCCTAGCGGGCCGTCCAATGGGAGCCAAGCACGAATATTTTTGGCCAGTGTTGCCGAAAGTGTAGTACCTATATCGTATCGGCACCATAATGTCGTATCCTACGATTAATTGGGAGTAAGAGCAACGTAGTCGATAAAATAAATATATTTAGAAGTATGTTTAACCACAGAGAAGTTCTTATGATTATTAGGGTGGAAAATGCATTATAGTCTTACCATAGACTAACCAACACAAGTAAACTTTACATCCCATTGTAAACTTTGAAGCTCGTTTTTCATGTCTAGTTCATGTCCGGTGACACTGATCGCTAGTGTCGACAAAATTGTGTTTCTATTATTTTATAGTTAACCTCATGATTTGTTCCTTACTGTTTGGTTATATAACTAGGGGACGTGTTATTAGTTGTGATTAGAACGTTTTATTTGGTTAAACGAGGTTTTAAATTACTGAAAACAAGAAACAATTGTAAACAAAACACGACCTCTAAAGACAGTACACCGGACAGAACTAACAATACAACTGTCTTCAGATCATCCATAAGGATTAGAAATGTACTAATATAAGGGAGTATGTTTTATATGTGGGTTTCTTACTTAAATAGTAGCTTATTGGTATGAAAAAGATAAAAATGCACATTTAATTTGGATCTATTACATGTTATGAAATATATATTTTCGTAGTCCGCCATTTGTTTCTTTTATTCGAATAAATACCATTTTGTGACCTTCTGCAAATAAAATTTTTGAGTTCGTATTTTATGGGCTTGTAGTAACCTTAAATCATAAATCATAATAAAATTTACACGTTAAACGTCATTACAGAATTACATTGTAGTGGTTATGTATTTTTAAATAGAGCTATTGAATTTAAATAAATATTTATCAATACATTATAAAGTGGTAGGCCTGTACTCATGGATTGCATTAAAAGTTAGTCCATGCATAAATACAACTTGTAAATTTCTTTTATCGTAGGCTATTAGTGTAGAACCCGGGTCATCCTCTTAATTTTGTTGAATTAATATTAATTTTACGTCTTTCAGTAGGCTTACTTTTTAAAAGTCTGGAGTTTTTTTCCAGGCTGATTCTATCTTATCCAAAAACAAAGCTATTGTCTATTGTGTAGCTCAGTACTGGGGAACGGTGAACCGAGCAATGGCTTGGTATAGTTTATATCGTTTGTGAAAGCAATATAAAGGAAACCCAACACTCAAATCAGGAAAATCCGTCAATTAGTTTATTAAAAATCGTGAATTAAAATAACCCTGTCACGTTTTATTATATGAATATTATATCTTCTCCTATTTTTTACTAGTGGTGCTTAGGTGTACAATCTAAAAACTGTTTTAAAACATGTAACATTATTGCTAAAAAATTCAACACATTTTAGAATTAGGCAACTATTTACTAGTAGGCCTACAATGCTTTGGTTCAAACTATTAGGCCTAGATAAAAACTTAGTCTATGTCATCATATTTGTACACGTAAGTTGGACGGTTCAACGACGAACATTTAATTTAAAATCTATGAATTAATTATGAAAGTTACGATGGTTGATGACTGTATTAATTAATGGTTTTGGTTTATTACGACATTACAATTAAATCTGTTTTCCGTGTTTAAAAACTTGCGTGTGTTTTAGCTTATTTTCGTAGAGGTTTAATTATTTATTACCAATTAAACTAAATTTTGAATATTTTTCATATTCTATTATTTTCTTTTATACTGATGGCATAACATAACATATAATATATATTTAAGATCGAAATCATAAACATTTAACTGGCCATTGTACAGTTTAATAAGAAACACTTTTTCATGATTTTTTAATTGTCTTTTAATTACTTTGGGCTAATTATCTGTTAAAAGTGGAATTGATAACAAAAAAAATAACATTTACTGTATCTTTATAGACACTGACATTTTGAAATACGGCAGTGTACGATTATTTTGTCGTACAAGGTTGGCAACGCTCCGAGCAGTGGGCGCGGCCGGGTTAGCGACTTCCAGAGTTAGCGAATTCCGCCGCGAGACAAAATCGAGTTAGCGGGTTCCGGAGTTAGCCAATTCCTGACTGAGACGGTTAGCCAGTTCCAGAGTTAGCCAGTTCCGCCACACGACCGAGTTAGCGAGTTCCTGAGTTAGCCAATTCCTACGTCTCTTCACAACTTAAAAATGCTAAGTTTACATTTTTTTGCAGGCTAGGCCTATGGCAAATTTTCTACAAATAAAATTGAAAGATGTAATGCTCAAACAAATGTATCTGCATGGAGAAACAACAAACCGAAAAGATCAAATGTTGCACAATACCTGTTACAAAATGGCCACTCAATAGGAAAAATGGAGGATAGTCTTATGTATTTTAAAGAATTGTAAGAAAGGATATGTAATGAATGCTTGAGAAGAATTGTATATTTATAAGGAAAAATGTAAAAATATAAATAAGTTAATAATAATATCTATTGTTCTTACCGTTAACGCAATCAGGGGTGATATTCCACCACTACGGCCGTTTCGGAGATGACTCCATCGTCAGGTGCGTAGAAACACACCTAATGTTCTATGTCTTGTCACATTTAACACGAATAGTCTTCATTTGCATTGCGTCAGGGGTTGAATAAATAATACACATGTAAGCACAGGAGGGACACACGAATACACGAAAACATTTAGAGCGCAAGCACGGCTTGAAAAATGACGACCGACTTAGTCTTCTCCGAAACAGCCGTAGTGGAATATCACCCCTGATTGTGTTGACGGTAAGAACCATAGATATTATTATTATATTTCCACGCAATCTGCCACACTCAAGAATATAGAAATAAGTTGATTAATGAACAAGTAAATTTCGATTCCAGTTGTACTTAAAAAAATGTATTGGCCGGTGATTCCGGTAGCCAATAGGGTATAAGTAGGGACGCCATTCAAGATTCTTGTCATTCGCTTCTTGGGTCTGATGATGATCGAAGTGTCCAATCGAAATCGATCACCACTTACCATCTTTTTTGTATATTTACCGTCTTGTGAGTAACAGTATAAGCGTAAATATATGTTTTAAGTGTTATGAGACTCTCTTTTATTTACTTTCTGTAAATTTAATAACACATACAATGCCGATCAAGAAGTTATTCTATATGAAGACTAGAAGAAAAATCTCAGGGGTGGATCAAGTTAACCTCAAAATGACAACAACTGTTATTTTACAACAAATTAATGCAAAAGGTAATTTTAGCCCGTTGCGAAGTCATAGCTTTAGTCGGTTCATATAATTGTAGTAATTAAATCATAAAGTATGTCGGGCGAAGCCGACGAGCAACAGCTAGTTTTTATTGGTTTATATTATATTTTATAAAATTAATAATGATTGGTTTCATCCCGCATGGATTTCATATAAACCCTTCTTTATCCCAAATAAATTTCAAAAGAAATCTCATTCTATTACATACAGTTTTGTTGGTCTATATAATTGAAATAGCCCTTTAATCCTTAATTATAATAATGTCAATGGTAACCTGTAATACAATATACTTTCATGATGTTAGCCTCCTAACTATTATTTATTTTAATACATTAATGTTGGTTTTCCCCTATAAAGCAGTAAAAGATGTAAAACAGGCGACAGAGCCTATAATGCCATCTTATTCCGCATCCGGTTTTAAACCTTCATCAAGGTTTAAAAGTACAATGAATGGAAAAAATTGAATTACTTACACAATTCTAAATCCCAAACATAAACTTTTGTCTATGCAGGTATCCGTAACTCGCTGGTGTTGTTCTGCGCGGTGATGACAGAACAGAAGATTCTATTCCAGTCACGCAGCTACAGTCGTCTCACCGAAGCTTGTCGAGCGCTCACAGCTCTCATGTATCCCTTCAAGTACAGCCACGTTTATATCCCTCTGTTACCCGCTGCGCTGGTTGAAGTGCTGTCCACTCCTACCCCTTTTGTCATGGGTGTTCACTCCTCGCTCAAAACCGACGTGTCGGAGATGGTAATGTATTTTTGTTTAAGAATTTGGTGTGGTTTGATTCCTATTGCTTATATTCAGAGCATAGGCCAACACAAAACCACGTGTTGAAGTTTAAAGAAAGCTGTCGAGCAGTTTTTATTACATTTTTAGTAAACAATTCTCTAGATCAAAGGTTCCTAAACTTTTTGGTCTGGCGACTCACCTTCATTTTGGAATTTTTGTTGCAACCCACCTGTTAAATAAAATATTAAGTATATGTTAAATATTTCAAAAAATTATTATTACTCTTTGGGTTATTATAATTTTACAATTATTATGGTGTAAAGGGTCTATGCCGAAACACAAATATAAATAAAAATTGTGAAGTTGATGCAATTAAAGACACAATATTTAGTCCAAAATATTGTATTTCAGAAAACTAAAGTTATTGAGGCATGTGAAGCTAAAGTTTAAAGAGACCATACCTGTTTTGAATGTTGACATCACTGCTGGTTTTTTCCTTTGTAAAGCCTATTTTCGTGTTCATTTTTTTTTAACATCTGAGTGGAAGATTTTTTCTTACATTGTTACCAATCCAACTAGCTATTTAGAATGTTATTGAATTAACACTCCAATTAAGTTCTCCTGTTTCAAACATCCATTTTATATTTCATCCACGTTTTGTTTTTATATGTAGCTATTATTTATAGAAAAGATTCACAGCAGCATCATGATAATCTCTTGTGATCATGGCGACAATAGGAACATATTTTTACGTCTTAAAGATTTGTTAAAAAACAAATATGCTAGATTGGCTTTTTTTAATTTTCACTAAAACTTGATCGCCAAATTAATTATTACTCAAATAATTGGAATTTGAACATCCTTAGTTTGAAGTTATAAATGATGTTTTTGTCATAGCACAGCAAAAACGACTGTTTTCAATGCTTTGCCCGGTTAAAGTAGCTTCTATTCTCCCTAGGGTGGAGTTGAGGATATTGGCTGCATATTTTTATAGCTGTGAAATTCATCCGCTGATTATATGGCATAAAATAGTCCCGGTTTACAAAAGGTGTCATTATTAATTTTTTTGTGATAATCACAGTGTTAAATTGTATAATTTAATACAAATACACCGTTTTAACCACGTTTAAGCAAAGTCAAATGCAAAAGAATTTCAGTAATCATATGTATTTATTATTGTGTCGTTGGAGGAATAAATTTTATTACATTCAAAAAGCAGTAAAAATATAACCAAAAAAGAACTGACTCAGTTTGGAGCTAATTCATACAGATAAACAATGAATCAATATAAAAAAATGTCAAGTGAATTATTTAGCTTGAACAATTTGCAGTATGATGTCAAATATAGTTCTTCACGGGGGCACAAATGGTATTATCATTATCAACCCTTGCCCATTTTCAGACTTGGGCTTTGTCCCAGTCATTAAACTAAAAGGCTTGAACTTAAACTTAAACTTTAGGCCCTGGTGACGAAATATTATTACTGTTAAACTGTAAATGTACCGAATATATTTTAATTTACTGCCCCCTGTCAAGAAATAATGTTAGGTGAAATTTTGATAATCACGATTAAACCTGATTTTCTCAATTTTTAGATCCAAGCTGGAAGTATGTTCAATGTTAGATCTCTTCCTGCAAACCACTCAAATCCTTCACTTAGTTTGGGATCCGCTGCCTTAGATCATCTTACAGCTGAGCTGCAGTTACCTGAGCTTTTTTTTATTGACTGTCGATTTCCAGCTTGACTATTGATGCGTGCCAGAACGTTTTCAAGTGATATACTTTTGTTTAATTCCCCCTAAGCTTACACTCCATTAATTTCCATCCATTGCAAACTACTCAAATAAAATCCAAGCGTTCTCATTAGTATTGGTTTGCATTGGTTTTGAAGGCTCTCTGTTGTAGATGGATGTGATTGTGGCTGATCTGGACGGAGGCTCTATCCTAGTGCCTGACGGAGTGTCACTACCGCTGCTGCCAGAGCCACTGTTGACCTCTGTGACCGAGGCTTTAGGTCTAGTGTTGCAACCGGACCTCATCTGGTGAGTGGAACAGTCAATCTAAACCTGTCCTCAGGTGAGAATGTACTTAAAACCATTGACTTTTGGATACTGAAGTATTTGGCCTCTCGGGACATCAAAACTAAAAAGTTAATAGGTCTCGGGTCCAGGTCTTACCATGAATAAAATATTCCCTATACTATGGGAAATTCACAAGAAAAAAAAAATAGGGACTAAGAAAATTTTTAAATTGTGTTTTTTAAGTTTTTTGTGTTGAAATGTATTGTATTTTTTTTCTACTAATTCTGCCCATTATTTTTATATGCAGTAGGCTCCCACGTTGTTTTTGAAACATTTCATTTGAAAAAAATAAAATGGAATCATGCCAAAAAAATATCAATAGCTTTAAGGTCAAGCTGCCTATTCCTCTTAGGATAGGACAACATTCTAGATGCAACACAAACCCAATCAAAATCATTGATCATAATTGGAGACATAAATATTGACAGACTGAAAGATAATGCAGGAAATAGACTTTTAATTGAGGAAATATCCTCTCATAACATCAGAAGACTTCCCCTCCCAGCAACCAGAATCACAAAAACTAGTGCCACTTCCATTGACTTTATCTGCACAAACATCTCAAACTCAAACATCCTCTTCTCCGTATTTGAAGCTGGCCTATCTGATCACACCAGACAAACATGCACTGTTAACACCCTCAATGAAAAACCACCAAAGCCAGTGGCAAGCTTAAAACAAAACTTTTGCACTCAGAATCTCAACACACTAAAACAAACCTTAGAAGGGGAGCAATGGGACAATGTAAAAAATGCTCAGGATGCTGACGATGCCTACAAGGTTTTCTATGAAACAGTGAGGAGGGCTCTGGACCACTCATGCCCCATTAAAAAGACAAGACCCAGAACAAAAACAAAACCTAGCGCATACCATGACGAACAGGCAAGTCACTTAAAAGAGATCTATCTGAACTCCCTGAAAGCATTTCAGATCTCAGGGACTATTGCTGATAAAGCCATCATGACTGCTAGAAAAAAAGATTATGACCTAAAATTCAGAAATCTTCAACAAAAAGCTATATCCAACCATATTGCTCAATCACAAAATAAATCCAAAGCCTTGTGGAATGTCGTTTACTCTGAGCGTAAAACCAAACAATCACTGGAACACAAATTTCAACTGAAAATAGATGGACAGCTGGAAAAAAATCCTCAAACTAAAGCAAACCATCTCAACCTCTACTTCTCTCAGATTGGCGAAAAAACCCTAACCACAAATCAACATTCAAATCACTCACCATGCATAGATACAAACCCACGTCAATTTCAGTTTCAACCCGTAACCATCAGAGATGTAAAAGACGCCATAGCAACCTTAAAACCCAAGCTATCGTGTGGAATTGACGAGATCCCAGCTAAAGCTGTAAAACACTGTGCAAATCAACTTGTGATTCCGTTAGCAACTATCATCAATAAATATTTTTCGCTAAGCCAGTTCCCATCCTTGCTGAAGATCTTAAAAATATACCCTAAACACAAAAAAGGCTCTGCTACAGATGTTGAAAACTACCGCCCTATTTCACTCATATCCGTATTCTCCAAAGTAATTGAAAAAATTGATCTAACCCAATTAATGGCTTTTTTTGCAGAAGAAAAACTCATCAGCCAAAACCAACATGGATTCATTAAGGGAATCCTTAATGTAACAACTACAGTTACAATGTTGTGTTTTGTGTTTCAGTGCAGACCATGCGTTCCCCCCGTCACCCCCGCCACCGCTACCCCCACCTGTGGTTCTAGACAAGCAGATCAGAGCTGTGTTCATGCGGACGTTCGCTCAACTACTGCAAGGCTATCGTAGCTTCCTCACCATTATCAGAATCCACCCAAAGCCCGTCATCACTTTCCATAAGGTAAACACTTTTACTTTCTACCCCCATAAACAGACATAGTTTTCAAAAATGTTTCCTGCAGGTTCTAGCCTGGAAATGCTTTCCAAATTACTTCAGGATAGGTTTAAAAAGGGTTGCAGCAATCCATTGGGGATTGGCAGGATTTTAAAATCAGAACCTTGGAAAACGATGTCCCGTGCTCTACCACTAGACCAGCTCGATTTCCAAAAACTTTCATAGTAACAAAGATGGAGAAATTATTATACTCATTAAGTTAAAAGTTTCAAATTATAAATATTTACTTTAAAATGAATTTTTCATAAGATAGTGAGTAAAATGTATACTGAAAACTTTTCTTTAATTTATGGGTTTTCTAACTATAGTTCAGTAGTTTTACTCGTTGATTCAAACAATTTATCCTACTAATAGATTATTCACATAATTATAAACTACCCTATCACTATCACTATGACTTTTTTATTGTAAATTATTTATCTACTTCTTTCTATTGCTTCTGTTAACTCATATTTTGTTGCATTTGAATGGAAAAAATTGTTGACCCAGTATCAAATGTAAACAGATTACATCCTGAATCAGTCAAGATGTTGGTGTTATTAAATATTAATTTTGTTGACAATACTGGTGTTTCCAATACCTATCTTTACATATTTTTCAACATTATAACCTAACTTAATATCATTATTGTGAGTGAGTTTAGCCATAGATAAAACATACTCCCTTAGTAGATTTCCCATCCATATGGAACAGCTGAAGCCAATTTTATTGTTAGTTCTGTACGGTGTACTGTAGGTAGAGTCTTGTTTTGTTTACAATTTGTTTCTATTATTTTAGGGTTGGGTTAGTTTCTCATAATTTGTGCCTCACTGTTTGGTTATACAGTATAGCTAGTGGACAAGTTATTGTTTATGATTAGATAGTTTTATTCGGTTAAAAGAGGTTTTAAATTACTAAAATAGCAAAAAAAAGTCCACTGGGACTTTAAAACCATTAGTGTTCTACATCACTTACGGAGATTTGCCTCTTTCCACACTAAATTTACCACACTCCAGCTGATTTTACTGAACTTTCTGGTGTTATACAGGCCGCATTCCTGGGAGAGCGAGGTTTAACTGATTGTGACTTCACCACTAGAGTCTTAGACTGTATGTTCTTCACTGCATTTGTATCTGAACGTGGACCTCCTTGGCGGCCGTGTGACCACTGGGACGAGCTTTACTCCAACATGGCTGAGTTGCTACGAGCAGAGGCAGCGGACAGAACCAGAATACTGCAACATATACAGGTATAAAATTTAATTTGACTATCCTTATTCAGCGTATACAGGAAAATCCCAACCAACTGAACTAAAAGGGACTAGGTTGTTTCAAATTACCTATTTTTCTGTGGATACCAATGGTTGGAATTTATTAAAGGCTATTTCAGTTTGAAGAGATCTAGAACATTTGTTTTTATGTTATTCTAATTACTGTCTTCTCTAAGTCTACAACTGTATACACAACATATATATTTCTTAAAATAAATGACAGCTGTTTTCTGAACTTAATCTCTATTACAGTTTGATTTCAGTTGGCCATGCTGGGGCAACTACCTACAAGTACGTGAACAATTCCCATTGCCTAGCTAATTTTTGCTGAGTTGAATTCTTTTGTTTTTGGTTGACCCTGGTTCCAGTTTAACAGGGTGCTGTTAAAAAAGGCTTTATTGTTTTGCTTTAAGGGCCAAACTTGGACCTCGTAAGTCCAACTGGAAAGTGTTATTTTTTTCTTGTCTTTAATTTTCTGTTCGGAGATTTGCCTCTTTCCACACTAAATTTACCACACTCCAGCTGATTTTACTGAACTTTCTGGTGTTATACAGGCCGCATTCCTGGGAGAGCGAGGTTTAACTGATTGTGACTTCACCACAGGCCTATTGTCTAAACTATTGTCTTAAAGAGTCAATAGCAAAGTATTATGAATTCAACAAATCATTCTGTTGCCTCTTCATTGATTTTTCAAAGGCTTATGACTCCATAAATAGAAAGAAGTTGTGGATAAACATGGAGCATCTAGGTATACCAAGAAAACTTATAGAACTAGCAAAATTGAGTGTTTTAGGTTCTAAGTGCAAAGTTAGAGTAAATGGAGACGTATCGGAAGACTTTGAGGTGAACACGGGTGTGAGGCAGGGAGACGGGGTATCTCCATTGCTGTTCAATTTAGCCATAGAAACAGCTCTTCAGGAGATAAGAAAAACAGAAGTAGGGATTAAGATAGGAACAAACATAAACTTGCTAGCTTTTGCAGATGACATAGTATTAATTACACATAATATAGAAGAAATGAAAGATGTAACAAAAATGCTTATTGAACATACAAGAAAAATGGGGCTATACATAAATGAAGAGAAAACCAAGTTTATGACATGTGGAAGAAAACAAGATGATGACCAACCAAGATACCAAAATAACAACTACATTGAAATTGAAAAGTATAAATTTAAAAAAGTTACAAATTTCAAGTATTTGGGAGTCATCCTCACCAGTGATAATGATGAAGAGCTAGAAATTCAAAATAGATTAAACCTAGCACAAAAAAGTTTTTCGGCCTGTCACAAGTTACTAACTACAAAAATAATATCCCACACCACCAAACTCAGGATTTATAAGACAATCATCAGACCAGTTCTCCTGTATGGTTCAGAAAATTGGATCTTAAGCAAGAAATCAGAAAGGAAAGCTATTGTATTTGAGAACAAGATTTTGAGGAAAGTGTACGGACCGATTTTTGAGGATGGACAATGGAGATCGAGACATAATTGGGAACTTAGAGAATTATTTAAGGATCCGGATATTGTCGCTGAGGTACGGAGCAGAAGACTGAGATGGGCAGGGCATATTCTAAGAAAAGATGACAACTCCCTATCAAAGAACATCTTGAGGAATAACCCAGAAGGTAGAAGACCCCTTGGAAGACCGAAACTTAGATGGTTCGACCAAGTGGAGAAAGACCTGAGGAAGCTAGGGAGAAGGAAGGAAGATGCAAGAAGCAGAGACCTATGGAGGCAGTGTGTTGGGGAGGCCAAGTACCATCTAGGGTACCAGTGGCCACAGCAGTAAGTAAGTAAGTAAGTAATTTTCTGTTCGCACAGTGTAAATTAAATGTTGACAAATGGCTTTTCAGATTCATTGAAGTCCATAATAATGTGGTCCACATTAGGCATAATAGTAATCATCTGTTACAGGACCTGGCTAACCAGCTGTTCCACAATGAGAACCCCAATCAGCAGCCGTACCACCAGAAGATACCCAAACCTCCAGAGGGAGCTTTCGCTCGTATACATCAGCCTGTACTGCCTCACATTGACCCTGACAAGGTGCACAAGCTCATAGAGGAGGGACTGGCCAAGAGTAACCTGCACACTAGGTAAAATGTTTATTCATTACACATATAAAAGAGGATGTTTGTATATATATTTGTTTGTTTGGCAGTGATAAACTCAGACACCGCTGAGTTGGGTACCGATTGCCACGAAACTTGGTACATACGTGTAGAATGTCATGGAATAGGTTTATACACCATCAATTTCGTGATCCGTCCAATCGGCTCCGCCCCAGTGGCTCTGGAGTTTCCCATGTTAACCTTTTGAGAAATGGAATTAATGAATCTTAACAGCTGTTTCAATTAAACAAGTTGGTTCTGTTCTATGATGTTCAATAGCATTAAAGTTACAAGGATTACCAAGAGGGTGCAGCACTATTATTTCTTTTACATTTATGACAACAGCTAATTTGCAACCAAAAGGTGAGTGAGCATAGCGAACGAACTTCAACCTGGAGGCGAGTTAGCTTAGCGAACGAGCTAACCTGAAGGCAAGTGAGCGCAGCGAACGAGCTCCAACCCAAAGGTCAGTGAGCGTAGCGAACGAGCTCCAACCCAAAGGTGAGTGAGCGTAGCGAACGAACTTCAACCAGGACGTGATTGAGCCATGCGAACGAGATCATCTTGAAAATTAATAAGTTAAACGGGGCAAAGCCCGCGGGATTATAAATAGTCAAAGGCAAGACAACGTCTGCCGGGTTCAGCTAGTTCATTACACATAAAATTTAAGGTACCAAATTTAAAGGGGGGTAAAAACGTACTAAGAAGAAATGAACACTAGAACTTACCCGATTTTTATCCACAATAGCCTACTCCTAGGCCTACGTGTTGGCCATAGCTTGGGCTATGGGCCAAAGAACGTAGGCCTATTTTTAATCACAGTAAAGTACATACACACACCCACAGCTACATATTTATTCATCATAGCACTCCGTTTCACAAAATAAAGTTAAACCGACAGATATTTAACGACGACATAACGGGAAATAAAAGTGATAAAACTCAACGGTTCTTGGAAGTACTTGAATACAACAATTATTGTCGTCATAAAATGTTAATGGATTTGGGACTGCTAATGAGTTTTTATTGCATCATCACCCTAGTAATAAATTATGAAGATCGTAAACAAACATCTGATAAGACTTACGTGCTCGGAACCAACTGCTGTTACGATTGTAAACTGAAATTAATTTATTATTATAATAGGCTGTACCGAACCGAATTTGTACCGTGTAAAATGTTGTACCGAACCGATTACGGTAATTAAGCTCGGCAGATCCCTAGTTAAGTTTTAATTTGTAAGAAAGCGGTGACCTGGGGCCCATTTCATAATAAACTACATGTTACAAGTTACAACTTGTAACTTGTAACTTCCATAAGATTTGCATTGGGCGATCAGCTGATTTACTAATAATATTAGTTTGTACTTTATTATGAAATGGGCTCCTGGTAATCAGTTAAGTGGAAGACTGGACTCACTGATAAGATAAGTTACTGATAAGTTTCTTTGTATACTGGCCAGGTCTGTGCACTCTGGGATAAAGTGGCCAGTTAATTTCCAAGTCAATTTTGTGTCGATTGTGTGATTTTATTGGAGGAAATAAATTCATTATTTCAATATAGGCATTATATTAACGTACATATGATCCACAATAACCTAGAAAATGAAAATCACACCCAGTTGGCTGCTAACCTTTGGTAAGCTGGAAGAGTCGTCTGCAGAAAGTCAACAAAAGCAGTAGCATTTCTGCTGAGGCATTGCCGGCTTGTATTACCTTTTGTCAGTGTTTGTCATTACAATGTTTTAATATTGACATGATTTTGTCAGGTATAGTTCAAGTTAAACTCAAAACAAAATTAATTTTATACTTTAAAAACTGTAGTGATCCACTTTATTGTGTTTTTACAGGGTGTCCACTGACCGGGAAAACCGGGAATTATGTGTGATTTTTGTATTTAACCGGGAATTTTTTGCCGCGATCGCGCATGACGACGATGACGTTTACGTGACCACGGGAGACGACGATGACGTTTACGTGACCACGGGAGACGACAATGATGTTTTTGTGACCGACGACGATTACGTGTCCATGATCGTGTGAGACGATGATGATGTCCAAACGGCCGCGGGATATGTTGGTGATTTTGCCGCGATGGTGCATGCGGATGATGGCGTTTCCATGACTGCGGGAAACAATGATGCTGTCCAAAAATATTGCTTGACGATGATGACCGCGGGAAATTATTTGAATTAAGCTACGATCTAGGAAGATTATGATAACTTAACTGTGTTTGCGGGAGACTACTATAATGTTTCCGTTACCGCTGAACAATATCAGGATTTTTTCACAACCATGGAAGACAGTGGTGATGTTTCTTTTTTTGAGTGAGATATTCAGGATTTTTCAGTTATCGCAGAAAATGATGATGGTGTCTCTACGACATGTGTTTTCCTCTTACGGTGAACAATAAATCGTCAGCAAAAGCTTGGAGGTCCATGTCTCTCCATTCTAATTTTTTAAGTCTTTAATTTTTGGATTATTTAATCAGTAATACATAAAAATTGAATACTTGTGTCAGGCAGTATTACAGCAATCATAATATTTTTTCCATTTACTGAGAATGCTCTTTCCGATAACTAAAATAGCGAGCTGTGTTATTGTTAAAACAGCATTGCGGGAGTTGGCGCAAAACACGTTGGAAATTTTAGCACAACCTGAACTACCTGGAATTTTTTTTACTCATGAATTTTTTCTGGTTGGCCTGGTGGACACCCTGTTTAACTTTTCATTTAATCCTGTAGACTGTAGAGTGTTGGCTTGGCATAATATAATAATATTGTACCTATATTCAAAGTTTTCCAACACAATTTAAGAAGTGTTTTACATTATTGGGTTTGTTTTCCGATTGATTTTTACCTGCAGCTCATTATATGTAAACATAACAGTTAAATATTTCATCCTAGTGTACAACCTAAACACAAATTTAACTAAATACTCTTGTAATTTTGTTTCAGACTTTTGTCCCTTAAGCCGCCGGCACCAAGGATAGTTCCTATGGAACTTCACATAAACAGCTCTGCTGACAGTCGCCAAATTGTCAGCAACTCAGCACGTAGGCTAGAGGTAAAGTCATTTTTTGGTCTCGTTATTGTGGTACTTGAGCAAAGCCTAAAAATTTGGGATTTTTCTGAATTGAACAATCTTTTGAGGATTTTTTTGAAGAAGGTGAATACATAACATAAAAAAACTGTGAAAATTGGGGGAAAATCATGTTCCAAACTGAATTTTAGGTTCCTAGCATAAAAACTTAAAACACACATTGGATACATGCTGCAGATTTTATTTTTATTTGAAGACAAGATTAAGTTCAACGTATCTTATTTCAGGTGCTGAAGAACTGCATAAACTGCATATTCGAGAACAAGATTAGCGACGCTCGCAAGACGTTCCCTGCGGTGTTGCGAGCTCTCAAGTCACGTGCGGCCCGGCTGGCCTTGTGTACAGAACTGGCACAACACGTGGTCGGTAACAAGGCAATGTTGGAACATCAGCAGTTCGATCTGGTGGTGCGGCTCATGAACTGTGCTTTGCAGGTAAACACAAATATTTTCTGATCAATGTGTCTGTGGTTTTTTGTTTTTGGATAGTCTAGTGATTACAATATAAGATTTGTGATGATTGGACCCAGTGGTAGTTCAGAGTACTATTTAAGAGTCCACCTATCTGTGATATGCAGAATCCTCACTCTTCATAGGTTATCCTGCATACGCACATGGGAGCGTAGCTTTATAGCAAACCCGAATCTTTAAACTTATTCTACTTTATGCTATGAGCTGGGTAGCTGTTCAATAAGAGAATCAGATCGTGTTCATCAAATAGGATTTTAATTTTCTTTAGTATTCAAGTGTGATAGTTATTCTCAAGTATAGCCTACTAACAAATGCCTGGTAGGAACCGCTCTGGAGGTAGCTTGAATCTTAGATTTATAATCCCCAAAAACGAAGCGAAACTATTCCCTTGTAATCTAATCAAATCAAAGTATCTATCCCCAAAAGAATTCCTTCAAATCAAATTACAAAACTCCAATTAACTTACAGTCCCCTTTAATCAAAACTTCCCGTACAAAACTCCCGACTACAAGGCCTAACCCCAAGATAGAGAAACCAGTACTCACCCAACTCTCCTGGGCACCTTGCCCCGGGCAACTGACCCCTTTCTCTACCTCAGGTGGCCTATTTATTGATCTGACAGCTACTGAGTGCAAAGCCCTCAGTGTTTACAAAACACCTCCAGCACGCTTCACAGCAAGCAAGGCCTGACCACAGGTCATCAACCTAGCTTGCCCAGGCTACCCTCCTTTACATCCCCCCTTCTCCTCCAGACGATGTCCTCAGCGTCTAACATAAAAAAAAAATTAACGACAATTTCAAACAAAAGTTTTACAAAAAAAGTCCCCCAATAAAAAAAAAAAAAACTTTAAGACAAATTACTTTACAATATTACAAAACTGAGAAAACAAAACAAATTACATTTTATCCATAATCCTAAACATATTCACAAAAGCATTGTTTTCCTCAGTGGTGATAGCAATGAATGAGTGCAAAGCGCCTTGTCTCCAGTGGGTAGATGGAATGTGCTGAGTCACCAGGTAGCTCTCTCTAGTAGTCTAATATAATATAAATACCTCGTCACAGCTCTGTAGTTTCTGTAGATTACAGCTGTTTCGGCATTAAAATGCCATCCTCAGATACACATACATCCACCTGAATTGGCGTCGTTAAACTGTACACATACACAAACACGATAAAAACATAAAAACATGTAAAACAAAAGACAGGCCTGTCGCGTACATGATTGCTACTAGCAGTCAGCTTCCGTACTCGTAGCAATCATGTACGCGACAGGCCTGTCTTTTGTTTTACATGTTTTTAGCGAATTTCCCATATAGGGAATAAGCTATTACCGTAGTACTCATGGTAAGACCTGGACCCGAGACCGATCTAATTTTTCATTTTGAGGTCCCTAGAGGCCAAAAACACCATCCGTTCAAATTCATATATATATATATATATATACTTTTGTGCCCACCCGGTTTGGCAGTCAGTGCGCTGGTAATTTACTCGGTGTGGCAGTCACCCGCCCGAAAGCCAGTCAGCTCTCCCATAAGCCAGTCAGGTATGGCTTCCCGTGCACTTTATACGTATGAAAACAGCAAACCGGTGCTGCTGCCTGTGTCGATAAGCGTAACTGCAATACCAATGCGGAGACTGTTTCATCGTGTGTTCTATCGTGGAGTAGTGTAGCCAGTACGGCACCCTACCCTACTTTGTAGCGGTAAAACCCAGCGGTCTGTAACCTTCGTTTACTCCTTGTTACTATTTGTGTTGGGATAGTGATTAACTACGTGTTAATGTTTAAACATGTTCATACTCCAAATAAATATGATGCACCTCTAATAAGGATCGTCGAATATTAATTAATTATAATTGGTTGAATCTTGATCCTACCCGTTCATCATCTCATATTTTAAGTTATTTTGATTTTTTTTACCTTCAGTTGAAATTTGAGTCAACTTCTCCTTTATACAATATTTTTTATCCTAGTATTTACAGTGTTTCCACGGACCGGGAACTATACGGATTTTCTTTATCTCGAGAAATATACGTGAATCTTGTCCGAGATACTGGAACTGTTTTTTACGCAATTGCGTAACGCGAAGGAGTAACTATTACATATGACAACGATATTATTCTATCTGATAAGAATAACCATGAAACTACACTCGAAAGATAAAATATTTTTATAATAATTTCATTTTACAAACAAACTATTACAGGAATTATATTTTGGGACGGATGAATGATAAGGAAGCAACAAAAAGTGGTCACGAGTGCAAATACGGTGGGGGGAGGGGGGTACAATATAACGAACGCCAGAAACGATTATTTGTTTACTTTTCAGATTCCTTATCAAATCTCTCTCTCTCTCCCCCCCCCCCCCTCTCTCTCTCTCTCTCTCTCTCTCTCTCTCTCTCTCTCTCTCTCTCTCTCTCTCTCTCTCTCTCTCTCTCTCTCTCTCTCTCTCTCTCTCTCTCTCTCGCTCTCTCGCTCTCTAACAATGTAAAGATTGTGGACTTTACGATTTAAGTTTTCCTGCAATTATTTCAGTTCAATCCCATACCTATCCTTATGGTTTCCTATCTATTATTTTTCAAAATAAATAGTAAAGCAGGTTAAACTATTTTTTATTTTATTTTCTTGAAACCAAACACTCTTTACCATCCGGTATTCTGCAAATGTATGCAGGTATTCTGAGTCAAATGTTTAACACTGTGTTTATAAAAATTGAATGGCTACACAATTTTGTGTTTTATTTTTTTTTACTAATAGTAACTGGGATATTTATATATACCAATAAGTGCTGCAAGCTGTAATAAATGCTGCTGATTAATATCAAAAAAAGTTATAATTTATTTTGTATAATACATCGGTCATTGAATACAAACCATAATGGGTTATCTATTTGTAACTTTAACTTGCAAATACAGTAGAACCTCGCTTAACTGGAGTCGCATCATCATGATGCCTATATATTATATAACCTCACAAATCCCAAGAAAATGTTTTATTAACTGTGTTTTTCAGTCTAATATTTCGATATGAACGATATATTTTACTATTTACGGTAATTTTTATCTGCAGTAGGTTCCCAATTATTGAAATATTACAGTTCATTTAACAAAAATAAGATTGAAGCAAAACGGAGAAATATCGATCAGTATCGTCAAGGTCAACCTATACGCCTGCACCTACAGACTGACAATCTTGCACTGACACTGACATACTGACAATCGTCTGCTTCTGTCTGCTGTCACAACACTACAATATTTTGTGGTTGGGTCGTTGGGTGATTAGTAACCATGACAACTTGTGGATGTAGAGAAACCAATGAAAGAATAGAACAAAGAGAAATAATAAGAGGTGTTTTACATCATTTTTATCTTTATCTTATTTTTATCATTGTTATTATTACCAGAAAGACTTAAGTACAGTACTATGATTTTATGGTGTTTTATGAGTTATTTAATATTTTTATCCCCATACTTCTGTTCTGAAACATCATGTAGTAGTAGCCTAGGATGACTACGGTATCAGTATTCTTCTAGTCTACATTTTCATTTTGTTTTGTTTCTTTACGTGATTTACTACTGTACAGTAAGCAAGTTTTGTTTTGTTTGAGTAAGCATACGGTGTAGTTTTTATTAGTAAACCAAGGTTAATGACTTAACATATCACGGTTGCGCAATACCTATTGTATTTTGACTATGTAAAATGCAAATTTATAATCACGTTAACGTCCATTTATATAGTGTCCCGGAACGGCATTGTTCCTGAGTAAGAAACATATAAATATCATATTTAAATTATCCAGAAGTCCTTAGTTACTCACACGGGGAAAAAAAGTTTTAGGCCTAAATCATTTGAAACCTGTACATTACATATTTTTGGTCGAGTTTTCGACCACTGGACGACCACTAGTTAAAGTTAATTGTATTACAACAATCTTTATAGTAAGCAATATAAGCTTGAATCGGACTTATCTGCCTTCAGCTAATCAATCATATGATAGTACGTTAGAGAGTAGGCCCATGCTGAAGTTTTACTTATACTTGAAGAATGACTTAATTTAGTACCAAGAAATAAATCACACCCCTTACATACACTGTGCTGTTTTAATGCTGTGTAGTTGATTGCTACTGTATTAACCTGTGATCGCATATTAATTCATTCATTAGGAACGTATTTAAAAAAATACTACTTTTATTTTTTTAAATTTCTATGATTTATTTACAATAACAGAAATGTGTAAGATTAAAATAAATTAATGTTTTGCATTGTCCATTTAAAGTTACATCATAGTAAATTAAAATTCCACTGAAACTTAAACAATAAAAGCCGAAATTAGTTTGACAGAAAACACAAGTTTCCTTTATATTGCTTTTACAATCGAAATATACATACTGAGCCACGGCTCGGTCCCCCGGTACTTTTCATTTTAAATATTCAAATAAAGTCGATTATTTTTCATGTTTTATGAAACGTGACATAGCTAATTTCCACGGAACTTTTTTTGTCGGCTACTACTTTATTTAATTTTTTGGTCAGGTTAGTTTAAAAACAGTGGATTCTGTATACAAAAAGCGAAATGTTCTAAATCATATTTTTTATTTTTGGCTTATGTACGTAATTTAAATTGTACGAGAGGGGCTTCCCACCGTGCCGGATTGCGCCGTGCGGGCATATTTTGATCCAGTGGCGGGTGTTTGGTGTTTTGAATAAGAATACTGAATTGCTCGTTTTAAGATCGTATCATTACAAATTCTATCATTTTAAGATTCGCTTACACTTACGAGAAATGCATTTTCCATTTGTACATTTCTCAGGTACAAATTTTATGAAATAACGTACATTATTGCTTTGTTTGACAAGTAGCTGGGGGACCGAGCTTTGTTCGGGAAACTTTACACTTTGAGAGTATTCCTTGGTCATGTAATGCTATCCCAAAAATAATAATTTGCGGTATTTTTTTCTTG